ATTTTTGAGATGATTAAAATGTAATAGTAAAGTTATTAAATCTGATGCAGTCAGTTGTAATAACCCGGGAGAAACAGATGTTTATTAACAAGGTGAAGTCTGATCGCTTGTGTGAGAGTATAGTGCTCAAAGGACTATTTTTATGAGCATTGTACAGTAATCATGTCGTTTCCTTAATTAACCGCCACCCACCCCATGTTCTTTGGATTATGAATTTTTTTATCCTTAATTGTCGAATTATTCTTTTTTCAATGTTTTTATTTTGTAATGAGGATATGTAATTACTTTTTCATTTGCATACTTACCAATTATTTTATGTATGTAATGATATTTATTTGTCATATATCTAATGAGTAACCCGGTAGACATTGTTGTTTCCTTCATTTCTAACAGCCAGAGGCTTTCCTGGATTAAAGCTTTGCGGCGGAGGAATGCCAACTAATTGCTGAGCCCATGAGTGGAAATATCGATGCTGCTTTGATACCTACTGGTTAAATTGCAAAGTCGACTTTAACGGGCCTAAATTGAACTGTCCTGTTTATAATCACTTTTATTATGGCGGTCTGAAATGCTGTTACGTTAAGTGCCCTTAAATAATTGTGTTAGGACGTTGTACAATTTTGTTATTTTACTTAAAATAATCAAGTTTCGACACAATACTCAATTCCTTTGATTGTATTTTATCGATGTTTCAGTTTGTTATCATCCCAAGTTAAAAACAAGCCTGAGAGGCTTTGGGAAAGGATAAAGTAGAATAGTATAATATAATAGAATAGTAGAATATATAATTTTAGCGTCATGTATCTCCCCTCCATCCATTTTAAATATGTAGGCCGACCATGAAAGCCCACAAACTATCGCTGTGCATCTTCATATTGTGTTGTAGTAAACGGATTGAAATTAAAATTGTACACGATTGAAAACTTGTTTACTGGTTTTTCTTTGCGCTTTTTTCGACTTCGTTTTCAATATCTATTCTATATGGAGAGATGTCAGTTCCAATTTTTGTATTTTTTACGATGTCAGAGTCTCTATATAACAGAAAGGATAGGCTGAAAAAATCTAGACTCTAGGTTCATCTCGGTTGCAGTTGCAGTTTACTTTATGCGTCTTTTTCTTTTTTATTTATTTAACACCGCTCGGAACCGTTTGTCGAAAAAATATAACTTTCAAACTATGCTTCGATTAAATTATTTCTTCTTTGAGGAAACATTACAAAATGCAACAACCGGGTAAGGGTGGGACAAGCCTTTTTTTAGGATATCCTCTCTAGACCGCTATCTATTCAGAGCAAGCAGCGCATCCCTAGAAAAGGCTGCTTGGTCGCCTGGGTAAGCCGAATGATCGAATGATGTTATTGTCTCTGTTAACAAGCAAGCGACCACGTTACGCCAGACCACCTACATGCAGAGTTATAACTGCGACTTCAGTGCCATCCAGCACCTGTCGTTTTCGTCATGCTCCATCGCTGTAGGTCTTTCCTTCCCGCCTGCGCTCCATACGTTTAAAGTGAGGACCAGCTCGCGCGCGCCAATCCCACTCTTTAGGCCCAGGCAAGATTTAGAGCGGCTCGACAGGCTGAGACAGCTGTAAGATCCGTATGGTTGTAGTTTTTACATCAGAGGTGGTATCCCCCATCTTCTGGCTTAAGAGCCCGCTGTCGGAAGAATGATGTCTATTTACCCATAGCTGGAGCACGGTCTCTCTGTCATGTCCTTGAACCTAGGGTCATTGCATGACTGAACTGTCCATTACACCTTGTTCGGGACTCGTTATTCACTGGCAAGCCAACTTACTCAGAGCTAACCTTCACTGAAGGCCTTTCACTATCCGCCACCTGCGACCCGCTAGGTTTGGGATGGTCGCCACGGATTTGCCCAGAGTCCCTGTCTTAGTCTAATGCTTTTAAAATAAATGCATATTGTTTGATTTCCACAGTCCTGGTGTGTTATCCAATATAATTTTCCTGAATTTCCCGGTTCAGCGCTGTCTCCTTCTCTACAACTTTGCTGAAATAAACCAAAAAAATAAAGATTGTGTTACATATGTCACGTTACCTAATTTACATCAAGCCTCGCTTTGACTATCACTTCTCAGAAAGAAAGCGGAAGTGTTGTCTCAATCTTCGAGGAAGGGATACCTAGCTTTCAATCGGCTGTAAGATTTGTTTTGCTGTCTTCCTCAGTTCTATCGATTGGCGAATTAATTACAGGTTTGATTGTTTTCTCGGAAAGGGAGGTTTCAGTCTGAATGAGTGCCCAGCGCTGTTGAGGTAAGCGATTTGATATATCGCAGAAACATGGAACATGTAAACGGAATTTCACCATTGCTTGACCGGATTACAACAAAGTTTACAGCGTTTTGCCGGATTTATGCTTGTATTTCCGTACAGAAAGTTGCTTTATTGCTTCTTTTTAGATTTTCATATCGTTGAGCTTCAATCGTTATGATTTATTCCCTGCTTCTCGCAGAACGGGAATAAGTGGCAACGTTTTCGATGCACGCCACGTTTCGGTTGTTCATACGATTTGTTCAAATAAATAAACTTAACGATCAAGAGATCATTTGGTTAAGTTTACATTCGGTTGATAACCATAATTTGTGCGTAGAAATCAAAGTTTAAGCTCCCTGACTCGAAACTTTCATCTGAAAGAAAGGAGAAGTAGAATTATCGTTGCTGCATTTAGTTCTTCACTCATACATGAATGTATGTTTCGAGCCCTTATACCGTTAAATATCTCTGTTTGAAGCCCGCGAAATATTAACAGAATCTACCGTGAGGGTACTTAACTTAAGGTCGGAAAGGCTTCAGTGGAGATTATTTCGAAAGGAACAACTCTAAATTTCAATAGTTTTGATACACTCCTTGAATAACATGACATGAAATACTATTTCTTTTCCTTTGATGCAATTCCGTATTGACGAGGGCTTATATTTTCGACTACAGTAAGTAATTTTTGTCAGTCCAGGAGATTAAGCTCGACAGGTTTATGGTTAATGGTGTAATTTTTCCAAATGAATTTTTTGTAAAATGAAGTTCATTGAAAGTGAAAACAATTGAGACGGGAGTAACCTAAGGGAAAACCCCTTCAAATGATCTCATCTTGTCAATCATTTTTAATATATTCACAGAGACTCGCGTTGCGCTTAAAAACGTCAGGATCATGGAAATTTCCCGGAACATTCCGTAACATCAATAACATGTAAGAACTATGAGATAAATTCGTATAATTAAATAATTCAGCGACTGAAAAAGGGAAATGAACTAATCAATTGATTGGTGGCTAAATAAGTTAAAGAAAAACAAATGTAGAGATAAAATCGTATTAACTCGGAATTTGCATACAACAAAAATGCAAACGACTTCAATGAGTGAAGTTTGTTTGTTGATATGTTTAGAGAGAGGTTTATGCTTTTTCGTTTGTCGATGGGAAGTGTATCCATCACTGAGGGAAAATAAACCCCCTCCCCTCTATGAGACATTTTTATTTTGTCATAACATACAAATCTTTAGTACGCAGGTTTGTGGAAAGCAAATCTTTACAGCATATATATATATTTCCAGTTTTAGATATTCCATTGAATGGTCCTTCTCACACCCTGAAGACGAACAGGCTGACACACCAGGAATAGCAACAGTACAGCCTAGGATCTGAGGAATCCAGGATGGAAGGTAAGTTGTTATCCACATCAAGAACTAATATTAGTAGCGGTCCAAATATTTGCTATTTTAAGCACTGTTTAGCATAAGCCTCTGACTTAGTACAGATTATTCAAATGATGGCTTGATGCCTAAAGTTTTTCTTGGAAACGGAATGGAACAAATACCTAATGAGAACACAAATGATGGTAAATTGTAAGCCAGGTCATCGAAAGAGACTTTTTTTTTCATTGAACCATCTCTCTCTTATTCATTAGCGTACCGAACGCTTTTGACAATGCTAATCCTAGAAGTGTTTAGAAACTTTGTCACGCATGAAACCCAATAACCTGAATGGCCCTTCTCACCATAGAGTCTCTGTAACTTAGTGGTAGAGCATCAGAGCAGAGAAACTTAAGGGCTTGAGCTGTGATTCCTCGTGAGGGACCCTGTTTTTTTTTCGTCGCATGCTCGTGACTAGTAGAATAAGATATTTCTTTACCTACTTAATAAATGCTTGACGAGTTTTGACTATTTACCCGACATGAAAGGTTAAAACTGTAACAAACCTATACCAATTTTGGTCGATTACTTTTATGTGCCTGTACTAATATCAGAAACTCGAACAAAATCGAGCGATTACCTTACATGTATTCCTTAACGATCTCATTTCTTCTTAAAGAAAATGACAAAAGCAAGAGCTCCCCGGAAAATGATCAAGAGAAGGACAAAGAAAGTGCTAACTCGACAGACGAGAAGCGTCTTCAGGGTAACTCTTTCGCATACCGGTCTGAACGAGACACATGGCAGGTGGTTGGGCGAGGTCAGCGTTCCATACCTCAGAGGGAAGTCGGTAAGAATTACACTTCTTGATTTAAGTCAGACGACAGTTTTTTTTCAAGACTTTTTCATGGCCAAATATGGCTCAGTAGGGGCTAATTAAGCCCCAGTTCTCGTTGCAGTCACATTGCTTTGAACAGTGTGCGTGTCCATGCACTTTTGAACGCTAAGGCAACGGTTTTGGTGACAATTCGGAGATTGATAACCAGATAATCGAACTGAGTTACACTTGACCTTAAATTTCAGTTCTTTTGATCCACATTACCTAAATTCTGACTTCTGCGTCCTAAAAGCTGCTTTTGCACCAAAACTTTTCTTTATTTGATATTTAATTCATGTCGCATACAGCTTGAAGCTTACAGCACAGTCAAAAAGCTTGCTCTTGCTCTCATGAAGGACCAAGCCTAAAACGTTTGCCACCAATTAAAACATGACAACTTTTCAGCTTCATCCATTCCCCTTAATAACATTATTATGTTGTATTTCACCACAAGAGCAAAGAGGTGGAGGCTGTAAAAAGATGAATGCAAAGGGGAAGCCTCGTGGAAAACCTTCCCCAAGAGTTCAGACACATCGACCAGATACTCAACAGAGGGATGGTAATAAGGGGGCGTTTTCAGCGCGTGGCGACCGCGGCCGAGGGAGTAGGGGAAAAAGAGGACAGGGTTTGGGTGCTTTTCGAGGAGGACATCAAGGGAGAGGAGCTCGAGGTAGGAAACCATGTTGCCATTGTTAATTTCTGAGTGAAACATATTATCGCCACACTAGACATTTTCATCACAGCTTCGAGCGCTGGGTTGGGTTAATTTGATGAGTTCTTGGTCTAGACTCTGCCGGGTGGGGCCATCCCATTACGAACTCATTCTTGGGAAAAGAAATTCCTTTGGGTAAAACAAAAAAAACATGCTTATGTCTTTCCATCCGTTTTAACTTTTTTCAATGTTGTTTTGTTACAGGGCCTGGTCATCAAGCCGGCGCAGTGCCACATCAACGCCCGCATCCAGTTTCTTTAGGATTTACGCAGCCAGATATCAAATACGAATGGAACAAGTTGTATATTCTGGGCCTACATTTCAGGTCAACACGAGATGCTGTGAACAATTACATAGAACGAATCAGTGGTTATGATGTTAAGAACGTGGAGATGTTCAAACCTAATGGAAAAGCAATAGTAACGCTAAACACTGACAGAATTGCAGGTAAGTGGTAATAACTGCTTTCCTACAGCCCCGGTTTATTCTGATCATATTCACTCCTTTCAAGCTTTTGGCAGGTTCAAACACTTCCTTGTGGGTAGGCCATCATAGATTGTGCCAGTAAATGTGGCATATTATTCTAATAGGATCGCCCGATTTGTTTGCACATAATGTTCAAAATTATGTTAGTTTTTTAAAATTATGCTACTTTTTCTTTAAGAACACTTTTCAAAAAAAGAAACAATAATAATTTCAAATTATATATACATATATTCTTAATAAAGCATGATATCCTCGTGATCTTGAGTTACACACTTGCTCTGATAAAACACAACTTACTACGGTACTTCATTCCAGACTAGACACGGAGACTAGATGTGTCAAAGTGTGCGATGTTGATATCACATTAGTTATGTTCTGATGATGTCAAAAAATACTAAATGTGATACAACCGTTCTAGCATATCGGATGGCAGTTCTTCTTCCCGTATCTAAAAGTGATTCGATGCCATCTGGTTGCCTGAGAAAACGGGAACTGCACAAATTATGCTCGTTTTCCAAATATGCCAAAAATTATGTAAGCACAATCTATAGTGGCCTACTTGTAAGGGAGAGGGGGATCGGGTCACGTCGAGGAACGACATTTTTACTGTATCAAACTAGATGAGAAATATAGGTTAATTACCTTGATTTCCCATGAGGACCGGCCGAGCATGCCCTTATTCAGGTTGGGCTTTTTGAAAAACTATTCCTTGCAATGAGTTTCTTTCCTTAGCAGTCTTTGATTTGAAAATAACTCGTGGAAACTTACTGGCGATTTTTTTCAGATTTTGCAAAGATTGTTCAAGAATCGAAGAGAAGGCCGCTTGAAGGTGTAACCGTCTCAATTGAAAGAGCTCCTGAATGTAAGAGCATCTTTGTGAGCGGATTTTCTGAAAATACAACAAAAGAACAAGTGGAAGAGTACTTTGATGCTTTGAGTTCGTTGGAAGATGTTGTATTCAGTCCATGGGATGAGAAGAGGAAAGAGAAGAGAGCGATTGTATACTTCAAAGAAAAGAAAGGTAAGTCTCCTGTATTTATTTTTTCTTAAGTATTTTTCTTAATAAGTACGTATTTTACTAGCTGTGGAAATGTTCATGTCTCCCCGTTATTGTTATTGAACAACTATCCCTTTGGTCTTTAAGGACACAAATGATTTTCTCTGGCCTCAACATTTCGAACAAAATGATAGCTGCGTGGAGTGCTGTAACATCGTACTTTCTGTCCTCGTTAGGTTTAATTTGCTTACAGTGTATTCCCAATAGAATCACTGCCGCAGAAAAGTGCTGAAATTTTTTTGTAGGCCTAGAACATTTAATTCTATAAAATTTTCTCCTTTTCAGGTGTGAAAAAATGTACGAAGACAGATCACTTCATAGATGGAAAAGCTTTACATGTAGAGGCTTTCTTTCCTTTTATGGGCACACTGCTGCCTGTCAACGAACCGTCAAAATCATCACGTCCTACTTCGGGTGAAGTGGGAGGATCTTGGCAGCCCCAGTTTTACAAGGCTGTTGATAAAGACATCGGGGAGTTTTTGATGAAGTCCAACCAAGAGGCCAAATTAAGAGGACTTCTTCATTCGAGTGAACATGCTTGTGTAAGGTGGACAAACGAAGAGGGATATCTGCTGATAAAATATGACACCTCAGGCAAAAGAGTTGACAAGGAGTTTGAGGAGGAAGCATGGAAAAAGAGATGTTTCGATATAATCGACCAATACATCGACGGTTGCACGACAAAAGAACTTTCAGTAGACACAGAGGTTTGGGAGGCAGTGGTTGATCAGTTACCAAAACTGGAAAAACTTCTTCCGAAGTTCACAGCGCAAGTGAAACTACTGAAGTTGTCTCACTCCGTAAAGTTGATTTGCCAGAAGTCAAACATGCCAGAGTTTGCTGACATCCTCGAAAGACGTTTGAAGGACATCAAACAGGAGGAACTCGAGAAAAAGCTAGATCAGAAGACGCTCACCGACATATCCACTGAAAAGCTACAACTTCTTCAAAATTGTGGGATCGAGAACATTTTGAAGGAGGAGTTTGATCAAGACATTCAACTTAAGATTGACTTGAGTAACAAGAACCTTCTAATTAAAACTCCCAAGGGACACATGCCATCCGTCATGACCTATCTTCGGCAGCGTTTGGACGAAATTGATCAAAACGCAATATCGCAGCCCCCGGAAATTTTAGAAATCTTGAAGACAAAAGTCGGGAAACGAAAGATGACGCAGGAACTTCCCGATGGATGTGCTTTTAATGTCGATGAAAAAAGCAAAAAAGTTATCCTCCTTGGGAGAACACTTTCTCAAACCTGTGCGGGAAGAGAAAAGGCAGAGACCGTTCTGTTAGATGACCGTAGTCTCAAGGTAACCCAGGCTGATAATGACCTCATGCTTTCACCAAAGTGGGATGAGCTTTGTAAGAAGTTAGTAAAACGTCTGACGATCCGTCATAAACGCGAATTGACATGCATTGCCGTCTTTGGGTTCAAAAACGACGTTGAACAGGCTGTAAAGAAAATGAGGGACTTTCGTAATGAAAAAAAAGCAACCGAAGGTGAATTCAGGCTCGATTCTCCTATCAATCGAAAGTTCTTCACTGACTACTACAAGGAAGAACTTCAGAAAATTGAGGAAGAACTCGCCCCTTGTGCGGTGAAGATTTCTTTAGATGAAAGCGGTAATCGAATTAAGTATTCTGGAACAGACGACGGCGTAAAGGATGCTGAAGAACGGTTATATATTCTGCTTGACCAAATCAAAGAAAAGAGTCTCCCTATTCAAACACCTGGCATGAGAAACTTCTTGGCCCAAGATGCGGGAAAAAGCTTTGTTGACACCGTGGAGCGAGAAAACAAGTGTATCATCAGGATTGCGGAGGAAATTGAGGAAGAAGTTGAGGACAAAATGGAAGGAAGTGACGGTGATGAGCTTTCGAACACCAGCAGTAGAGGCAAGGAGGAGCTTGATGATGCTGACACATTTTTGACTAACGAGGGCAAAAAGGTGATCTGGAAGGGTGGAAATATCGAGGAAGAGCAGGTGGGTAGTCTCATAGATATAAATATATCAAACAATAAAATTTTACGTCTTCAATTGATTCAAATGGACAGCTATCGTTGTAGGTACATCAGTAAATTTAAGTTGTCAAGTTTAACCCTTTCTCGTACTACTGATAACTAAAAACCTCTCAATGTTTTCATTTGGAGTGGGCCACTGAGTAATTATCTCAATAGATCCGAAAGGAACTATGTCTTTTTTTCATTTCCATTTTTACCTTCTCCAAATAAAGACACAGATATGCACTCGATAAAGCCTGCAACTTAATGTTTAAACTTACTTTGCTACAGGCAGACGTCTTGGTGTGCTCTGTAGGGTCGAAATTTAATCTTACGATCGGTGCAATTGCCAATGCCATCAGCAAAGCTGCAGGTCCGGAGCTGCAAGGGGAGTTAAGGCAAAAGACGACAGGAAGGACTTTGGGTGAAGGTGATATTGTCCACACTAAGGCAGGACACCTGAATTGCCGTTACGTCATCCACTGTGTGTGCTGTCCTTGGAAAGGAAATCCTCAGGACGAGCAGGTACGGGAATGACTTTGACTTTAATGCTGCTTTGAGCGTTGGCTAAAACTTGGAAACGCTGTATTCTTGGTTTTATCCTGATGCAGTTTACACTGCCATACTTCCAGCACAAATCGTCTCGTCCCATTCATTTTCTTTTTAATTCTTTTGATCATAGCTTCTACAGGATCTACTTCGAAAGTGCTTTGACAAAGCTTCGGAGCTTGGTGCATGTTCTATTGGCCTACCACTTGTTGGAACCGGTAATCTTGGTTTTCCTTATGCCAAAGCTGTTCAGATTATGATCCAGGCAGCTGTCGACTACAGTCACGCCAATCCAGATTCTCCCTTGGAAGAAATAAGATTTGTCGTGTTTAGCGGTGATCAGAAAGGAATAGCAACGTTCGAAGAAAAATTTGAAGAGTTTAAGAAGGAAAAAAGACCTGAAGTGAAACCTCGAAAGCCACAGGTTCGCCAAAACAAGCTAAAACCCGTTCCACTTGATTTTAAATGCAAAGAGGTTCAAGTCAGCGAGCTATCGTTGAAGGTGTTGAAAGGTGACATAACTAAAGATAGATCAGATGCCATATGTAACGTAGTACCTCAAGATCTGAAAATGAATAGTGGAACCTTAAGCTGCGCTATCCTTGCAGCAAGTGGAAGCACTGTAGAAGATGAGTTACAGTCACAGGCACCTCAGCTCCCAGGAGATATCGTGACTACCTCTGGTGGATGCTTGTCTGCAATGCACATCATTCACATGGTTGTGGGACCAGGAACAAGGAAACATCTTCAAACCTGCGTGGAGAAGGCGCTCAAAAAGGTGGATTCTCTGGGGTTGAAGTCAGTGTCCATTCCAGCAGTTGGTAGCGGAGGACTAGGACAAACAGCTGAGCAATCGGCAGAGGTGGTTTTTGGGGCAATCCGTGCATGCACCGTGAAACCATTTAATTCCATTCGTGAGGTCAGGGTAGTTGTTTTTGATGTTTCTATCATTGGTGCGTACTTAGCGGAGCTGGAAGCAATCCAAAAAGAAGTCTCGGAATCCTCTTCATGTGCTGAAGAAGAAGATGATCTCACGTATCACGAAACAGGTGCAGAATCTTCCACTGAGGAATTAAGAAGAAAACATCGTCGTCAGAAGATCATCTTTCACGGCCGCCAGGAGTCTTTTGATGCGGTTGATACTGCCTTGAAAGACGGGGTAATGAAAGCTTGCGGTGATCCTCGTGTAATCAAGCACGAAGTGATCGATCGTCTTTCCAAAGGAAGTATGCGAGAGCTGAAGAAAATGTCTCGTACGCGAGATGTAAAATTGGATCAACCAGAACCGGGGACTATAATGTTGCAAGGGCTCCCGAAAGATGTAATGGAAATCAACTCAGAACTATCAAATGTGATCCAAGAGCACGTGGAAAGGGAGCATAGACAGGAGCTGGCGGAGCAGATGTCGAAAACTGTGCAATGGTACCTGGTCAATACAGGAGGAAAACTCGTTCCTTTCGACAAAATGGCTAATAATGAAATAGAATCAGCCTGTAAAGCAAAGAAACCATCCCTTCTATTCACGCATCAGAACTTGAAGGCTGAAATCAATTTCGGAAATGAAGAGGTAACGTTCTTGAGAACCGGAGCAATCAAGAGAGTCCTGCGCAGAGATGGTAAGCATAGTAAGACAGACGGTAATTTTTCTTTTCAGCATTATTTTATATGTTGAGAATGTAAGTCATTCAATTCTTTTCTGGATGTTTAGAATTCACAGCATAATTGTTTTAGGATGTCTCCGCCTTTGTGAAGGTAGTCTACTATCTACGGTTATCCTTAAGAGCTCATCTTTCAGAAGCTGCTTACAGACATCTCGAGTACTGATCTCCAGAGTTGTGTAACCTTCAAAATTCTGCTCTATGTTTTTCAAACGTATTTAATCTCGTTGGTAGTCGGACTGAAAAAATTCGTACAGAGGAGTGAGAATCTTCCAGTCATAGTTTACCTGATTTGTAACCCTCTGTGCGCCTTAAGCTAAGCTACGTTAAGAACTTCTTTTCTTACCTGCTTTACGGCCAATGTGATATCATTTTTAAAATCAGTATGATTGGCTGGAGTCTTCCGGCACAATTTCCAGATCAAATGTCCTGTTCGATTTTATCCAAATGACCGTGCGTCCCGGGGCAAATCGAAAACAGAGCGTTTGAAAAGTGATTTTGTGGTAAACAAAATGTCATTTGGAAGAGGGGAATGTAATGCAATTTGTCGGTCGCAATGAGACTGTTATATTTTTGTTTTAAACTAGTGCTACCTCTTCCTGATGAATGGGATCCCCAGCCTCGAGATGTCAATGGAAAGGAAGAGACACTGCATCTGGTCAGCCTCGAGAAGGACTCCAAGGAATATAAAAAGGTCCAAGAGAAGTTCCTCCAAACGATGCGTGGTAAGGTGGTAATCACAAACATCGAGCGCATTCAAAATCCATCGATGCATAATTCTTACATGGTAAGGAAGCAAACTATGGATGCAAACAATGGAACCATCGACAACGAACAGGAACTTTTCCATGGGACAAAGGTAGAAAGCATCAGAGCGATCAATGTTCAAGGATTTGATAGGAGTCTATGTGGCGCGAACGGTACGTGTATGATGGGGACAAATTTTCTCCATTTTTAAAACTTATGTGTGCAAGACGCCAAGCCATTACCATGTTTGCATGGTAAAGGTGTGGTTGTATTGATGCCTAGTAGCTCAGCTAAATAACGCTTTTTCTGAATTCATAGAATCACTCCCTGTGATGGTAACGCCAATGGCAAGTCAAACAGAGGTGATAATTTAACCGGGTTCGTTAGTTCTGTGTTCAACAGAGCGAAATTACTGCAGCGTTCGCATGAATAAAATGTCCTGTCATATTTACCAACCGATGTAAAAACTCATAGAAAGCCGCATCTTTTGACCCCATGATCCATTGCTGCCGACAATTTGCTGTAAATAACTTTGATTCACTCTTTTTACACGTCTAACGTTTACAGGTAACGCTTATGGCGATGGTGTTTACTTCGCAAAAGATGCCTCCTATTCCTATTCATACTCAATACCAGGCCCAAATGGTGATTGCTTCATGTATTTAGCCAGAGTTTTGGTTGGAAAATACACCCTGGGCAAGCATGGGTGGAAAAAACCTCCTCCCAAGGACTTCAACAAGCCAGAGATACTCTTCGACTCGCTGGTAAACAAAGAGGAAGATCCAACCATTTTCGTGGTTTTCAACGATTTCCATGTGTACCCTAAATACTTAATTAGTTTTAAGAAACAGGAATCATCGCGATGATAATTATTCAGCATCCACGTTCTTCCATAATAGACCGCCCTCTAGTTCAGGGAATAACCAGCGTGGGATGTTTGAGAACACGAAATTCATGGATTTTCACTCGCAACTTCTACGTGTTCGTGTAGAGGACTGATTATAAGATAGTGCCCGTGGTACAGTTGGCCGCGCATGCTAAAAGTAGCACCTGGTACGGTCGGTCGGACGGTCGTACATCCAAATTTTTTCGGCTTGATGGGTTATTAGTATTTTGTATAATTATGGGGCTACGCTCTGCGAGCTCCACTATAAGTAGATAAATAGATAGATGACCTTTATTTATACACAATAATAGCTTAAGCTACAAGCTTGTGGGGTCGTGCGAAGAAAAAAGGAAATTACACGTTAACCCTTTAACTCACAAAAGTGAATTACATGTAACTTCCCTCTAAAATATTCATACATTATCCAACAAACAGGTAATGAGATTACTCAAACTTATCAGTTGGAGGTTGTTGTCATGATATAACAACAAATTCTTGTAACTAATTTACAGAAAAAATGTGTAACAGCTATATGGGAGAATTAACAATCAGTTCTTGGGAGTTAAAGGATTATGTAAATATAACTTGAATTTAAAAATAGAAAATGATATGTATTATAACTTCTAAGTAAAAACAAAATCGGGATGTATAAGGCGAGTACTAGAAGCAGAGTAGGTCAAATTTGAGTTCCTTAAAGTAGTCTCTGATTGGTGGGATTTTTTTATATTATTGAGACTCGAGCGCTTACTTCTTGTTCATAGTAGTAAACAGTGTTCCATAACACAGCGCCCCGACATCTAAGCGAATCTTATATGTATCTTGTTTCGAACCTGAACACTGTTAAAAAGGCGCGTCCCTTCAGAGAGTAACTATTTGAGCGACAGTTAAGGATGTTTTCAGAAGCGAGTCGGGGAGAGTGGCATTATAGCCTTTTTAAAAAAAAAGCTTGAAGATGTCTAATTTATAATACAAAGAAAGTGTGGCACCACCAACTTTTAAGCATCTGTCTTACTCTCCAAACTTCTCGCGTGGCTCATATCTCGATAAGTACACAGTTGATACGGGGAACAATAAACCTATTTAGCTTCAGTTTGTATGTTACGTTTACCCAGGTCAGATCTTAACGTAATTCCCGGCTTTTTTTGTAAATTATGCGTACATGTGCAAATGAATAAGACGAAATTTTAAAGAAACAGTTCTTTAGAGGACTACCTGAATGGAACCCCATCTATTTGCTCATGGTCGCCAACTGCTATATTTTTTCATTTTATGCCTCTGCCTGGCAAATCATTTGTTTATTTTATCTTAATTATCTTTTTTTCTTTTTCATCGTGGTCCGAGTGAGCCTTCAACGTAGCTCAGCAAATGATAAATGTCCTCTTCCTCCTCTGAAAACCCTGTAATAACTCTATCTAGATGTTGAAACAAGTCGTTCTTCTTTTTATCCAATTTCCGAAGAAAAGAGTCAACGACATCCTCCTGAAATCTTACGTTCTTTCTACCTTTGCCCTTGCTTTGTTCGTTATAGTTGATACTTCTTATCGCTTTTAACATTCTGCTTGTCTTATCAAAGAATGATTTTCTCTCCACGTTGCTTGGTGTTTTCTCTGCTTTTATTTCCCTTAAAAGCCACATCTCGCTAACCTTGATATCAAAGTTCATTTTTGAACTTTTCTCGAAATCAAGGCTAACATTTGAAGTGCTTTTTTTCTCCATCTCGTCTAGCGTTCGTGAGGCCTTCGACTGTCGCAGCTTGTGACTGATCACATCGAAAAATGCTTTTCTGTCCTTTGAGCTTATGCAAGGATCTTTATTAACAAGTTCGTGCAGTACACTTTGGCCAGCGGTGTTCTTTGCTTCCAGAAGTGCATCGTTTATCATACCGATGAAAAAATTCATGCAGACGATAGTAAGGGTTGAAAGAATTACGAAGGAGAAGATTTTGGCGTATATGTTGTGAGTCTCGGACAGTTCATTGATTGGTCTAGCTTTCACTCGCCCTAGAGTTAGCTCGAGTTGGAAATAAGTTGCTTTAAGCAAAGAAGAATAGCGCTCAAATCCAGTGCCAAACATTAAAACACCGAAGTGCAGAAATGCAATAAAGAAAGTCAATAGAATAATGCTAAACGATGACAAGGATCGCGCTGATATCTTCAATGCTTTGGAGAATACAACAACTTGACTATTCAACCGAATGATTCTCAAGAGCTTTACAGTGACGATAAAAATTAGGACTCCAAGTGCAGCATTGTCTGCTTCCTGCCAAATAATAGCTTCTTGAAAACTGATGTTTGTGTCAATGTTTTCTTGCAACTTTCCCGTCGCTGTATTTACTCTACGTTGTCGTATAAGGTAAATTACAACGGCTAACACAGAAAAAACAACTTGGAGCATCTCCACCCAATGCCACACGGACTGGAAATAACGAGAGCGATGACTATAAATTCTGAAGATCTCTCTTCCAAAATGCAGAATAACGAGTAAAATAAATAGAAAAAGGCAGATCGAGTAAAACTGAAGTGAAGCTGTATCCGAAGAATCACGAGAAATGATATCAATTTGTGTCGAGGCGACTTTGAATCCCGACGCCTCAACTTCGTAGAAGTATGTGGCAACACCTAAAATATTCACTGAGGGATTAAACGAGGAAAACTCTGCGACGACAACTCTCGTTTGCTTGTCTAGCCAACAACTTTTTTTTAAATTTGTTATTATGCGATGTCCTGTTTGGTTGTCGTTCCCAAGGTCTGCTATAAATCCTTCTCCATGATAAAATGACAACTGTCCCCACTTTGCTACGGTGTCGGTTTCCTTCGCACTTTGATATCGCCATGGCTTCGGGCAAAGTCGTGGCAATTCGTCGTTACTCGTGAAGTTATCAACAGGCTTCCATCCCGGCTTAAAGCAGGCGGTCTTGTCTTCGTCTGTGTTAGAATACCCTTTGTAGCATTCTTTAAACATTGCAATGGTACACGAAGCTGCAATTTTGACAAAAATGGATAGTACCAGAAGGTTATTTTGAGATTCATTGTATGTGCTGGTACGCCGCAATTCGTTATCAAAAACGGAGAAATGTCCACTTCTGTTGTGCGCAACAAAACGTTTGAAAAGCGCAAAGGAGAAAATTTCATACTAACGTTTGCCTTAACGTACCATCTTTTTTTAAGTATGGTCGCCTCTTTTGGGCCGTTCCCCATGACTTTCGCCGGCGTGGGATTTCACTCCCGATTTTGATTAAGGGCAAGTATTTCCTTCCTGACATAGGAATCCAGGACAATCAACAACGAAACCATTTAAACAACAATTATTTAAGTGGTCTGGTTCCGAGATATTTTTTTTCACTTGTGCTCTGCCTTTTCTCCATACAAAGTTGACGAGACTGAAAAACTTAACTTTAAAGTTTGGATACAGGTAGCTCTCTGTTGAGATAAGTCTTCGTGTTTGCCGAAGCATCTCTAATAGTAAGTAGTTTCATAGCTGAAATTTCGAGCGTTAGCCCCTCGCTAATTTCACTAACGAAAGGCTAACATTCGAAACGTCAGCTTTCAAACTCTCTACGGTGGCCAATTAACGTTAACAACTCACTTGATAATACTAAATTACCCTGTTATACTCTCCCACCGACGCAGCACCACAGTTACTATAGAAACTTACCCCCTTTATTCATTCACCTCATACAGTGTTAGCAATACACGTATCGGGTAAAATGGTGTGTAACCCTTGATAAATATTAAATTTGCCTTGTTATTAAAAGTACAGAATAGGAAAAGACTTACTCGATTTCACTCTGAGTTGCCTTATTCGAGGCATTCCAACAAGAAGAGAATGTTTATTTCCAATGTACGTTGTTTGTTTCTCCTCTTGACCGTTGTACCATCTGCCAGAAAACACTCCAGGAATAAAATTATCTTGCAACCATCTCCAGTACATCTTGTCGTCTGCCACCTAAATTGATTCAAAATCAAAAAGTCAATTGAACTTTGTGACTGTATCAGTATGGATAGACAATCGAAAGAAAGAGGTACTCGTGCGAATTGAGATTAATCAGCACGTGGTAAACGAATGTTTATACACGTGCGCCCTACATCGTTTCCTTAAATTGGTCGCCTTTTGGCACGTATGTGCGGACACTATGATCACATAGCGATTATCGTCGGGAATCCTTGATACAACAATATTTTAACAATATTTTGTTTAGAATGCAAAATATAGTTTTGCCCGTTCGTGAAAAACGATAAGCAACATACTTCCCTTCTTGAGTCAGAAAAGTTTAATCTTCTACCATTTTTTCAGTCTTAAGAATCCAATTCAGAGAACGCTGCAAGAGAGGTTAATCCTGAGCACAACTTTAGAGTAAATTCCTTTTTGAATAAGTTCATAGCCAAGCAAACTTTACTCACATCACTAAAGTTTGGCAAGCCATCTCGGATTGATTTTGTCATCAGGTACCGATGGTCATTTTTGTTTCCATAGCACACTACCATCAGCAAGAAAACGAAGACCAAGTAGATACCCAACTCTGCGAAATAACGTGACAGGTTCTCTTTCTTGGCTTGGCTTCTTCTCATCTTTTCTACATCTGACAATTTCAGCTTCCAAAATCTTTCTTTCGAGCTGCTACTTTTACCTTGATTAGAATTTTCGCATCCTAGTACCTCTGATCTTTTAGCCTTTATTTTGAAAATGGCTGCTAGGATCAAAGCTGTAAAGAACAATTTTACTGGTTCCGTGAAGGTCACATCCTGCGCAAGTGAGACGAACACTGAGAAAAGCCACTGCTCGCTAACAGTCTTTTCCCAAATCATACTGTAGAAGACTGTAAATGTGGCAGAAACACAACAAGAAAAAAATAACCCGAACCAGGCGATACAGTGGATTACAGCAGCTTTAAAACAATGGTTATCGTTACTTCTGGACCTTTCGGCTCCTTTTTGAAACAAGAACACTAAGAGTATGTTTATGGGTGCCACAATAAGCGCACTTTCAATACCAGTAACAACTTGTCTCCACGAGAATTTCAACGGTCCAACTTGGATAGGCTGTTCATATTTGCCATCTAGCTTATAGAACATCGCGTTAGCTAACATAGATGCCAGTAGCAATGAAAAGCAGCAAGAAACCCGCTGTACTCTTGTAAAGCGGCTTCTTATTGGCTTGGCTGCAACTGAAATCCAAAGATGCGACTGTGCGAGGCCTCTCCGCCATAGTCTTGCAACCTCGCTGCTGAAATCTAGTTGAGTTGCAGTTGAGTCAAATATTCGCTCAATGTGCCCATCTCTGCGCTCAAGAGCGAACCACTTACCGACTATGAATTTCCACGACTGATCAGATTGTACGTCACGGATCAAAATTTCCTCTAAAAACCAGGAGGGACTGTCACCAGAGTTATCATGACCAATCCGCACTTCTTGTATTGCACCAAGTGAGTTGTTAACATTAAGTACAAAGAGGTCTGAATTACCTCGAGAGAATAACATATCATATGCACCAAGCTCTCCCTGGCAAAGCCGAAGAATGCCACTATTTCCATCAGAACCGTAAATCTCCATGGCAACTTGAGCAGTTGTGCCAGAGTTCTTCCAGACCCCTGTAGTGATCATTATTTCGTACTCGTATGTACAGTTTGGTGGGGCTGGAAGTTGTGTTGGAAGACCAAGCTTAATAAAAAGGAAAAAGGCCTGTTAGAGATATCTTTCACGTTATTAATCACTAGCTGATCCGCTTTTTTTCCTTTTTTTGGGGAGGGGGGGTGGGGAACGATAAGATACAAATAAGATTAGGAGATGTAGTAGTGTAGTTTGATCATTCGGGTGAGTGTAGTCCTGAGAAGGACTGTTGTCGGTAATGGTGACTGACGTCTCGACAACCTGAGCGGAAGTCATCATCAGAGCAAAGTGAAGGGTCGTTGTCAGTCGAATGTACTTAGTCCGGTTTTTATAAACTGATTAGTCAGTTTGGCGTGATATTATTGGCTGTAAGACTCAAGTGGCGTAGGTCAGTCGTGATTGGTAGGTTTCGATCCATTAGTGAAGTTAGGTCGTTCTGTTCGGTTCGTTTGTAATGTTAATGTCGTGAATGACTCGTTTGTATGGTGCCGGTAGTGGTTGACACCTGTTGAGGGGAGTCTGTTCCAAGTTAGTAAACCAACTTTCCAGGGTCAGTCGTTGAAAGTAGTTGGTGGTGTAGGTTACGCATTGCGCAGAGTCCAAGTAAATAGTGTGATGTTAAGCAATGTAATTGTTGACATCGCCTTTCCTCGTCGCTCGTTTGTGTTCAGTCAGTCTAGTTGTGAGGCTTCTGCCGGTCTCACTGATGTAGGAGGCGTCTCAGCCAATAACATCACGGCAAAACTGACCAATCAGTTTATACAAACCGGACTAAGTACATTCGACTGACAACAACCTTTCACTTTACTCTGATGATGACTTCCGCTCAGGTTGTCGAAACGTCAGTCACCATTACCGACAACAGTCCTTCTCAGGGCTACATTCACCCAGACGATCAAACTACACTATCACATGTTACACTCGGGTTAAAACCATTTACTGTAAGATAAGGAGAGCTTAGATTCAGCCAAGATTCCAAAGTGAACAATATATTTGTGCTGCAACTGAAGAACAGGTTTCAGGCCTTGGTGAGCATGGAGGATCTCATGCAGTCTGAAACACACGACGCCTTGCGGCACAAAAGAGCTGAAAGCCTGAAACCGCATGTGAGGCACCATTATCAAGCTGACCCGGAGGAGACGGGAATGTAGGACCTTCGTTGCTTCCCTATGTTACAGCCAGTATAATGGGCAGGAACTACCAGCCACTACTCGCCAAATGCTCTTTTCTCACTCGCCAGCTACTTTCCAAATGTACGATAGTTTTTGGAGAATATTTTAAAATGTATGTGACCTCAAACAAATCTATATGTATTTTTCTAAATGGAGAACTCACTCAATTAACCGATGCAAAAAAAACCTTGTTTTCATACTCACATCTCTTCCGTCGCGTTTGTCAGTTTTCCTAACAATAATGAGTGCGATCGTATAACAGAAGACGATCGTAGCTAACGTCACAATAACTGCAATATTTCCAGTCTCTGGTAATCTATTAAACTCCACTTGAACCTTGTCAAAGTCGATAGGATTCGGTTTAATTAAGAGACTTCCTCCAAATGCTGTCAGATGGTTACAACTGCAGTTTATAAAACCATCTGTTGCAGCTAAAACCTGCAAATATTCACAAAAACAGAATGCTTTGGTTCTCATATCTTTCTGATCATACTGTTGGCACCAGAAATGGTAATCAAGTTTACTGCATTTTACTATAAAGAATAGCTATTTCAGTTAAAAGTAGTTGTCATCGCCATTTTTCCAATGAAACGAACATCATCATATTATCATCAACACATATATTTGTCCAAGATTACACACCGATCCATGAAGTCTCTGAATTGTGTAGATATTATTGTAAACTTTCAAACAGATTAACCAATGATTCAAATAACTAAACACCCACCCGACAGCCAGTTGTTATCCACATCTCATGCTTATCCGACCAGAACACACAGCTTCCTAAAGCCACCTTAAGAGTATAGCTCTGATATGTTTTGGAGTCATAAACTGCGCTACTGACTGGGGTGTCTTTGACTACGACGCTAAGGAAACCAAGATAGTACTTTCCCGGACGTTTAGCTAAAGCTTCTATCGATGTAAGTGGATTCAAAGAGCACTCCGTTTCTCCTTCTTTTTTGCCTTGCGCAGTTGGCTTCCACACGCAATTACCGCTGTGGGAGATAGTAGCATTGAGGTCATATTCTTGGGTCGTTGGCCGCTGACCAAAGCGCATGTAAACAAGGAGATGTACAGTTGGATCTTGCGGTAAAATTTCCAGTATCAGTAGGGTATTTTTGTGCGTGACATTTATCTCGTGGAAACGTAGCTCATCTTCCTTTATAAAATACCATAGCTTCTCCTTGGAAGGTGTTTGTGGTTTTAACGGCACAACAATGACAATTTCTTCGTCTAGACTTGATACTTCCAACATTTCGCTGTTGTCGTTTTTCAAGTTCAGGACTAGAACATCAGAGTTGACTCGCTCTTTTGTACTGTGCCAAGTGTATGGGTTGAACGAAATAGACACCATCTACAATCGGTTGGAATACATCAAGTCATTCTTGTTGACAGAATAGTATTGAATTATCAAGTACAGCGGTTGTTTAATTCATGTGATGATAGTCACCAAAGTCCTCAAATCAGTTGTAAAAAAAATCGTGTATGACTTAGAAAAGGGAAGCTCTCTGCGAATCCTAGTGAAAATTTAAACGAGTTCATACTCATTCATGTAAGATCAACTTGGTGTTAACAGGATTGGTAAAAGGCTTCTTGCCAGCGAGATCCAGAATATTGCACAATGTGCTCTTACCTGAATATCAACGAAACGTGTTCCGTTATTTTTGGGAACTAGTTCTGTTCTGTTCGGCGGGAAAATGAACCGACCATTTCCTCCTTTTATCTCCAACCCTGCAAGTCTCTCAGGGGTGTGTCGCCTTAATGTCATGGACAGTTCTCTCGTTGTGATCGATGTCATATTTTCATCCGGCACCTTTAGAGCCAGCACTGCGGCCGAAACTTCACCAAGGACCTTCATAGAAGTATTTACCAATGATTTACCCTGTACGAAATATCAAAGAACAAAAGCAACTTAATCAAATCTAAAACAAATATATTATAGGTGATGAAATGCTTCCAGTAAAGACGTCCATGCTTTGGAGCGAACGCTAAGTCATCACTGCATTAGACCTTACGTCTTTGATTGCTAGATCTAAAGGACGATAAGTCCTCTTATGCCATCGGCATTGCTGAGAAAGACATTTATACCGTTGTTAAGAAGAAAGTACCGGACTGGCGTGTCGTGCAATTAGCGCGTGCGCGCTGAGACATTTAACGTTAATCAGTCGTAAGCAAGTTACGCTTACGATTTCTCGCGTATGTGTTGTCGTAGTTTTAGTCGCAATTTTAGCCGCATTTAGTCGCAATTAGTTGCAGTTTTAGCGGCAGTTTTTTAGTCGCATTTGGGAGATTTTCGTTATCTCTCCCAAACAACCGTAATCAAATGTATAGTATCATTTAAAAACAATTATAAGAATTCTTTCTGGTAGCAAATTCTCCTGATTACAATCATTGTGGTCGGCCAACACTGATTACAACTTTGTTGTACAATTTCAAAATAATCCTTTCACAAGCCAAACTTTTTATTGTGTCAACCGATGATTGATACACGACAGGAAGGCATGGCCAGATGTACAGTGAGTTCATCTCTCAATGAAAACCTTTTGAAATGTGTCTTCACTCGCTTACATAGCTAACGTAGACTAAACGTCATAAGCTGACATAAATACGTCTTACAGCTTTGAAAACCTATCTGATTGATACCTGTTCCTGGATATTTAAACTTTCATGACTTGACGCACTCACTGCTCCTGCTTTTACCACGTTTTCAAGACACAAAGCTAAGTTGTGTGCAGATTGAGGTACCAGAGGAATTTCAGTTACGTTTTTAGAATAGGAAGTCCTCCAGAGAAGTGAGGTCATCGAGCGAATAGCAGTCAGGGATGATTCCTGTTAAGTGTTAATTATAAGTGCGACAAAACGTTTATATTCGATTATTTTTTACCACTACAGGGTGAGCCGATTGTTCAGTTGGTTTTGCACCCTTACACTACACATATGAATTCAACAAATAAACAGTGTTTTTTTCTTAAAGAAACACTAAAACAACAATTAATTGCATAAATGGCCATTTTATCCTTTTTTCCACGATGAAGAGGGACTTTCGATCGATTATCGCCTCTTTTCGACAGTTATAATGCAAGTCTCCGTAAGGCTTTGAGGTCGAATGAGGAATTACGCCTCGCCATAATTGGGGATGTAATGCACTGTCACCTTTGCGTTTTGGTTGTATGCTATCGAGGTAAAAGTTACCCTATCACCAAATTGATTCTATTCAATCAGACCAGAGTTGAACTGACTATACAGAGTTAAAACCAGCACCAGAATTCGAAAGTGTCATTTAGACGCTATTATTTTTACGAACGAAACCTTGAATATATCCTTCAGGGAATTGAACATGAAACTACTGAAGACAGCCCACTGCTTCCAAATGCATTATGAGCTGCTCATAACAATTAACTCACCAGTGACTTGTGAGACACTTTCTCCGCCACCCGTAGAGCAGAAAAAATCACAGAGGAGCTTTGGAGCAGCGCTGAGATGCTTTTCACTTTCAGCGAGACAATCCTCTTGATGACTAAATCTTGAATCTGCAAGCACAAAAAGATTTGTACGTTTCAGTGTCTTGAGTTATAAACTGAATCTACAATGTGTGACAAATGTGTTGATATATTTAAATCACACATGGGGAATCATCACTGAGATGGCCCGGAACAAACAGGAGTGGAGGAGCTTTACTGTTGTCATATTTGCTAGCCAGTGTAATGAGCAGTAGTAACTAAATACAACTTATATGTAAATTGTGTACTATTGTAAGCTTTGCTTACCCTAGCTTTATCTTGTGAATCCATTTTAGTATCAGTTGAAATAATTTGGAGAACAGAGTTTGCTATTTGTGCAGCTTTATCCAAGTCTCCATTGTTAATGGCTTCATTAAATGAGCTGTCATTTGCTGTGAGAATGCCAGAGACGTTTTTTATTCCCAAAGACTGTGGAGGCTTAACCTAAGGAAAATCAAAGACCAACTTCAGTCTTCTTATATGGTTATTATTCGATAATTTGAGTCAAATTAAACGGGTTTTGGAAAGAAGATTGATAAAATGCCCTGATGCTAGTTTGCCGAATTTGACCAAGAACAACTTGGCTTTAAACCGATCAGATGCCAAACGAAAAACTTGGTCTTTAATCACAGTTCGTAACCATACATCGAACAAAAGTACAAAAATGGTTGACAGGACGGTAGTAGGGGGAAACTAAATTCCCATGCTAAGACATACCCTCCAAAAATAAAAATAAAAATAAAAAATAAAAAAAATTTTAAAAAAACTGGTATTTGGGGTAATTATGAGCGGAGGTACTTAATTAGTGAAGCTTTAAAAGACTGAAGGCTAGGGGATGACATTACTTCAGAAGGCAAACAGTTCCAATCGTTAATATATCTATTAAAAAAAAGAATATTTAAAATAATTTGTACGAGCAACTTTAGGCCTTATTTTATACTCATGCTTACTTCTAGTTCGAGTTATTCCAATAATATGAAAGTAATGATGGAATTGATATCACAGTGACCAAATATAATCTTATACATTTGAACTAGGCTAAGGTATTGCCTTCTCAGTTCTAAAGAGTCCCATTTTAACTCTAGAAGTCTTTCAGGATATTCTTTGTCTGGGCCACATATTAGTCGGGACGCTCTATGGTCGCCCGTGTTTTCCTGCGCTACTGATAGTTTGCCTGTTTTTACTTTAGGTCTTCATTGGTAATAATCACGCAGACCTTTGCTATGATTGGCTGTCAATTGAAAACTGCGCTATCAGAAATTAACAGCCTACCTTGACCAATAGGTAAACGGCAGGGGCAGACGCACCGACTTTATCAGTCACTGTAAAGATGAGCTTTATAGAATAGTCTGTTAAAATGTCGCCGGACGGTAGCCAAGAAATAACACTGTTGTTCAAGCCATGATATAGCATGCTGCGCGCACCATTCTCTAGTTGATAATGAAATTTGTAGGACAGAGGATTCTGATCACTTTTCCAATCAACACAAGTCAGGTTGAAATCGGTTTTTAGTGAGATGCCGCTTGACGGATTTATCCCACATATCCCCCCTGTAGGGGGTAACGCGGTGGTGAAGTCGTAAGCACTCATCCCTTGTAAACCGTCTCTAGTTGTCGCGAATAGTTTCAAGCGGTAGTTCTTTCCACCAGTAAGGGATCCTTCCTTGATTACTATGTAGCTTGAACCGAGCGGCGTGTCAGTGATAGGCTGTAAATCCTGCTTCCTCCATACAACTGACGAATTGGATCTGTAGAGCTCGTAGAGAATCCATTCATAGGAAGATATTTCAGAGCACTGTGATCCATGGCATTGCGCCTGGACACTGAGCTTAACTGACGGACTGACGACCTTGAGTCCATGGTTTATAAGGAAACTGAAAATATAAAAACATTGAAAAACAAATATCATAAATGATTGTTATTTTTAATTTGTGAGACAGGCACGTTCCCTGCTGAGTAGCTGAGCATGGAAGTGAACCATAAACGACTTCGGACGTATCTTTTGGGGCGCACTCGACAGAGAGGCTGAAATTACGCAAATAGGGGAGCTGTAAAGTTTCCTTTGTTTTCCTTCAGTGATCCAATGAGAACCTAAGGTCTTGCAGAGACAATTAAGGTTCAATTTTCACCTTTAATCTGAAAAAAAGGGCAATAAAAAAGGAAAAATAAAACAACCAAAGAGAAAAAACTCGCACCTTTGGGATATTTGAAAGGGGTTAAAACTCTTTATATGGATGATTTGATAAGCGCTTGCATTGCGACAGTCCTTGGTCACGACCATTTTCACTATGTAGGTCTTGTTTGGAGACATGGCTGAAGTATTTAAGATCATTTGTACACCAAAGGCGTTCCTAGAATAGTGGATCGTTGACTCGTTTACTCCTGTGAAGACATCTTTTGTTTTACAACCCCGTCCGGAGAGGTTACAATTGATCTCACCATAATACCAGGTAAAGCTCATTCCTGAGTGGTTGCCTTGTCCGACATCAGGGTCGTATGATAATGATGCGTTCATGATGATGGTTTCGTTGACTCCGCGGATTACTTCGTCGCCTCCGTAAATGGCCGCGACAAGATCCGGTTTCCTTTGGCAACACTTCTTACCTTAAACAGTAAAATTAAAGGCATTTACTATAAATAGCAGAATTGATTTTCTTTACGTTGTTATCTTTTCAGGGATGATTTCTTAAAATGAAGCATCATTTATCGCCATTTCGGGTAAAACTTGCTGTCTTCAGTTAGGAAAGAAGGACATACACACTTGCAGCTTTATCCATGGAAGACGCAAGGTCAAAACTGACAGATTGTGGGATCCAGAAAAAATAAATGTTGATCAAGAGGAGATTAAGACGATAAGGAACAGGATTCGACCCTGTCCTTTCCCACCTAAACTTCCTATTCGAGTTTGCAACCCTTCTTCTTTCGTTTCTTTCGTAAGACCGTAACAGTAAAAAAAAAAACCACACACACATTCACACGCAGTCGCTCTACAAGTAGTCTAGCTTTGTGCTCATAGATTTAATCGAGCTTAAAAATCATTCATAATGTGCAGTGTTAAGGGCTATTTTTCTAATTTCTTACCTTTTTGTCCATCGCAAGACACATAATATTCTGCCTCAAATCCCCGATCAACTGTTTTTCCCGAATGGAACCTCACGAACATTTCGTGTCCCTTAGACAAAGTCTCATTCAGGATCGATCCATCACAAAATCGCGCTAGAAAAGGAGAACTTGTTGAGCCACCATCGTAAAGCTCAACATAGGAGCAAGAATCCGAATTACAATCGGTTGCACATGGACTAAGGGCAAAGTCAGTGAAGGCAAACTTTATCTTTTGACTGGCAGATCCTGTTATTTTCCATGTACAATTGGTAAACATGGTGTAGTTACTCATTGGGTAGTTCGGGCTCCTTATCTTTCCGCTACCATAAAGAGGAATTACTTCCTTTGGACAAACTGGAATAAAAATATTTCCGTTGAAATATCTGAGAGGAGAAAAAACAATTGCTATCATTCCTTCCTCTTTTGTTCCGGACGAATGTCACTCGAGAGGGAAGGCACCTTAACAGATATTCTTAATGAGGGAGGCATTGAGGCCTTTTAGAAACCGCAAAACCGTAGAAAAAATCGTCCAAAACCGAACAACCGGAAAAAAAAATTCGATCAAAACCGAAAACCGCATGCAAAACTGTCAAAACCGATACATTTTCATATCCCAGTTATTAAAACCCTGATCGATCCGATACAGTGGTGACAAGTGCAGCATACAGAGTAAACTATACTTATTTCATTACAGGATTTATGAACGCCATGAACTTGGCATTCGTATCTTCTAGTATCTGCTTAAATTAACAGCTGCTCTTTCGAGGGCCTCGAGCGTGGTCTCTGCGGACACAGCAGCTGGTAATGGACCCTAGTTAAACTAGTGAAATCCGCACAAAAGTGCTCAATAGGATTGTAATTTTGCAGTCACAAATAGCTATAGCTCTGGAAAAAATAGCCAAAACCGCAAAACCTCCTTAATGGGATTAGCTAGCAAGGGAACCATCCGAAAAGCGACCCGTATGTCTAAAATTTTTGTTTCATACTAACAATATAAAACAGCTCTTCTTTCATGGAGGCAGACTTAATGACCAGGCAGATGATTCGTTATAACATATTCCACTAACCCCAAATCACTTTCTTGAAAAATGGCGTTCTCTATTCTAACTGTATTGAATCATTTTTTCATTTGCTCTTTTTGCAGCTATTTTTTTATTTTGATGCTGCATAAGCATGTTTCATGGAAAAGACGGACTGACGATCATATATATATGCTACTTACTTGGAGGACTGTAGTTCAACAGCTTGTAAGTTGCCCCAAATCCGCCATAATCCCTGCTTCCATCGGACACAAACAGCACCCTCAGGCTTTCGTGTAGTGAATAAAATTTTACAGGAATAAACCTTGGTGTGCCGCATAGTTTTCCAGGTAGCGCTACAAAACTGAAGCTATTCTGAACTTCTATATAATCATACACGCACGCGGCGCCACAACAAATTTCAAGTTTATAGTCTGGTATTGTGAGCTCAACACGGTATCCTTGTTTCCCTATAATCTTCCAGCTGCATTTCTGGTTGACTGGATAGTTTCTTGGATGAAAGGGAGAGGAGAAAGAACCTGATGTTTCATCGAGGATCATATCTGTAGGACACACTGAAAAAAATTAAAAAGTCTACGTGAGGTTCAGGACAATGTCTCTTATCTACTGTAATTACTGAGTTCACGTAAATCGAGCTTTCGTTTATTTGCGATAATGAAATGTGCGATTAAAGCTTCTCTCTCTTTCTCTGTCTCTGTCTGTCTGTCTCCCTCTCTCTCTTTCTCTGTCTGTCCCTCTGTGTGTCTGTCTGTCTGTTTGTCTCTATGTCTGTCTCTCTTTCTCACCAGTCATGAGGCTCCTTATGAACAAAGTACCGGGGCTGTCAGATTGACAGCATCACGCTGAAGGCCTTTTTAGATAGAACACCACAAACCACCTTAGAGAGAGAGACAGAGAGAGTACCTTTATTTTTTATAAAAATATCAAAATATACACGACAAAAAACTCTTACGTGTATCTCTATCTATCGCCTCAAAAGATGCATTGAATCCTTTGTTTACGGTGGCGCGGGATTCAAATGTCACTCGAAGGAAGTTTCCATCTGAGTAAACAGGAGGAGGAAGCTTTTGACCACAAATCTTAAAGTCACCACGCTTTCCGTTATGGGAAGCAACGTTTGATATAAAAACACGGGCACTCGTTGGTACTGCTCCAGCGCAGTCATCGTTTTCACCTGTTACCAGGGTGAAGTTCAAAAAGATCAGTTTGATAATTTTCCCACTGGGTACCGTGATATTCCATGTGGATGTTCTGCTTGTTGGGAAGTTGTTGGGAAAATTAGGGCTCCAAAAATATCCACTCCAACCATTTAGGTTGACTTCAGATGAGTTGCCGGCTGTAAAGGAAAGATCAGTTATTGGATCGTTGAGAAAAAAATAATTTCATTTACTAAATACTTTCCATGAAGCAAAGACGCTCAAGCAGAAATTACAGCCACAATTTATACCATATAAGTTATTCTATTAGTTGCAGTTATTTCGGTTAAAACGAGCTGATTTACGCGCTTCCCACTGAACCAAAGCTACAGTGACCATCTGATCATCTAAGCTCAAATTTTACATGCATAGGAAATTATTTAAAAATTAGAGTATCTGCATTTAACTACAGCTTTGGGCACGCGGGCATTTTCAGTAAGCACGACAAAATGTCAGGAAACCTAGGATGAATGTAGGAGTGTAAATAGCTCGGTCACCGTTTTCATTTCTCCTGCTTCTTATACTGATTTGTTCAGATAATATTCACGATAGCTTCGTCAAACTGTGAGCTGTCGCGTGCTTTGAGGTGTGGTTTTAGAAGCACTCCCCAAAAGTCTCCGTGACAAGTCAGTGCGTGAAATAAGTTCATCGGATATTTCATTTGCAACTTGCTACTTCGTCGTCACGTCCAAACGTAACATGAAACAGGTTCTGTAAACGAGCCACTTCAGTATTCAATTAAATTTATTCAATTCTTTAAAATTTATTCTTTGTTCTTTGTACAAAAAAAGAAAAGTGATAGTTTGCCCAGCAAATTGCTGGAAAGTTAAGATAAGTACATGAAAAACACAAATTAAAGACAAGAAGTCACTGACTCTTAAATGATGACGTAGACGATCGTGTATTGTATGAGTGAATATCAGACGTTTTCTGAAATAAATTTAACATGTTTGCTGGGGCTTTATCGTTATTGATATCGTACATTAAGGTTGATACGGACTCATAATATAGAAAAATTATTGGAAGCACGTTAGCTTCGAGAAATAAAGGAACTGCATGGTCATGCCAGTCCGCGAAGTACGAAGACAGCTCTTTTCTGAAGAATTAGAATTTTGTTAAGATAAGTCTTGCATGCCTGACCCCAGGCAGCAAGACCATAGGTTAAATAAGGATTAATTAGTGACTTATACATGCTTTGCAAGTAGCCCAACATTTTTATTAATTTTGTAACAATAGAATCAATGTGGTATTTCCAAGAGAGACTGTGATCAATAAGAACGCCCAGGTATTTTATGTGAACTTTTGACCGAGGACCAACATATTTATTCTTTACATTATCAAACATGCAAAGTTTTGGTTGATAAGCGAGTCGCTTTCGGTGACGGGCTACAAAATTTCCCCAAAAAAGCAATAGACTTTCACAAAGCAGACGAGTGGTACTCCCAGAATAAGAATTATTGATAGGACTTTGAACATTTTTCCCTTCAGGATACCCACGCCGGATCCAATTTCGACAAGCCTTAATTAAAAACCCGTTGACGCGCTTGCGGAACAATAATCTTCATTTTACCAATGTCTCTTCGCCGATTGACTTTACATGAGAAAGTTATCTTAGAATCAACCAATTTTTAGAAACGGATTTCACTATAAAAGTTGTTGCACTATGTTGCAATATTTTGTCATCTTCGCACTCTCACAACACGTACAACTATGCCAGTAGCATAGGCACGTACACCGCACTTTGTTTGATTTAATGAACCCTCGTCTGCATTGAATTACCTGAAAACTGCATTTATTTTAACCAATCAGAACTAAGTAATTTTTTCATGTATATTATTAGGAATAAAAAAAGGAGGTGAAATTTTTGCAATTACACAACAAACGAACCGAACTTAACGACCTAACATGGGGAAGAGAAAGAAATTGAGTCATATATATCATTGACAACATCACGTCAAAACTGACCAATCATATTACAAGTTTGGTCCTATTACAAATGTGACCGATCATATTACAAGTATTTCCAGCGTTAGCCCTTCGTCAAAGCGAATGCCTAACGAAGGGCTAATAAAGGGCTAACCCTAGAAACGACAGCTTTGAAACTCCTTACGGTGGCCAATTTCCTTTATCAACTAAATTACCCTGTAACACCCAAAAGAAGTTATTAAAAAACGTTTAAATGTGGTTAAATGAAAATATCTCATATAAACTTCCTTCGAAGATGATAAAAATCAACCCAAGGATACCTTTCGATATGAATATAACCAATTTCCAAAAAACATGGTATGGGCCAACTAAACTACACAGCGAGTAAAGCTCACAACGTTTCAACAGTTTGATTCGCTTGAACATCACGTAGCAGATGAATGACAATCTAGATTCTCTTTCATTTGGATTCATTTGGTGAAGGGCTACAGAATTTCCCCAAAAATGCAATAAACTTTCACAAAGCAGACGAGTGGTACTTACCCAGAATAAGAATAATTGATAGGACTTTAAACATTTTTCCCTTGAGGATACCCACGCCGGATCCAATTTCGACAAGCATTAGTTAAAAACCCGTTGGCGTGCTTGCGTAACAATTTTCTTCACTTTGCCAATGTCTCTTCTAATAAAGGTTGTCAGTTTTAACATGAAACTGAGAAAATAACGTCAAAAAGCAACGACGCTTCGACCGCTCAACGGTCATTGCCAAGTTACAGGATAAAATAGTTATCATGCCCATAGGTAATCAATTGTAAAACTGCTAATTGATACTGACGTTAAACTCCAAAATATTTACATAGAAAAAATAGGAGAAAACTGCGGCAATAATGATAAAAAACACTACAATATTAAATGTAGTAGCTTCACCCAAAAAAATGTGTATCCTTGGTTTTCTATGAAGCCAGAACGTGTCAGAATTTCCTCAAAAAACAATAAACTTACACAAAGCAGACGAGTGGTATTAACTCAGAGTAAAAATTGTTAAAAAGATTTGGAACATTTTACCCTTTAGGATACCCACGCCGGGAATAATTTCGGCAAGCCTAAGTTAAAATCCTTGTGATGCGCTTGTCGAAACAATTATCTTTCCTTTACCAATATCTCTTGGCTGATTGACTTTACATGTAAGAAACAAAAAACAAAATCATTTGTGCGGTGGCACATGGTATGAGGCAACTACACAGCGAGTAAAGTTCACAACGTTTCAACAGTTTGATTCGTTTGAACATCACGTAGCAGATGAATGACAATCTAGATTCTCTTTCATTTGGATTCATTTAATGACGGGCTACAGAATTTCCCCAAAAAAGCAATAGACTTTCACAAAGCAGACGCGTGGTACTTACCCAGAATAAGAATTATTGATAGGACTTTGAACATTTTTCCCTTGAGGATACCCACGCCGGATCCAATTTCGACAAGCCTTAATTAAAAACTAGTTGACGCACTTGTGGAACAATAATCTTCACTTTACCAATGTCTTTTCGCCGATTGACTTTACATGAGAAAGTTATCTTAGAATCAAACAATTTTTAGAAACGGATTTCACTATAAAAGTTGTTGCACTATGTTGCAATACATTGTCACCTTCGCACTCGCACAACACGTACAACTATGCAATTATCATAAACACGAACACCGCACTTTGTTTGATTTCGTAGTAAATAATATACATGAAAAAATTACTCAGTTCTGATTGGTTAAGATGAATGCAGTTTTAAGGTAATTCAAAGCGGAAGAGGGTTACTTCAGTGCAAAGAAGTAACAAACCAGACATTCTGATTGGTCAATAGTCAAAGAAACTCACAGATAGCCTATCAAATGCGAGTCTTGGATGTCGCAACATTTGGATACGCCAAAAATTTGCCACCGAACCAATGGCCGGCGTTCTCAGCTGAAAACAGCAGCTGAAAAACAGCTCTAACAACGACCACCCGTCGACGCGTTTGCGTAACAATTTTCTTCACTTTGCCAATGTCTCTTCGAATAAAGGTTGTCTGTTTTAACATGGAACTGAGCAAATAACGTTAAAAAGTAACGATGCTTCGACCGTTCAACGGTCATTTCCAAGTTACAGGATAAAATAATTATCATGTCCCTTGGTAATCAATTGAGTCGTCCCAGTTCACCGCGGAGATGGCAATTTTGTGAATTTTGTTTAGTATACTGTTGAATGCTCGGCTGCTGCAATATGTTCCACCATTTCTTGCAGAAAATATGAATATGGATCTTTCCTTGCACGGCCCTGAATTTTATGAAAATTTGTTTAAAAGTAAATTAGACTTACTTCTTTTCGAAACTATACCAAGACCGTTAACAGAACAGCTTTACCGGCTCGTTAAGGTACCGGCACCTTCGAGAAATGGCCCCGAGGTCCTTTTCCTTCCCAGCCCTAGTCCCACGCAACAATTTCACCTGACTATATCAGAATATCCGCCATCTTCTCCGTGTGGACATACTATGAGGCTTACATGACACTCATTATAAGTTGTCTTCGACACGAACAAAATGTTGCAATCGGTCTGTAGACGTGTTCCTTTTAAGAGATCTCTGACTGCCCAGGTAATTATATCTGTTCTAGACCGCACTTCATAGGAGTGCTTCTCATAAACATGCCTTTCGTGCGTCTGTCCTCCGAGAGATCATAGTTGTGAACCAATCAAAATACAATGTACAATTCAGCGTATAATATAACCCCTTGTAGATAGTTAGTTAGCTGAGTATTCTAAAATTGTGCTGTTAAGAAAAATATAAAATGAGAACATAAATCTGTTATTTTGTAGAATCTTGTAGATAGTAAACTAAATAAATTTGATTACTTGCCATTGATTTCTATGCATGGTTGTTAATTTGTGTTTAGCCGTTATCAGCTGTCACGCAATAAAAATCTTAAGCTTATTATTTGACTTTTGATATGACTCTCTGGCTGCTCTTCAGTTAAGCAAGAGGTTTCTGAGTCAAACAAAAGATGAGAGTCTCACGATTTGCAGTCAAGAAGATGGCATAAGGAGAATTGTACTAAACAATCCAAAACGAAGGTAGAGCACTAACTCATAATTGTTACTGTGGCAATCACTTTGAGGCTGCAGAATTCGTGTTACTTTCTTACACACTTTGCCAAGTCATATGGAACCATTGAATGAGTGGTAATAACTACACAAAGTCCTTCAATCATTACCCTAAAACTAGAGGAATGAAACTCATGAGTGCTTGCACGTGAAAGAAACTGTTAGTTTGGCTGGGAACATTGTGCGGATGCTGAAGCCATGTGAAAAATTGTTATTAATTTATTACTATTAATAATAGTGTGCCTTTTTTCCCTTCAGGAATGCCCTTTCCTTGAAAATGCTGGATGCAATTAAGTCAAACCTACTTCAAAATGTAGACTCTGAACTTAGAGTTATTGTCTTGTCTGCAAATGGAGGTGTTTTTTCCTCTGGACATGACCTTAAAGAACTGGTAAGGCCACAGTTCTTGTAGCAAAATGACTAGGTTGCTGAGCTGTGTTGGTTTGGCAGAGGACTTGAAGTTGGTGATCAATGGTATATAAACTGCTTTGGTGCACTTTAAAAAGCTAAATTTGCTTCTTAGGTTCTTTTACCATCAACAATTTGTAGTTGATCATCACCTTATAAGTTCTTTTGGTGTTAAAAAAATGTTCATTTAAGTTATGTTTTGCAGGAGCAGGCTACCCTTTCAAAAAATTTTAAGACAATTATCACCACAAATCTAGTCCTCAGAAGTAGTTTTAAAATATTCAAACTGGCCTGCAAAGTGTATTGAGCACTGAATGAGAATTTTTTCTATTACAAATTGCAGACAGAAGAAGAAGGAACTGACCATCATGCCCAAATCTTTCATCGTTGCACTGAAGTCATGACACTTGTTCAGGTGTGTAATTTAACGTACTCAGTTTTTCTTTTATTCCCTAAACCTCTAAGAGTGACTAAGATCTAATTTTTCCTTACAATATCACCCCTTAATCTCACATTAACATCACAAGTGTAAAGGAAATGATTGCCAACCAAAGAAACTCTTGATTGTCAAACAAATTCTCTTTGTCAGTACCTTAGGAAATGAACAGAGAACAGTATGGAGAATATGCATATTGAGGTTGGGAAGAAAAGGTTGATCTACTATACCTGATAGCATCAATTGTTACTAAATTTCTGTCATTTCTGTAGTAACACACAGAGAAATTGTTGAAAATTTACTGAAAAGAAAACAAAAATAATTAGTTTAGAACCTCTAAACAAAATACAAATTAATCTTTTTTTAAATTTAATTTAAATATTTCAGGATATTTCTGTTCCTGTCATAGCACAAGTGAATGGTAGGTATAGGAATTCACAGGAATGCTAGTGCATTTTGACATCTATGGGCAGGAATATTGGCAAGAAAGTTTTTGTTTCCTAGTCAATGTGCTCTCTTTATTTCTTGCACAATTCTTTGGTGATTGCGTACAGTAAAGGAAGGGCCATGGGTTCAGAGCCACTTTAACCCTTTAACTCTCAAGAATCCATTAGTAATTCTCCCTACATTCTGCCATACAATTTATGTTATGTTAGTTTGGAGAATTAATTTAAAATTGGATCAACCAACAATGCCCTAATTGATATATTTCTTTATTCTCATTACTTGTCTGCTTTTTATAGTGCTGATAGTGTAAGGAGAAATTCTGTCTTGGTCACCAGTGGGACTTTAAGGGTTAAATCATCAAAACAATAAAGTTGCTCTGAACCAACTGTATAGTACTCCGTATGAGTAAGAGGAACCTTACAGAATTGTGGTTGATCATGCCAAGAAAATAGTTGATTAACTAAAGACAAAATAAATGCATATATGCCTCCATGGTCATTAATCTTTTCGCTCTACAGCTTTCACAGAGTTGTTTTTTGTAATTTATTGAAGGTTCATTTTGTATATAATTTACAGGACTTGCAACTGCTGCAGGATGCCAATTAGTAGCCAGTTGTGATATTGCAGTGGCCTCCTCTAATTCACAATTTGCTACACCAGGGTGAGTATGCACAGAAAAACAAGACTTCAAGGAAAAGAGACACTTTTTACAATATAGAAAATTGTAGAAAAATTGTAGAAAACACCACTTGTTCATGAAATAAACAGTATGGCTGCCAGTCATTTTTGTAGGTTAGCCAAACATTTTATGGCTTGAAGCCAGATACATGTAACTAAAGAGACAAAGGCAAATTAAAAAAAAAGGAGCATTATGTAATTATATTTTATGAAAATTCTTAATAATAGACCACAAACACTAAGAAATATAATTATTACAACCTGTTACTTGACCTATTTGAAGGCAGGTCACTAAATTTGAAATGTCCAATATAGTTTTATACTCACCATGGTAACCAAAATGGTCACAGCTTGGAGTGTATTGCTCAAGGTGCCTTCATGATCAAGGAAAACCAAGAACTGCATGCAAAGGCTACAAGACTATGTCTACATTGTCCATCTTCATCTATTAACCTACATCGATTGTACATGAAATCAGTATGAATAACAAGGCTTGCAGAAATCTCATCAGTCTAAGAATTCATAATTTTTGAAAGCCTTTGTAAATCATTGCATTGTTTTATTTTGTTGTTTGGTTGTTTTTTACTTTTTAGTGTCAACATTGGGTTATTTTGTTCTACTCCTGGAGTTGCTTTGGCTCGTGCTGTACCTAGAAAAGTAGCATTAGAAATGTTATTTACTGGCAATCCTATTAGTGCAGATGGTAAAGACATTTTTCCTGGCTAGAGATATTTTAGGATTTTTAAGTGACAGTTGTATCTCTATTTAGTTCTTCTTCACTTGGTGTATCGAGAGAGAAGGCTTAGGATAACATAGTTTGGATCCCTGCGATGTGAACATTTTCCTCCCCCTTATGCCTACCCCCCCTTCAGCAAGAACGTATCTATTTTGCGGCTGACGGCTAGTCGCACCAACAACTCAGTCTACTGATGGAATTCTGGATCATATCAAACTAACAATCATATTGTGTTATTTTCCAATTTAACAGATGCTCTTAAGTCTGGCCTCCTTAGCAAGGTTGTACCTGAGGAAAAACTAGAAGAAGAAGTCAACGCGATTGCCACAAAGATTGCTTCATTAAGTCAGCCTGTTGTAGCTATGGGAAAGTCATGTTTCTACTCACAAACCATGAGAGGACGGGATCAAGCTTATGTGTGAGTTTTAGCTAAGAATGACAGAAATCTTCTCAAAATTTCACGCGAAAATGTGGTGCTTGGTCGGTTGAAACTACTGTTTGGGGTTTTTTAGCTACGAGGCCCACTAAGATTTGTAATACTTACATTTTGAACGTCTAGAATCTATTTATGTTGCTGCAACTTCATTGAATAATTCCAGTTTAGAGCGCCTCTCAAATGAGTTTTGTCAAAACGAAACCATGTATCTCCAATTGCCAACGAGAACAAAGGAAAATATCACCATAAACCAATGAGATCTCGAATTGAAAGCGAATCACTGCCGAAGAGCGGGAAAACGCAAATGAACAAGACGTCAATCGCTTAAGATTTGTATCTTGTTAGAGGAGGGAGTAACACTAACTTACTATACTAAATAATTAAGTGTACAGGAGCGCTTTTCATTTTACTGTCTAGAACTAGAAGTTAAATAATCTTAAAAGGAGAAAATGATCCTAGTGAGGCTTAAAACGGAATTTAGAGTCATAGCTTTTTTTTTTTCCTATATTCACGTAGCTGTTAATTTTTGTTGCTTTTCAGAGAGGCGGAGGCAGTGATGGTTGAGAACCTGAAGCTTCGTGATGGGCAGGAAGGAATCAAGGCTTTTCTTCAAAAAAAAAGCCATCTTGGACACACAACTGACTGTCATTAGCTGTAGTTAGAGTCTACACAATATTTAATTGCGTTGGTTTCGCTTTACTTCACTACGCTCTGTGATTGGTTAAAAAAAACTCACGCCATTCTCTTAACCAATCAGATGTAAAACCTAAATCAATCGGTGCCCGGTCACTCACGTTTCCCGCGCTGCGGGCAATGTTTGAACTCCATAATCTCATTCACTTCTTGTGATATGTCTCTTGTTCTGTTTGGCCGTTGGTATAATTGGGAAAAAACAAGGTAGGAGTTGTTCGTCAGTCCAGTGTTATATTTCAGTAGTCCAAAAAAAAAAAAGGTACTTTATCCTCCCGGATGAGAATTGTAATTGTTTGTTCACGTGAATTGACCTTCAAAGTATTACATTTGCGCACACGATTATTTATTTAAACTAATATAACGTTTTTGCATATAACATTTAAAAACAAACTCAACGGATACAACGCACTAAATTGATGATGGCATGAGTCATGTCGAAACATGTCTGCAAAAGATTTTTCTCGTGAATTTGAAATTTGTTTTAAGAATAATAATTATTAATAAAATGCGATAATACAAATAAATTCTGAAATTCAAACCTGAACTCGCAGATGTGCAACATAGGTTTCTCATAGCTGAGCACTTGCAATTATCCAGGAATTGCCAGAAAGGTGTAATCATAACTCAAGAAGGAAGTTTTTCCACGCAACAACAAGTGCATACAACGTTGACAAAAGGGAAACCTAAGTTTTCGCCACGACGTAAAATCCCCGAAAAGCAATGGCTAAAATAACTCTTTCAATTGAGAGGATTTACCTTCTTCGTCAGCTAATAGCACTTTCTTATTTCCCTACCCACTCTGCGAGTTAAATCTACCTGTCCCTTCCAAAAAGGTTGAGCATCTTCAAACAGTCGTCAACAAGACTCTCTTCTGCCCAACGACTAATCTTTCTCGTCGTGATGTCACAAACTAGAAATTTGCGCGCGCTTGTATTAACCAATAAGATTCATAAGTGATGTCTGACGTCAACGAGAGGATATCTCCCAACCTCTTTCCCAAGGTCCTATCCTCATGCCTCGAAGGAGAAAGTGATAGGACCTGGAAACGAGGTCATATCACGGGCGCAGCGTGCGCAAACTATTGCGTGCTCTTCATCATCATTTGCTTCATGTTTAGCACACGCCCGTTGAAATTGTGCAGGACGGAGAAAATCTGTTGCTGATCAATCTTATTACCAGATCTTACGTTAACCTTATCCAGCGGAACGGCCTCTGTAGCGCACAGAGTCGTCCTTTCCTGACTGCTGATCAAGGAAACAAGGACTCTGGAAACGAAATTGATCAGTGATTCGTACACAGTCGATTGCACAGCGGAATAAAATAAAGGTAGGGGGAGTAAATGACCCCCATAGACAATTTTTTAGTACTAAATTTCGAAGCAATGCAACTAAACCTCCAAAAGCGTCAGAAATATTTTGATAATATAATAAATCCGCAGCAAGCTCTAAATTTCGTGCTCAATGAAAAGCTGAGAAATTTACCAAAATTCGAAGGAAGTAAACCTGAAACCAAATTTCGTCTTCTGTAGTGGTGGGTGTCTTCTTTTGAAAACATCTAATAATTAAATCAGCCATCTTCCATAAAAACCTCAGTTTGAGGAGGCAAGGCGTTTTTAGTAAAGGATTTCGATGATATAGGGAGGACTGAGGCGATGGTTTGACAATAAACGGAACTGAAACATGTATCTGTGCGCCCGTATGACTCGTAATTACTCGTATGTACTTGTATGTTACTCGTAGTGCTCGTGTGTTGTTTTAGTCACTATCCTTTGAAGATCAATTGAACAAATGTAAGCTTATTTGCACCTTATCTTCTTCTCGCGAATGGCTATAGCACGTTTTATTCTCCTCTCTTCCATCCCAGCAAGTCGATCTCACCGTAGTGACTTCAACAGAAAAATAGCGCCATCCGAATTATTACCAAAATCTTCGGCAAAACCTGTAGCCAGATTAGAGCCAAAATGCCAAAAACTGTGCGCATTTTACCTTGAAAATGTTAACAATTAATGTGTCATCAAGAAATGTGCTCATAAAGAGATTCACCTCGTCCACTTATGTCCTGCACCTGCTAGAAACAGTCTTTCTTAATTTTTTTCTATATATTCAACACGTTTTAATGAAATTTGTCTCTTCTTAAGCACAGTTCAAAAGGGGACGTCGACCTCGAGGGAGAGATGGGTTCTTGGGCTTTTGACACACAGTATGACCCCACTCGACCGTATTTAAAGCTTGTGAGAAGGCGAGATGCGCGTACGCATGCGTGTTCAACTGTTTTCCTTGAAAGGGTGTCAGTCCCTCTAAGCAGGAAAGGTTCTTTTTTTTTCATTTCCCATAATATGTTAAAATCCAAGCATATATTTACCAAGTTTACAAAGCTATCCAAGATAAACGAACAAAACGCAACATTAATACATGGAACTGTGTTGTTGCTTTGACTGAATTTCTCAAAAAAGAACCTGTTTCAAAGTTGTAGGCTAAAACAGGTTCTCGTAAAAGGAGTTTTAATGCACAATTTTTGTCTAACATTTTCAGTTAATCTATTTTTCTTAAAATCTAGGTTCTTAAAAAGGGTTTTTACTGTCTGTAATAAATTCAAACATTGCAATAGTCTAGCACACTCGAGTTATTTTACGCGAAAATATTTTGAACATTGACGTCATTTTCCCGGCCCAAGAATTAATGGATAAAAGTACGTAAAACTAGTAGAATTTTCCACAGGAATTGAAGCAGCAAGATGCAATCAAAGGATATAGTAAAAGAACAAAACGTTAAAGAAGTTCGACGCATACCCCAAGACGCTCGAAGAGTTTTTCAATTTTTTGTCTAACATTTTCAGTTAATCTATTTTTCTTAAAAGTGAAAACTTTGCAATAGTGGAGCGAGGTATTTTGAGCATTTGGTATGCTAGAACGAGATAAAGAAATGGCGACTGCAACTTCTCGATGTTTAGAGAATTTTAGACAATTTTCGAAATCATAAAAATGGATATGGATAGTTTGAGGATTATCTGGAGGCAAAGACAACAATTTATTAAAGATATATCATTGCGTAAGATCATTTGATTTTGTTTGTCCCCTTTTTTAGTCATATAAGATTTCAAACGTTGGAGAGAGGTTAAAACATGTACAATTTGGGATACTGCCTTTTTATTATCGTGATTTTACCTTATAAGAATCTTAGGATGTTTTTACTCTCTCAATTTTCTCGGTTCGCCAGAACACATCAGAACGCTTTGTACAAAATGCGATGGAAAATTTGGAGCTATGCGATGTTTGATTTTTAATCCAAATGGCAAGAGGATTATCTGGAGGCAAAGACAACTAGATAATTGCAGACTTAATTCAAAACCAACACTCGTGTACATAATTCAAAACCAACATGTACATACTACTGTTTTTCATACATTATTTATACCAAATTTAGAGATTTTTATAGTTCATACATGTTTAAGTTCACTACTTTTGAGAGTCATGTCTTTTATCTTTGCCTGAAGATCTTTAAGGTTTATTTCTAAAACAGGAACCTGTTTCAAATTTAGGCTAAATAGGTTCTTATGTAAAGGGGGTCTAAATTGATATTTTTAGGCTAACAGGTTCGTGAATTCTAGGTTCTTATAAGCTACTGTATTTCCGATAGGTGGGTGCCGCGGAGTTCCCTATTTAAGGATAAAAAAAATTGATACCGTTGTTAAGGCCCAAACCCCAAAAAGACGCCTTATTCTAGGTAAAATAACAATCATGAAAAACAAACAAACAACGGCTGACCTCGCACTGCAAAAAGAAGTCTTTATAAAATCGCTTTGCTTATGAGTTTAACCGCCTAGTTCAGTTTCAAAAGATCATTTACTTTTCGTTTAGCTTGGCAGTTACACACTGCAGTTTTAGCTGATACAATTTAGGTGGATCCTATTACGGACATAAACTGGACAGTTAATATCGGTAACGTTGTACAAGCAATATAACGTTAAGGACCTGTTAGAGCTATAAGAGCTAAGGAATAATAATCATTTTAGGTATGTTGGATTAAGGGCAGCATGACATCAGGGATAAAGCATAAGCCGGGTAGTTTTAGGAATAATAGAAATACGTTAAGGCACAACATTAGTTACACAAGAGCGACCAACTTTACGATGTATTTTTCCATTACCAAATCGGAACATATATCGAAAAAACCTCGCACTCTTTCTTAGCCTATTTTCTTCTAAGCGATATGGTCGGTAAGTGAACCTATACTTGGCCGATACTTGACCGATACTTGGCCGATACTTGACCGATACTTGACCGCTACTTGACCGATACTTGACCGCTACTTGACCGACACTTGACCGACACTTGACCGACACTTGACCGACACTTGACCGACACTTGACCGACACTTGACCGATACTTGACCGATACTTGACCGCTACTTGACCGCTACTTGACCGATACCTGACCGATACCTGACCGATACTTGACCGATACTTGACCGATACTTGACCGATACTTGACCGATACCTGACCGATACCTGACCGATACTTGACCGATACTTCACCGATACTTCACCGGCAGTTGATCGCTACATATCGGCCGATGCATCGGCCGACAGTCGGTCGATATATCGGTTGACCATCGGTCGACTATTGGTCGACAATCGGTCGACTATCGGTCGACTATCGACCGATAGTCGGTCGATTGTCGACCGATAGTCGACCGATAGTCGACCGATATATCGGTCGACTGTCGCCCGATATGTCGACCGAGTCCACCTATAGTACACATGATCCGACAATTTTTTAGTACTATTTTCGAAGCGATGGAACTCAACCTCCAAAAGCGTCAAAAATATTTTGATAATATAATAAATCCGCAGCAAGCTTTAAATTTTGTGCTCAAAGAAAATCTGAGAGATTTACCGAAATTCGAATGAAATAAGCCTGAAACCAAACTTCGTCTTCATAATAATTAAATCAGTCATCTTCCATGGAGGCAAGGCAGGATTTCAGTAGGGAGGACTGAGGCGATGGTTTGACACGGAACTAAAACATGGTACGCATGCGTGTTCAACCGAGTCCCTCTAAGCGTAATTTTCATTTCCCTGTCGGCTCAAGAATTAATGGATAAAAGTACGTAAAACTGGTAGAATTTTCCACAGGAACTGAAGCAGCAATATGCAATCAAAGGATATAGTAAGCACGTTAAAGAAGTTCGACGCATACCCCAAGACGCTCGAAGATTTTCGAGTGAAAACTTTCGGTGGAGCGGCAGGTACGCTATGAAGCTTGTAACTTTAAATAGGATTTAGTTGAGGTAAAATTAGTTACATACTGCCGCTAAGTGAAAGACAAATGATATGTGTTTTAATCTAGTTGGGTTATTGAAATCATCAAAATAGCTGGTAGTTAAAATGTAAACTATTTTATGTGTATGTGTGGGAAAACCTTTGCAAAGTTAGTTATGCACTTTGTTACGTGGCGATTTCTACGGTAACCATGAAGGATGCATGTGTAATCATTTTATGATAACCGTAAAAATATAATGTTTATATGGCTAGCCAGTGTTCAGGATCTTAAATCAAGTCTATAAGCCACTTTTAGGCAGTAATTAGTTACAAACGTGTCGATTGACTGACCCATCCGACGGTCAGGTTTTCTGACAGTTGGTTTATCCAATCAAATGCGTCCATGTGTTTAGGGGGCCTGAAATAATTATCTACATCAATACAACAACAACCTCCTAGATAGTGGAGATATATAGAAAAAAGAGCCAGGAGTCCTGCATATTAAACTTGAATTTAAGGCCTTTACATAATAATTCCTATGTTATGTTTTAAATATTGTCTAGTATTACCACAAAGTATGCTCTGGGTTGGTGCTTGTGGTAGTGTAAAACCTCTTTCTGTGTCCTCTGGTTTCTGCCCTCCACGAAAACCAACATCCAAATTTCAGTTTGACCTGGAAACAGTGGACTAGTAGAGCTATGCTGTGGAATGTCCCCTGCTAAATTACCGTTATTATTATTATTTTTATTTTTATTTTTACATTTCTCTTTGGATTCCTCCTCAGTGACATTGGTTAGTGGATTGCTGATGTTCCTTCTGTTTGTATCAGAATTAAGTTTTTACTTATCAACAGAGGTAAGAGATTTATTAATGACAGAATATTTTATATTAAGTTACTTATGGCTTTAAATGTAAGAAATTTCCTTTTCTAAGTCTTTTCTGAACCAAACTTTTAAGTTTTTTTTAAGCCAAAAATGTGATTCCATCAACTGACAAATTTTTTAAATAATTAATTTGCAGGTTACACCAGAACTATATGTTGATACTGCCCGTGGAGAAAAGCTTAGAATTAATGTAGATATCATTTTCTCAAAATTACCTTGTGTTTGTAAGTACTTTTTTCAGTTTTCATTTTGTTGTAGACAACTGACATATAGGATAAAAAAGTATAATATTTTTTTAAAAGGGATGATTTTCTAAAGAAGCTGTGAAGCTACATCCCAAGGGATGTTTAGAGTTAATTTGGTTTTATCAACTGTAAATTGTCACCGTAATAAGGTTTTAAAACTGACATTTTGAACATTCGCCCATCGTCAGAGCATTGACAAAGGACTAATACTTGAATTGTTGGGAATAACATTTATATGGTGTGCACCAGATATAGCTGAAGTCAAAATTTAACCAGTGATTTTGACTTGCATTTGGATACTTTTCACAGTCTTCCCACTCTTGATCCACCAATGGGGGTTAGGGGAAGTGTATGGAAGTATTGAACGAAATACCTACCTAGGGAATAAGGCTTTAAAGTTAATAACCTGTGGTCAGATTTTATTCATGGGGGAGAACACACAATTCAGTGGCAGTACACTGTGTTCTCCTCTAAGAGAAGACTTGATCATGATGGCTGGATAGGAAATGTACAAGGATCAGCAATATGTGTATCAAGTACAGTAAAGGCCTTGTTCAAAACTGTGATCAAGTTATGATAACCTATGAATTAAAAGACTTTTTTCTGTCTTTCAGAACAAAAACTAGCCAACTTTAAAAACTGCACCAGTATGTGAAACTTATTCATGTCTAATTGTATTTCAGATTTAAGTATAGATGCCATGGATGTATCTGGTGAACAACAGGTATTGTGTGAATTGATTTGAAAACTGTACTAAAATTAATGAACACTTTAATCCCCTAAGAATGACTAGCATCTGATTTCCCCCTAGGATATTATTCCTGAATCAAAGGCTAAGGTCACAAGAATAACAGAAAGGATCACTGACCATACAAACTCTTATCTGTTTTACAAATTCTCCTTGTCAGCACCTTAGGAAATGTATAGAGAACAGTATGGAGAATATGCATACTGATGTTAGGGTGTGAAAGGTTAATTATATGTCATTTACATCTTTGATATTTTAGAGCAGTGGTGTAATGTAATAGTTATCTATTTTGCACACAGATTGATGTAATGCATAGTATATTTAAAACAAGAGTGGATTTGGATGGAAAACCTATAGATGAAAATGCAGAAAAAGGAGGTTGGTAAATAAATTTGCATCAAAATGTAGTACAACTTTTTTTCTGTAAAATTAACAATTTTTAGTTTGATCTATATGAATATACATTAATCAATCTATTTTTTCTCTCTCCTAAACAGATCTAGGTGATAAGAGCCACGAGGCCAAAGAGTTACTTGAGGTGAGTTAACCCTTTAACTCCCATGAGTGACCAAGATGTAATTTCTCCTTACCAAATCAATACAACAGCAAACAGACAAGTGTTGAGAATAAAGAAAAATAATTATCAGTTAGGGGATCTGATCTGAAAAGTTTTTTTTGTTCTTGTAACATCACAGTTGGGTTCTTACACATGTAATCCTAGAGGAAGTGAAACTCCAGACTGTTGTTTAATTCACCACAGATCTGATCTGGAAAGTTTTTTTTGTTCTTATAACATCACAGTTGGGTTCTTACACATGTAATGTTAGAGGAAGTGAAACTCCAGACTGTTGCTTAATTCACCACATGATTATTTCCTTTACAGCTTGATCCCAACAGATGTGAATCTTGTTATGGTGCAGAGACAGCTGGAAAGACTTGCTGTAATACATGCGAAGATGTGAGGGAAGCCTACAGAAGGAAAGGATGGGCGTTATCAGAAATAGACAACATCAAACAGGTAATGTCTCAAAACGAAACATTCCCAGCTTGAGTCCTTTTGTTCCTTAAGCCTTTTATGTTTTTAATCTGTAATCTTTTCTCTTATTTTTAGTCATTTTTTATGCAACAGTATTAAAACTGCAATTCCTGAACCTTTTAACTTCAGTGTCTCAGGGAAGGTTGGAAAGACAAACTTCAGGAGCAGAAAAATGAAGGCTGTTTAGTGACTGGTCATCTGGAAGTTAACAAGGTTTGTTATGAAATTTAATTGAATAAGAAGTTGGAGTATTTCTTTCCACACAATGTTATACAAATTTCCTTTCATTGTCCAGAAATGCTGTTCATTCAGTATTGCTCAGGTTGTTGTAATTTCAACTGTCATAGGTGGCTGGGAACTTTCACTTTGCCCCTGGAAAAAGTTTTCAACAACATCATGTTCATGGTAGGGTGAACTGAAAGGATTATCTGTCATTTTTTTTTAATTTCTAAACTGAGCTGAACTGAACTGAAACTGTACCTAACTCTGGAAGCTATCACTACTGGTAAATCATTTATAAAAAAACAAATGGATGAATGAGTAAAGAAATGAAATAAAAAAATAAGTGGATAAATAAAATGCATAAATTAATAAATGTAAATGAGAAATCAGGATAAAAATGAATGGGTCATAACAGCACAAAGTTAATTACAAATAAGATATAAATGAAATTTTGGTTAACAGGATAAATCTTTTGTTAAAAGGGGTCAATTTAATCCCTAAACTATCAAGATCTGAAAGGCAATTCTCTCAAAAGAAGACAACAAATTTCTATGTCAGTGTCCCTTGATCGACTCATACATTTAATCACCTATTTGTTTGATATTGCACCAAAACTGCAAAGACATTTTAAGAACTGATCAAGGTGTGGAAAGTTGTTCATTTTTTTGTGATTCTCATCGTTTTGATCCTGAAGGATCAGCTAGAGTTTCATTGGCAGCTATGAAGCTGCAAAAATCTTAGCAAATAGCATGACATAGGAATTTGACCTACATACTAAAGTCAAAGTTCACAAAATTTTTTTGCTATGGAAAACTAAAATGTACATGGTATGCTCAGTCTGAGCAGAGAGGTGCATGATTAATTTAAAACTTGCGTTTTCTTGATACAGTAGCTTGAGGGGCTTAGAATAATTGTCTCTAACAATGAAGTCATTGGCACACGATTTACTCTGAGGGTAAAAAAAAACCTGGCTTGTGGGGTAGTTGAGTTTGTAGCCATGCAAAAGAACTTTTCTTTTTTTGTTACTTTGTTTAAAGAACAAAATGTAACCACAATTAGAGTTCAACTGGCAGTTACAATGGTGTCTTTGAAGTTCAGGCCAAGATGTAGATACTGCAGACTTTGTTCTCCCTGCTTAATGCATACAATATTACATGTATTTGCTAACATCAACTCATTTGATTCTGTTAATGACAGCAAATGTTATTGTCTCTAATGGGAAGTGCTAATTGTGTGTTAGGTAAATTTGCATTGTTTGGATACCAGTTCAAAATTATGTCACTGTTCCCTTGAATTTTGGAAGAGCTCTTTGTATCTACATGTATGCTTTGTCAAATGTGTAGAATAAATTTAATCAGGGTTATTTCACTTAAACCTTGACCATACACACAATTGCTTCTGTACTGCACTGTGCTGTATTGTACATGCTTGTGGTAAATTCACATTCAACTTACTATTCTCTTCTAGAATTTAAACAACACATTAGAATTTATTTAATTTAATGCATCTAAACCTTTAAAAATTAAAATGTTACTGCTGAGTACAAAATCAGTGAACACATTTAAAACACCATTAAATAACGTTTGTTAATTTTTTTAAATCAGTTACACTCCAATCAATAAATTGATCTGAGTGATTCTTGTACTTAACACTATTCATTGCCTCATTAACACACCTCTCACACACCCTTTTGCACTTTGCAGTCTCCATTCTCAAGTTAAGCTCAGGGGGAAATGTTATTAAACTGAATAGTAAGTAAAAGGCTGTTATATCGTGCTAAACTGGAGTGCAAGGCAGTCATTTCTTGCCAGACAGTCATTTACATGGAGTGATTTAGACTGTAGACAAATTGAATTCCTCCTCATGGGCTTTTCATGCAAGCATAGGCATCAGCATAACATTGACACATATAGTATTGCACTATGGTGAAGGGGCTGTCTTTTGCTGCATAGAAATGAATGCACTGCACACCTCACACTTCTGCTGTCCAAGAGCTCTATACTGATAAACTAAATGCCTTTAGATACTTTAAAAGTTGAATTATAATATGATAAATTAGGTACCTATGTTCTAAAATTTACATATAAACTATAACTTGAGGCATATATAACTGAGAAAATGCTGTCTAACTTAAAACCATGAAAGTTTACTTTTTGTTAAAACTTTAACTTGGTTGCGAAATCGGAAATACAAAGATATATTTACAATACTGATACATAATGTAATTGTAGTATAACAAATTCAAGGATAATTTACAGAATCATTGTTAGACATTTTCTGCTCAGACTGGGTGTACCTTTTCAACCAAAATAAATTGAAATAAATGGACAGAAAGTACTTCTGTAGTTATTTTGAAGATTTACAGAGTTGTAAGTAGAAAAAAAAAGAGAAAAAAAGAAGGGAAAGGAACTAAAAGATTTAGCTTATGTTTATAATACCCAATAAAGTTTCACATTTATATGCCTTGTTTCATTGATTTACTTGAGGCTTAAGCTCAGAAACGTTTTTGGAAAGTTGAACATTATGAAAACTTCATTTTAAGTTCCCTAAATAGGGAGCTACTTAATCTCTTATTTTTTTTACAATATTTAGTGATCATGCATAGTTATGTTTATCAGAGCGCATTTTATGTCTTTCATTACACGTTTCACCCTACAGACAAGGATTTCATAGATTACTTAGCTCAAACAGTTATGCTGAATGACTTGTTCTTACATATATTAACACTATTTTTTTTATTATTTTCATCAGTGCATGATTTACAGCCATTTGGATCCACTCAGGTATGTTTTGTACGGTAGACATCTATTGAAAATCTTAAGTTTCATGTTAGTTAATTTAGACTTGGTCATAAAGAGAAGAAGAAAGTTTTGTGTTACCTGTTCATAGAAACAGGTCTTCTTCCTATAGATTCACATAAAATCAAAATCTTTTGTTTTCATTTCAGTTTAATCTATCTCATCATATTCGCCACCTTTCATTTGGCCATGAATATCCTGGAATAAAACATCCCTTAGATGATACATATATTTCTGCAGAAGACGGTAAGTTTGCTGTAAATATTTCTCCTCCTTTTCTTTATTATTTATTAAAATTATCTCGTACAATTCATTTTATGTTAAGGTAAATGCTTCTTCTACACCTTGCCTATCTTTTGTTGCTAATGCATAGCCTTTTAAATGATATTTAAAAGGTTTATCTAACTATTAACATATTTTTCTACCTGTTTCATTGTTCATGGCTGTAGCTGGAAGCATGTACCAGTATTTTGTGAAGATTGTCCCAACAATGTATCGGAAGTTAAATGGCGAGGTGAGAGTAACAGACTTACCCACCTCAAACCAATAAGAGCAAAATTAGTCTTAAACAGTTTTTGATCAGAGATAAAAAAAAAAAAAATTAACACAAGAGTGACTTATTAGAGAGGCAGCTCAATAGATTGTTTTAGTACCAGTCAACGTCTTAATTACAAAGGAGATAGGAGAAAGGTTCCTTCACTGTAGTTATATTTTCTTTAATTTCATTGTCTATCTACTGGGAAATGCTTGTTGATATTGTAAGCTACTTGTATCTTGAGTCTTTGAATATTTTTTTTGTTTCTTCTATGGGATGCCTATGCAGGTTGTAAGAACTAACCAGTTCTCAGTCACTAAGCACAAGAGAGTGATAAGACAGGTGTCTGGTGAACATGGTCTTCCAGGTATAGTTTAAATCTGTGTTCCACTTAGTTTTGCAGCCAGTTTAAAGTCAAAGTTTTCTTTCGCAAAAATTTGGGAAGGGAAGGGGGAAGGTGTTCTCATGATTGCCCAGCAATTCTTTCAGGGGTGGCAATACTCCTAGTCACTTTTCGTTGTAGAGACTGGGGTTAGCTTTAGGGATAATAGGGTCCAAAAACAGTTGTACCCAACTTTTTCTGTTGCTTCTCTTCATAGGTGTTTTTGTTTTATATGAATTCTCTCCGATGGTGGTCCAGTACACAGAGAGCAGAAGGTAAGGCCGCAAATTGTTGGATTATATAGTTGTTCTGTAGTGTTACACCCATGTGTTAAATTTCTCTAAGTCAAACTTCTACCCTCAAAAGACTTTTTTGGTGTCATTGTCCTTGACCTCCTTGTTTGCTTAACTGGGATTTAGGGTATTTCTTGTTTGTTAGTCTTGCTATTTTTAGTAGAAATTGTATTTAAATTATGGGTGACAGTGCTAGTTTCACACAGAAAGTTTCCTGAGATTGACTGCCTTGTTTATTAACTGTGTCTGGGTGTTTTTTTATACATGTGCTTTTGTTTGTGAAGCAATTCTATGATTTATCTTTTCTCTCCCATTACCTTCAGATCCTTCATGCATTTTCTGACTGGAGTCTGTGCTATAGTTGGTGGTATTTTTACAGGTATGGAGTTAGTGAAATATCCAAACCTTTCCTAGTTAGATACTGTTGTACTACCATGTAACAAACACTTTAAAAATAATAATTATAATAATAATAATAATATTAATAATAATACTAATAATGCCAAAGATAGTAATAGTTATAATATAGCATCATTTTTATTATTATCAGTACAATTAAATGCTAGTTTTTAAATTTGATTCATAGAGGATTTTAATCAATTAAAATAATCTATAAATGATGGTGATAAGTAATAATGCTGATAATAGCAATAACAGTGATGACATATAATTTAGTAGTACTGTCATTAATAATATTAATAACAAATAAATTGATGATAATAATAGTAATAATGGTGCACAATTGAGCAAAATACAAATGTAAATTAATGATGATAACAATTAAAATAATAATAATAATAATAATAATAATAATAACAATAATGATGATGATGATGATGTTATTATTCCTGTTTATTTTTCCTTTCTGATCTCACATTCCTATCTATTCACAGTTGCTGGACTTGTGGACTCTATGATTTACCATTCAGCTCGAGCATTGCAAAAGAAAATTGACCTAGGGAAAGCAAGCTAACGTATTTTGGAGAATGGTTGTCATGTGACCCAATCTGATGCAGCAGTGTTAGGCGAAAATAGACTTTGGGTGACATAACGGCGAGCTGTACAAACTTTCATCCACCACCCAGAACATTTTGGAAATTTCAAGGCAGTAGAATTAGAAATTATCTCTAGGGACCAGTTTTTATATGGATTTGTAATAATAATCAACAATATTGTAGTCTTTTAACTCTTTATCTACTAGAAATGATTAAAATGTAACTTCCCTCTGCAATATCCAAACATTATCCAGCAAATCAATAACAAGAATTCTCATCTTAACAGATAGTTGGTATCTTGATATAATACTAAATTCTTGTAAGTAAGTTACAAGGGAATGTATAATAGCTAGAGGAGAGAGTTAACAGTAAGATCTTAAGAGTTCAAGGGTTTTAAACGAAAACAATATACTACTGGATCACACTGAATTACAAGTGTGTGCCACCTTAAAAAAAACCAACCATAATTAATTTATGAAGCTGTATTACTTTTCTTATTTTCGGGGTATTAGTCAGGGACAAATGACGAAATGCCATTTGGATGCCCATCACCTAATGATTGATAGGCTGTCTTCAATACATTGTCGCTACAGACTGAAAATATTATTTGAATGTGCTGATTTTGATCGATGTAAATCGTTAACGGCAGTTGTGGTTGGTGGTTTCGATGATTTTTATTTAATTGAATTGCATATATCATTTCTTGTGTATTGACATTTGAAATCTAGAAATCACTATGAGGTTTAGTACAATAGTTCAAAATTGCAAATCATAAAAAGAGGCCTGAAAAATTTGGTTTGTTGCCGCTGAGTGAAAAACTGGAACTTGTAATTGAGTGAAGATTATCCTTGTGTCATTATAAAAAAGTTTTTTAAACATTAGTCTTTCTTGTTGTGACTTGGAAAATCTTTGATCCATTGGAGCCACATTCAGTGTCGAAAGTAACCCTGGAATGGATAGGTTTTGCTTTACCTCTTTCGCTCGCCTCTTTCTCAACCAATCAGATGCAAAACTAAAACCAATCACGACTTGGCCGCGCGTGTTTTCCCGCCCTTCTGGTAGTTTCGTTGTTTTTACCTTGAGTTGTCATTGGCTCTTCTGTGTATTTTCCTTTTTTCTGATTGGTCGTAGTGATAACTTTGGCTTTAGTTTTACGACACTCATTCATTAGCATCCAGCTATCAAACCAGTGTGAGAATAAAGAGGTAAGCTTAAAACTGTTTACTTTAGGTGGCAGAACCTTTCAAAATATGTTGTGAATTCCATTTTGTTTAATGCGTAGACCTGGAAAGAACTTAACCGTCCCTGATCCTAACCAGAAAGGGACAGATACATCCTTTAGTGGAGGACTAGGTAAAGTGTTTGAAGAAGTGTCCTTGCTTTTAGTCATGTCACAGGTGGAAACACTATGTTAGCATACACCACGAAAAATTTCAAGAAACACACCTCAAGCAGAATGATGGGACTTTTTTCCTTTTATCAAACTGTACATTATTATAGTTGTTACACAGGTCAGTTCCTCTTCAAAATATAAAAATACACCTTTAACGAGAAAATTCTCAGTAACGTCGATAAAAGGGCAGCATTTGAAAACACTCATCTGAGACTTAAATAATGTTCATATTTCATGATTATCTAAAGCAAGAAAAAATATTTTTCTCTCGTTAAAAACCAAACTCGTGTCCAAAACCATTACACGGCTGATGTTAAATTCAAATCTATGTCAGTATCTGAACAACTGCGCACTTAACCCTCCCCTAACCCAACAACAGTCAAATTATAAAACCTTCTGAGGCGAAATTTCGCACGTTTTTAGATCATAGATCAAAACTTCTGTTTGCAACGAACTGACTCAGCATCATGCCCGCTCCAATAAATTACTTTTAACTAGTTCACAATATTTATCCGCAAACTCTATCCTCATGCAATTAAGAATCTTTGTATATATTAAGCATCGCACCATATAAGGAGGTCCAGCTTCCTGGGAAATCTTTCATCGAGAAGATTTCCAATGGCGTTCGTGAAATGTAGTTATTAATAGCTTTAATGTTTACTTTAAGCTCTAAACTTGTTGCGTGGCGGGTCAACACTGAATTTTTAGCGGCTTTTGTTTTTTACACGAAAAAGAGACATAACTCTATTTCTCTAACATCAAGTTTTTCCGTGATCAAAGCACGCGGCCAGAGGAATAAGTACCACTCTCCTGAGCCCGCGGTTTACGCTGAACTAGTTGATCATTCACAACAGTAGCCATATCGAAAGGGCGGAAGATTCGTGTAAGAACATCCGCAGGGACGAAAGAGTTTTCTAAGTTGACAAGCAACTGAAACCCTTGGGGATCTCGTTCACTCAATGAGCGCGGAGCCTGAATAGGCTAAAAACGCTCTTGGACTAGTTCCTCTAGGAGACGAATTAGCGTAAGCCCATACTTTCTGTGATCATAATTCCTTGGTAGTCACGCCCGTCTTTGAGACGTTTAGTTTCTGATAAATCTATACCTCAACAGGGTTAGATTTTACAAGAGGGCGCCGCTTCGCCGACATCCGCGTAGGCGTAGATCTCACTGATGAATCATAGTGTCCTTCTTCAACGGCTTGAGGGGAAGATGGAGCATCTTCCGACTCCCCCTGAGCACCCCTTGGTAAAGTGTCCCTTTCCCCTGTGAGAGAGTCCCTTCGTTCTGGCGTCCCTTGATATCGTCCAGCGATGTCGCATTCATCTGAGTCTTTTTCTTCTGCCTGTGAAACCTCTTCATGTTCTGGCATTTGTGTTTCGGACTCTGATGAGTTCAAGAGACTTCGTTTACGCCGTCTCGTTTCTAAACCTATTTCTCTTTTTTCCCACACCGGTTCCTCACCATTCTGCTCAGTAGGGCTGTCTGTATCCCCCAGAACGGGATCAGTATCAGACGCAGTAGAGTTTTGATGAGAAATTGGTCCGGGGGGAGTCAGCCCACCAACAGTCTCTTTCGAATCCGCAAGACTCTCATCCGCTTCTGTCACGTCTGACAATTGCCTCTTGTCCGTTCCAAGATTACGTGACGAGGGTAGGGCGTTCAGAGCAGTCGCATCAGTATCGTAAACTGCATCTAAGTGGTCCAAGTTTGGGTGTTGATCTCCACCCGAAAGACTCCCATGTAGGGACTGCGACTGCGTGGAACTCAGAGAGCCTGGGCGTGACCCTGAGCTATGGCAAGATTCAGGATAACTTAGCGTCACGCAAGGAATATCCGACGATCTTACCACGTGGGTAGTAGCGCTGTGTGTGCCTGGAACCATTTGGGTTCGAACGTCTAACGGGTCGGAATGCGCGCGGGTCACTGAGGAGCGCCTGGAGGAAACACCGTCGCCATTTTCGCGAAAATTCAAATCGTAAGAGTTGCTGCCACCCGATGGAGACTCACGAGTGCTCTGAAGGCTCCGCAGCATCTGCAGAACCAGCTCAAGTTTAGAATCTATGATGGTCACTTGATGTTCCACCCGAGAAAGTCTTTTGGTTACGTCTACTTTTCCTGCGCCTTCATCATCTGGAAAAAAAAAAAGAAGAGTCTTCAACTTTGCAAATACTAACAGCCCAGTCCCTTCCCCTCCATCTTGTTTTGTCAACCCTAGCGTGAACTTAACAGTGTCAGTGTCTTGCACTCCCCAACCCTGTCTCTCGTAAAATAATTTTCATTGAAAAGTCGAATGCAATAAGGGATTGCAATGGTTTCGCTTAACTAGCTTTTGTAAAAATGCGCAATTTTCTCAATCAGTCAGATCCAAAACTAAACTTTGTCACTCTTGTTTTCTACGAGAAAGGTGTTCCTCCGTTTGAATTCTCAAACTTCTGTACGTCGCCGTAAGATAAATGTTTCTTTGGATGATGAGCGATTCGATACATTCCTCCAGTTAGCACTCAAATTTCCTGTGTAACAACCTTATTACCTACCTCCTTCACTTCTGTGAGATTTGTCCATCCTAAAGTAAAAAATAATAAGCCACAGGTTTTACAACATACATACGACTACCACGATAGATTTTCCAACACACAGTGTACGCCTTTTCATTAAGAAAAAAGCGAAGCGCACTTCACTGAATCACGTCCATTGGCTTTTTTAGCGAAGAGTCACTGGAAATGTAATGACACGAATGATAGACGTCTACAACGCTTAGAAGTGATTTATTGCATGAGAAAAAAGATAAAAAGTTCAGTTTACACAACTTTTAAAAAAAGACTAGCATGTACTTTAGTTTCGCTGAACATCGCACTGTGATTGGCTCAACAGAAACACGCGTAACTTCCTCGACCAATCAAAATCAATCACGATTATGGCGCGTGCATTTTACGGCGCTTAGAGTGACTGGCGTTAGTCACGTGTATTTTTGTCGAGTTCTGATTGGTTGTTATGTTGCTCACAGGCATTATGATTGGTCTCTGACTCCGTTCCATGTCACGTGACAGTTCGCAAGATTCCTTGAAACCAAGAGGTGCAGTTCAATTTTCTCTCCGCTGAAACCTACCATGACCGTCTAGCTTGACATGACTATCAAATAATAGTCTAAAATTATATTTGTTATGCCCTTACTTGGCCTGAAGACTTTTAATTCTTGCTAACATTTCGACATGACCTGTTGAATACTGTTCAATAACATCTTTAACATCATATGGTCTCCTAGCCTCCTGCACAACGAGAAAGTACAGAAAAGATGATAAAAAAGTTGAAGCATTTTTCAACTAAGTGTTCAAAGTAATCGTGGATTGCCCTTACCTTGAATTTCCTTATTGCAACTCTGAGCTTTAAGATTCGAATGAGACGAATGGCCAACTTTTGAGCATTTGTCAACCTGTGGAAAGAAAGTAATTAATTTTAAAGCTGAGATTGAAGACCTTTGAAGAAAGCAAGTACTGCTGGGATATGAGTTAACAAATTTGACAAACCCCATTTAGTCCCCGAATATTTCGCTAAAAAATTTACAAAAAAAGATACTTACTCGATGCATGGTCGTTCTCCGTCTGTCTGTAAAGCCAACAGTGCATTTTCATCTGCAATATCGCAGAGGAAAGAGGTTAAGCTAATCGGGAATATGGAATAAACAGAGTTTCCCTACCATAATTATTTGAGCTCAAACTCTACATTGCCCGAGTGACGTCAAAAAATGCACTCACAAATCCCCTCTGATGACCTGTGCGCCAATTACCTCTGATTGGGTGTCTCAGTTTTGAATTTTCGCGCGTAAATAACAACAAATCAGCGGCTATTTTTGTTAAGATTACGTCATCATACTTAGGTTAGCATATATTAACTACAAAGATATGCAAACTGGTTAGTGTTTCCTGCGCATGATTGCTTGATACATAAAGATAGATATACCCACCTGGCCGAGATGAAAATTAAGTAAAAAGGCAAATGTTAGTTTTTGTTTATGTAAAATTTACCTGATTAGAAGTTTAAATATCCTTCAAAACTATACAACAAGAAAAGAACGTCGTCCTTAGATTCAGCATATTCTTTTAAGTATCAAGTAACATTTAATTTTGATTTTGTACAACGGCGTTATAATTTTTTTTGTCAAATATAACTCACTGCGGTTTATTAAATCGTCTAAGTTATGAATTGGAAAATATATTAAATGAATAACAAAGGCATAATTTTTACAATATTTTCAAGTTTGATAGTGCACCGCACGTTTCAAATAACAAATTTACATCTATTAGATTCTCTTTTAAATAGCTCAACTTTACTGTTATCACAAAAGTCAAGTTTAGAGACTCCGTCATAATTATCAATCACCGTCAATCAACTGTCAATCACTTACCACCCCAAATCGAGGGTATAATTGATTGCTTTCTGGAGTGAACAATTGAACAATGCACATTATGTGATGACAGCATCGTCACTATTGCATCATGGCTGTTGACGGAACCGAATTTCGATCTTGTACTCTCAGCTGAAGATAGATCGAAGTTTATTTTAAATTTGAAATGTTAGTTAATTGAACTGTACTTCCTCGACGAGGGGCCCTGGGGGAGGGGACTTAACCTCATTCAAATTTATTCAAGAATTAAACATTGCGTAGCTGATTTCAAAACGGTGCTGGAAACCGTCTCTTTCCAATCACCTCCTTTTTGGGGGGGGGAGGGGAGGGGAGGGGAAGGGAGATGGGGGAGGGGTGAGAGGCAAAGAGTGATAGGGCAGTCCCTTGAAGAGGAAATGCAGTACCATGCAATAATTTAAGACAAAACTTAAATTTAAAGAGTATGGAATCTTTTTATGCATATTTACAATAATAAAAGAAATAAAAATGGTCAGTATATTGTAAGGATAATCTGACTTTACCAGACTTGAACATTATTTTGTTTACATTCACAATTTTACCTTTAGATGGTCAAAGATTACGAACATTGCTCATGGGTATGCTCTTAGTGACCTAAGTATTCCCAAATTCAGATTCATTTATACAAAAAATTTGGAATGTTCTTTGAGAAAAAAAATATTAGCTAAACTTAAATTTTACTATTTTTTTTTGTTTTTATGCCTGTCAGCCTTACTAATCAAGAAACTTGTTTCAGATGTTGTAGTTGAAACATTTCAATTTACTGTAGCAAAATCAAATCATTTAAAGTCACTCATTTTCATTGCTGTTAGCATTGATCAGGGTAACAAAGTACGCATTCGTCATTTTAAAAATAAATTTTAAACCAAACAGTTATGCAAGCATATGCATGCCACAGGAATTCCATATTTCACACTGGCTAGTGCCTATCTTTCTGTAAAACAGTGGATTGCTTTGTTAGTTCTTGCAAGTGCTGAAGAATGTGCAAGTGCTAGTTCACTGGTGCATTCTTACTAATAAAAGAAAAATAAACAAAAATAATGTGAGAAAAATAAAAAAACAGCATATCTGCCACACATATCTTATTGTTAAAAGTTAGAATCACTCATTAACTCTTTCTCCAGAAGTCAAATCAAGGAAAGCATCCCCAAAAACAGAGCAATACCCAATCTTACAGAAAGCATTGGGTGGAATATTGTTTCCTGACATTGACACTTTTTAGGAAACATTCAATTCATATTTTATAAGTTTTTGGCACAATCTTCAACATTCTCAAAGTTTTTCCACAGAACTTCCGCCGAAGTGCTTTTCTGTTGGGCTACCCCCCAGTTCCCAGAGAATTAAGTTACAATTTATCAACCAAAGCAGTGGAAAGAGTTAAACATGACTCTCATTTGTATATAATGCCCATACAAGATTTAGAACTGATTTTTGCAGGAAGAAGTTGACAGAAGGTAAGGCAACAGGGCCCATAGATTGAACTGCTGCAGATGAAGCTAATGATGACTTGTGACGGCAGCTCTTTTCTGGATTTTTTGTGGACACCAGGATTGAATGCACCAATCTGATAAGATTGGCATCAAAGTAAGGATATTCTGATGCTTATGCCACCATCTGCAACATTTCCACAGCCTCTCAGCTTCTTAATCGTTCTCCATCAACTTCATCACTCACAAAAACCAGCCCTAAATACTGTCTTTTTTTGTCTGACAATAACAAACTTTAACCCTTTATCACCCAGAGTTAGATCCTTGGCCAGTCAATTTTTTTCAAATTTCGGCTTTTGTGGACATTTTACAGAAACACTTGCAACGCAAAAGTAATTCTATGCTGAATGACTTTGCTATAGAGCTTTAACAAGTCTATGGCTGAGACATTACTCTGTGACCATTTGAAGGAAAGTTGCTGGCACTGTTTCTTTTTTTTTTTTGGTACCATTGAGTTTTTGGACATTTTATAGGCTTAATGCAAGCTGCTCTGCTATAAATTAGTCCTATCGCCACATAAAAAACACAGCCATTTATTGTTAATCAGAATTAAAGGATTGAAAACTGGGCTGAATCCAGACTGTTTGCCAAAACATGTGCATGGGCTTTCCCTAAAAAAAATTCCTTTTATACTCTTGGGCTCAAAAGGGTTAAAGTCACAAAATGGGCAATGTCTCACCAATAAAATCACTGTCTAATACACTGCAGGTGCTAGCCTTCCTGTCATAATTAGCAGTCAATTGTGAATCAGATTTAGTGGAATGCACATCATATGACTCTCTTCTAAACCCTTTCTGCTTTGTCCATAGAGACCGTTTCCTTTTATGTTGTGAATCTGATAGATGAGGACTATCATCTTCCACTCCCACCATACCTGTGGTGCCGGTTTTCTCCATTACAGCCTTCAAGAGATGCTGCTGGCGATTGTAGTAAATTGACGGCAGCCATGTTGCTACTGACTTTGAGTCTAGATCAGCACAGAAAAGCCGCCAGTATGACTGTAGAGAATAGATGAAGAACAAAACTAAAATCAGTATGCATATTCTCCTTTCTGTTCTCTGAAAATTTCCTAAGGTTCTTCAACAATTAGCCTCTTTAGTTGGTGATCATTTCCTTTATTCTCATGACTGTAGCATTTGCTTCCAGGGTGTTATTACAAGGAGAAATTAGATGCTGATCACCCTTAAGAGTCAAAGGGTTTTTAGAAAAATATAAAAATTACAAAGTTCTTGCAAAGTTACAATTGGAAGTTTTTGGAATAAATCTTTGGGCAAAATAGCAAAAATTTTTTTTTTCAATACCTGAAGGAGAATTGCAGCTGGCCGTCTTCTCCTATGAAAATGTTTCTGCCTCTGCTGTTGTGTGACCTTTAATGCAAATCCTGATCCTAAAATGCCCTGGGAAACAATGGAAAAATAAAACTGAATATTCATCAACAACCAGCAATTACTAGAAACCCTAAGCCTTTGCTTTAAACATCACAATAGTAAAGCCTTTGCTATAACACAAACCTTGGTGTACAGCCTTAAATAAGAACACAATTTTTGATTCTGGAGCAAATAAAACTTACTTTCACAATTAAGGTTTTACACTCAGCCTCATTCAAATAGTGAAAGTTTAAAGAAAACAGAAAAGGTTGACTGTGATCTAAAATACCACAGAGTTCAAATTGCAATGCATAGAGGAAAGTCCACTTCTTAGAAAGCCAACATCCCTAAATCAAAATGAAGCCTTTGATACACAAAGTAGTTTTTGCTCTCAGATCAACAAAGCTGACTTTTGTGAGAAAGGTTTGATTAAGTAGAAATTTTAAAGTGAGAGTTTTTAGAACTTGGAAATAGCTAAATGCTGTAAAGTAATCATCAAAGATCAAACCACATATTTATTTTTTCACACACTCAGTTTCTCTTTCAATTCCTGGGCGCATTACAGTGCAGTTCAGTCTTATACAAGTAATATACCAGTAATTACCAAGTTTAGATTATTCCACCATTTAACTCTTTAAGTCCTAGATCAAATTTGTAATTATCCTTACTGTCAACTATACAATTCTTGTAATATTAGTTCAGAGAATTCAGTATTGGATCAACTAATTATCCCCAAATTGATATTTTTCTTTAATCTCAACACTTAATATCTGATTGATATTGTATCACTATTGTAAGGAGAAATTCTCTCTTGGTCACTCAGGGAGTAAAAGAGTTTATGTTAAATGGGTAAATTATTTTACATATCCAATGTAATAACTCTCAATACTCACAGCAGGAAGAGCAAAAAAGGAGATTCCAGAGATAAAAAACAAAGCAGCGCAACACTTTCCATACCAGGTGGAGGGTACAGTGTCACCATACCCAACTGTTGTAAGGGTGACCTGTAACATTACAGAGTGTTGTCTATATTAGGAGGGAGGAGATAAGCAAGGGAAGAGAGGGGGAGGGACAGGGAGAGAGGAAGGAGGAGGTGAAGGGGGGCATGGAAAAAAGGGAGGGAGGGAGGAGGAGGGGAAGGGGGTATGGAAAAAAGGGAGGGAGGGAGGGAGGAGGGAGAGAGAGAGAGGGAGGATGAGGGGAAGGGGGGATGGAAAAAAAGGAGGGAGGGAGGGAGGGAGGAGGGGAAGGGGGTATGGAAAAAAGGGAGGGAGGGAGGGAGAGAGGGAGAGAGGGAGGATGAGGGGAAGGGGGTATGGAAAAAAAGGAGGGAGGGAGGGAGGAGGGGAAGGGGGTATGGAAAAAAGGGAGGGAAGGAGGGTGTAAGAAGAATAAGGGAGGAAGGGAGGGGTATGGAGATAACAGGGAAGGAGGGAGGGAGGAAGAGACAAAGGGAGGGAGGGTGTAAGAATAAATAGGGAGGGAGGAGGAGAAGAAGGGAAGGGTATGGAGAAAAAGGGAGGGAAGGAAGAAAGGAAGGGAGAGAGGGCGGGGAGAGGGGATGGGGCAGAGTGGGCAGAAGGACAAGGGAGGGGGAAGGATAAGAGGGAGTTGAGAGAAGGAGGGAAAAAAGGAAAGTAAAGGAATGGGCAGGATGGTGTGGGAAAATAAAAGGAATAAAAAGACCGCCAAGGGAATGGGAGATGAAAGGGAATAGAGTGAGGTGGGAAGGTATAAAGGAGGTGGACAGAATTAGAAAGTAGAGGAGGGAAGAGATGGGTGTAAGAAGAAAGAGAAAGAGAAGAGTGGACAAGACAAGAAAGAAAAAGTGAATATTAACAGAAAAAAAAAAGTTTCAGCACAATAGTAAAGTCAATGTACATTGTATACTTACAACTCCCCACCAAAAGGAACTAGGCCAGCTGTCAAAATCACTATTTGAATCTTTTTCAACCATGTAGAGTACAAAGGATGCAAATATTAAACTGATAAAACCAAGATAAAATGTTGTAAGAAGTTCCTGAAAACAAAGAGAAATATCACATCAAATCACTCTTATTAACCCTTAAAACAGCGACATCAGTATGCATATTCTCCATGCTGTCCTCAATAATTTCCCAAGGTGCTGACAAGGAGAACTTTTTTAACAATCAAGAACTTCTAAAGACAGTGATCATTTCTTTTACTCCAGCAACGTTAATGTGTGATTCAGGGGTGATATTGTAAATCTGAAAAGTTTATAGTTCAAGATGACTGAGTTTAATATTATTTTTATTCCCACCTGACGATGGACAAAGATCACAGAGCCCAAGAGTTTCCACGTTCCTCCCTGTCTGTCGAATCTCAGAACCCGAAGGAGTGGTAGAAATCTCAGTAACCTTGGAGATAAAAACAGAGAATCAATGTAATCAAAACTATGTACAAGAATGAGAGCAAAAATTCAAACCCAAGAAACTGGCAAAAAATGTTGTAATACCTAATTGGAGAAGAAGACATGTTGCTAGCCAGGGACACAGCTACAATTGAAGAAACAATGACTACCATATCTGAAACAAAAAATCACACAATAACCATTAAAAATTGCCCCATGTCATATTTTCTCAAATAAGCATCTACACTCCAAAAAGCACCCTAACCCAAAAAGTGCCAACAAGGCTGTATGTCAAACAAATCCCCCCCCCCTCCTTCCCTCAGTTTCTTAACAATGTGGATTCAAGGAAAACCTGTCTCTATTGCCACTCTATTTATAATTTTCAGGCTTCAACTACAGTGGAATCAGTTTGGGGAAATAATTTCTTTTCTGCTCCAGTTGTTTCTGTCCCCATGTGCTTGTAGAGTTCCTGTATAATTTCTTAGCATAATTTATCTGTTCTTTTAATTATTGTCCTATTGCTGAACTAACTTAACTAACTTCTTCCTGGGCACTTATTCAAGGAAATACAACATCTTACAAGAATTTAAACCTTTCCAAATCATACGATAGCAAGGCAGGTGCCTTCAAGGTTTGTGGAGCCAAGAACTAACTCTTAAGCGGGAGCTAACTAATAATGGCAACCCTGGACTGATTAATCTAACCTGGCACTCTTTCACTAGTCACCAATAAAAGACTACAAATACTGAGCCAATACTTGGCAGTGAGGTTGGAAGAAAGGGTGACAGCAGCAGCTTATAAGCATGTTAAACAAGATGCACCAGGAGTAAACTGAAGTGACATGCACAGGAGAGCAGCAAAACTGTAGCAGCCCCTGTCAAGCCCTTAAGTCCCAGATCAAACTTGTAATCCTCCTTAGTGTCAACCATACAATTCTCATAATGTTAGTGCAGAGAATTTAGTATTGGATCAACTAATTATCCCCAAATTGATATTTTGCTTTATTCTCATCACTTATCTAGTTGATGTTGTATTGATATTGTAAGGAGAAACTCTATCCTGGTCACTCATGGGAGTTAAAGGGTTAAGTCTGATGCAACTGCTGCAGGACTTAATACACATAAACATAAACTTGACTACAAGCTAATGATCTCATTAATTCTATTATCTGAGCCACATAGAAACACAGTACCACAAAAAGAAAAACAAAATTAAATATTTAATGAGAATCATACCTATTAAAGAATATATCTGTACAGCAAAGCGTAATCTTCCCTTAATCCCTACGTACGCACTGCGACAACCAGCTGCCCAAAATCTGACACAATACTCTACTACAAATACCACTATTAAAATAATTTCCTGTAAATAGAACAAAATTGGAATAATTTTGTTAGTGAAACCTCAAAAGCAAAGACACATTTAAGTATGCTCTTTAGAGATGAGATCTGGGCCTCTTCATCATTTCCAATTGTCAGATTTCCATAACAGATCATCTAATGAAAAAAAAACATGCACAAAATAAACGGGAACTGACAAGTTTAATGTCACATTACATGATATTTTATGCAAATCTTTTTCTTATTTCAATCTCAGACTTTAAACACTTAGTAATAATACATGAAACTTGCAACATGGGAGTCAAGCAAAGGACACCAAATTGGCAAGTTTTATCACAAATTCTGTGGCCGAAATTCTTTCCTACTTCCTGCAGTGACACAAATGGCTTTAAGTAATGTCTATCATGCTCCTTATCAAAGTCGCAGCTTTCAAATGCAATGCTTTCTTCTGTTCACTGTTTCTCAGACACTCACCACTACTAAAATTGGTGTCTCTAAAACTTCTTCATAGTTTTCTTCCTTTGTTCGCACTGTGCTCAGCACACTTAAAATCAAACTTACAATCACCAGGAAAAATCTGCAAGCAAATTAAGAACACTCAGAAAATCATACATGCCACAATTTTACTTCAGAATCAATAAATAGACTGCTTGACCTTTTAAACACATAGCATATGCCATCATTAATATGCTGACATATATCATAGCGAAAATGCCCCAAGACACTTGTGGGGTCATCATCCTGTATTAATCTGATATGTTTATTTTTGTTGTTGTGTGGGATGAAAGAATCTTTCATAACAAACCAAAACCAGAGCAATTAAGTAAATAAGATTGGACATGAGTAGAGGTGACAAAAAAAGTTATGTAATCTGTGAGCAAAATCATAAGAGGATTATGTCCTTCCATCCAGTGCTTTTCCCTATCAAAAAATCTCAAACTTGTGGTTTTGTAGATGCTTTTGGGGGACAGTTGGACCAAAAGCAAGTGTGAATAAAAAGATATACAAACGACAAACAAGAACTGATTTTAAAGGAATTATACCGAATGAAGGCCCACTTTGCAAAAAGAGAATTCATCGAAAAATAAACATGTTCATTCCTTTGTGTAAAGCAAGCAACGCTCCAATGTACCAACAGTAATTGTGAAAGTAAGCCCCCCTATATGAAAATATAGAAAAGGTAACTCAAATGTATTAGCCAGGATAACAGCATTTGAACAGATTAAACTCCTCAATGGTCAAATATCATTTTCACACCTAAAGCATTTGTCATTTAATCAACACCTCAACACACTGTCTTACACTCTGATAGGAATTAATGGGAAGACTCCTTTCATGACAACCGCAAGGTTGTTACACCACCAAAGTCTTGGATACATTCTTTGATGGAAAAAACTAATATGGAACAGATATTGGACAGGCCAGAAACAACAGGCACTTAATAAACCCTTGTTGTAGCTAATACTTTTGACCGCAGAAAAAACAGAAACAGCTCTTGTGAAGAATGATTTTATATTTAGACAGAAACACATTAAGACTGCTGGAGACACATTTAAGATAAGATGACCTTGGCTAATGAATCCAATTTTACATTAACAGATTTTTACTCTCATACTGCAGGCTTATCAACGAAAAACACTACACACATAAAAAAATTTGAGACGAAAAGAAAACATTACCACAATGACAAAAAAAAGGATGTGAATGTTTGTTAGTAGGTAATTAAGTTTTGCCGGTTGGTTCTAAAACACATATTAAAGCAATATTTTTCACTTATATATAATGAGTTTCTCTCATATTTTGCTTCTTTCAGATAGTTTTGTCTGGCAGAAAACCTCACATGAAAAGAGAGAAGAATCCTTGCCCCAATGTATTTTCTTTGAAATGATCATTGGTTCCGATGCTGACTTCACACTTGCGCAAAATATTTCAACAGTCTTTTGTGTGGTCTATTTTATTTATTTCCTAGTTGCCAAACATGCCCAGCAAGGGTTCTGTGCCAAAAAATTTGAGCAATCCAAATTTAGAATCTGTTGGAAAAAAAGTGCTTTTTCACCAAACCTTTTCTATTTTTTTGACCAAATAATGCAACAGAATCTTCTTAATAATTCACAATTGGCTTTTAAAAACAGATCTCCCTGATGAAAAATTTGAGAGATGTTTGTTCTTTGAATATGCAAATATAACCACTATTTTTGTTTCCGAGGAAAATCGTAGAGTGCTGATTGACATATAAGGGTAGAGTGTAACTTTATCTCTGTGATGAACAGCTTGGCAAAATACATTGAAGGCTGTTCATTGTAAAAATATTGCCTAGAATGGAAAGAACAGACAAACATGTAATCTAGGACTGAGATAATTGCCAAAAAGTATAATAATGTGTGAATTAAATTATTCGCCGACAACATGTCTTGAAAACCACATAGCACATTATAAATGAGGTTAATTAGAGAGTGATTTGTAATAAATCAGGGGAACTTTATACATTTTGAATAAGGTCTACGTGTTCGATAGAAAAACAAAATGCTTTGAACGTTCCGATTCAGATTATTTTAAGGATTCACCAAGTATTTTGACGAAAAAACGCTTTCCAAGTGATTCAAGAATTGATTTTGAGTGCACAAAATAAATAAAATTCACAATAGTTCACAAATACTCCATTCAAAGCTATACCAGAATAATTTGACAAGAAACAAGAAAATAATATTTCTGTCTTACCAGTACAAATAGGTACCGTTTATAGACTTCATTATTAAAAAGTGCGCCTAGTCCTCAACAAGGTCTACTTCATTGTACAGTAAATCAAAGCTTCGAGTCGTTTTAATCTCATGAATAAGTTCCCATCTGATCGCTAAAATTTGCAATGCGAAGAGTTTTAATTCTCACGCAAGGCTAATTAATAGCAAAAAAATTATCTCGACTTGCAAGCAGAGAGCACATCCAAGTGAACTAATTAGCGTTAAATTTCAAAGTTGATTGAAGAGCATTATCTTGGTATTAAAAACGCACGGAAAAAAATTTCAGTTGGGCACGTAGTAGAATTGAAAGTGAAAATTACCACGTTCGGTTATATTCATGTTTGTGTGTTTACTGTTTAGTAAAAACTTGACGTGTCGAGTGCGAAAATATCAAAACAAGGAACTTGTACACTTACGAACCCCAGGTGAAAATACGATCGCTTTAAAATTAAAACAGATCGGAAGACGTTACGAATTATTTATTGCCTTTAGAGAAACAGATCCTAGGAACTAATTTTCACTTAACAACAAAAGAAAAGTGCCCATTTTCTTGTCGTCAGCTCCCGCGATAAAGCGAGTTATTAAACGAAATAAATCGAGATTCATCCAATTTTCGCCGATAAAATATCTATTTCTTCGCTTCTGGTAACGATCAACAAGAAAAGTTTCTACTTACAAAAGAGCATGGTACAAGATGCTAAAAGGTCCTTTAGGCATCTCCAGAAATCGAAAGCAGTAGTTTTGTATTTTTCGGTATTCTTCCGGACGACAACCACATGTTCTCCCTGAGCTAAATCCCACAGATTTATCCTCTTTAGTTCTGTGTCCATTGTGAGCTGAAAAATCTCCGCTCCTCTTCGAATCTTGCTCATGTTGAAAACCCTTTCTCCGCAGTGGTATGGTTTCGCCGTCGATCGAATTCGTACTCGAAGAAAGTTTTTCTGTGTACGAACCGGACACGCCAAGAAAATCTATGCTATTGCGCCTCAAATCCGCCGTTACAGCTCTGCTCATGATTCAACAGATTCTGTAGAAAGTCTACACGTTCGAAGAAAGAAAAACGGAACTCAGCCACGAAAACATAAACTGAAGAACACTCAACAAACTCTTACAAACGGCTTTGAGTAATGGAATGAGATACGTCACGTGGTAAAAAAAAAAAAAAAAAAAAAAAAAACAAAATTTGATTGGCTGATCGACACGGCGGGAACTGTATGTTTACAACGTCAAACAGATCAACTGTTTCAAAGAATTGCTTCTATTGGACACTTTAGACTCTTCCGGCTTAGGATTTTGACATAAATTTTCTGAAAATTGGATAATATTAATCACGTAACAGTCAAAATCCCGCTTTTAGGAAAGAACATTTGATCAGATTCACGAATATCCAACTGCGTCGCACTGATGAAGCCGGTCAGCCATTCTAATCGCACGAGTCACGCAAGCTGCAGATAAATAAACAAATTAAATTTGTTGGGATTTTTCTGGTTACAGTTGCAATTGTATGTGTCATCAATAATTATGCTTGGAAGAACGGATCGAAGTTTTAAAGGTGACACATCATGAATGAAAAAACACTTGTGTCAACAGTTTTCCGCTTTTAATCACAGGGAGGTAACACAAGACTCCTGTCATAAATCAAAAGTTTGAACAATTTAATTAACCAGTTTATTAGGTGCGCCCACGCACGTGCCCCTTTATGTCTGGACTTTAGAACAACGTAATCACATTTTCTGTTCGAGAATAATTTCGGAGATTCCATGGAGTATTCGATATGATCGTCTCACAGATTACATTTCTATTGGAAGAACGGTAACAGATGAACACCCAAGTAATTTGACAAATTTCGCAAAGCAAGCAGATCTATTATCGACACTTCGAAGCCAAAATGATCATATTGGTTGGAAAATTTAACTAAATCATTACAGTCCTGTATTTCAGTCTGGAATTGAAATGTGCTGATTTATCTTACAGGGGCGTTGGACATGGTTGAATTTCTCATTTTCTAGAACAGGCGAAAAATGTCGATCACATTTCCATCTGCATTTACATCCATAACTTATCAAGATTTGGAACTGGGCCGTGACTGAGATAATCTATCAATAGTCCTCATTCCAGGGATGAGATAGGCAATTGGGTCGACTTCCCTATGGATTGTCACGTCCACATTTAGGATATGCAAGCGGAAGAGCACCAAGCCGCGCCCGCTGAGAAGAAAAACATACGGGCCGTCTAGCGTCTTCCTCGGGCCGAAAAATTATCCGGGCCGACGACATCTCGCCGTGATTTCCCCCCGTCAGCCAATCGTAAGGCTATCTGCAACCATACGCTATCCGCAACCACAATCAAATTGCGACCGCTTCCTGTCAAACTACATCTTGATGCTTCATTATCAACTGGCATTTTTCACTGTAAGTGAAAGGTAAGCGTGTTTGTGTCTGTATATAGCCAGTATCCGTGTCCTTGTGATGGATTATTTAATTTCTCTTCTTATCATTATAGTTGATGTTTTATTGAGAGCGTTTCGGAGAGTTTTAAGAAACTTGCTGTGCACATACAAATACATTTTTAAATTTTTTTTTCATTCTAGACTGTGTCTTTTAGTTAGTTGTTCACCATTTGGTGCAATAAAATTTATTGTTATCATTATTATTATTATTATTATTATTTTTATCGTAAGTATCATTATCGCTATCACAGATCATCATTTTCGCTTAAGTTATTGTTGTCGTTGCTGTATCATCAGAATTATCACAATTATTATTATTATTATTATTATTATTATTATTATTATTATTATTGTAGCTAAATATTACATGTTTTACGCCACAACATGAATGCACGTTTAATCTAACTACCAGATACACAAATATTGAGATATAACGATGTGTAGATGTGTAAATGTGATTCGAAATTTGTGGCGTAACCAGGTACGGTAGAAAAACTCTTCTTAAACAAAGGTAAGACGGCGCGAAAGAAAAGACTAATCGACTTAGTTGAAATCAACTAGCAATGAAAATTGTCTAATGAAAACAACGCTTTGTACTGGCACGAAATAAAACGCTAGTGTGGTATTACGTGATCCTTACGCAGCCCCACTGACGCAAAAACTTGAACTTAATTGAATAGAAACATAACATACGACAGTAGCTCATCAATTGAAAGAAAAACAATATAAAATAATCTCGCAGTTACTTGACGACAAACAGAAAAGCAAATTCTAGTTGCTGCTATTATCATTGTCATCCTCAGTTTTATTTTTCTTTGTTCTCTTTGTAAATATTGACTTTTAGACTATTTATAGTTCACAAGTATTTGAAAGATTGAATTCTAAATAGTTACCTTTCATGTTGATAGCTTTACCAGTGAGCTCTTATTTTGCTTTAGTTCTGCAAGTTCTTCGGAGTTAATACACATTTTTGTGCATAGAGCACGATTTGTTTTCTTTCTCTATCCATCTGTAAATATGCTGAATGAGTTCAGTGTTATCATTATTATTATTACATATTATTATTATCTCTATCCATCTGTAAATATGCTGAATGAGTTCAGTGTTATCATTATTATTATTATTACATATTATTATTATCGGTAATAACATGATTTCGAGTGCAATTTGATATGAATGTCGCAGTGAAAGACAACAAAATTGCATAAACCCGAAGGGTGAGTGCAGTTTGCAGTTATTAATTTACACGAAATTGCTCTCGAAATCCGGCATATTATTACCAATAATAACATGAACATCGTGATCATAATAATTATAATTATAAATCTGATGATGCTGATGATTATGCTTACTTACACCAAGTTATATAAGAGATAATGTAATTAGTTATTAATAATTTATGTTAAAAAGCATCACAGAAAGTCAAGACGGACGAAATTTTGACAGCGTGCGCGCTATCTGTGATTTGCACTCTTGTTTCAATTTTTCACTGTTACGTGTTTCGCAGTGTTACATAAAAAAATGAACTCGTTTTCGGCCAATCAGAAGCGCGTATTTTTTAATGTCCCGAATAGCAGAAGCACAGATCCGGCTACAGCTTCGTACTTCAGTCAAGGCTTTAACACTTATCACGTGGCTTACACACGTGATAGGACAAGTTGAAGCAAATGACTTTAAACCCGCCTGCTTACATAAGGACGGGTTGCAATCACTGGATGGCCCAACACAAGGGTCAAATGTCTGCGCATTGGCGACCGTTGTAATTACCAGGTGTGCTTTTAGCCTATCAGAACCAAGTTGTCTCACCAACGTTACAAACAACCACACAAGCCAGTAAGTCGCGGTGTTTTCAAAGCTCGAAACAGAGCGGCAAATACACAGGATATCCATACTTAAACAAGCTTTTCACACGAAAAAGTCTCGAGTTTTCCTTTTCCCTACTTTTATTTCCTTACACAGATTTCAAAGAAAATTTGAATTTCTTTCGCTTATCTTATCAGACAGCCGTTGTTTCTTACGTTTTCCTTGAATATTTTGCAAGGGAACTTTGATCCCCTCGTGCGTTTAACCGCTGTGTTGGATCAGCTTGGGCGCGATCAGTGGCCGCTGATCGGGAAATGAGCCCGCGCTTCTACTTTTCGGATACATCTACGACTGAACTCGGGAAAGTGGGGGTAAGTCGAGCCTATGCTTAGTCACGCTAACGGCCAAAACAGTCGGGTTGGGACTGGAAAGTTTAAGGAAAGATGACTCATGCTCAGTTGCCTCCGCCGTGGCTTCAGGGAAGATGATTAGGAAGGAGTCAGCGACGAAACTGTATTTTTAGGCATGGTGGCCAATCCTAATAGTTAATGCATTGGACGCGCCAGGTCAATTTGTAATGTTTTAAAAGCCTCTTTCTCTTCAAAACAGACCTTTTTTTCCTCCATTTTCAAACCAAAATGGCCGTCCATACGAAAATACGAAACCCCCCGTCTTGGACTGTCTAAACGTCGTTGTCGTATTTTTTTCCAAAACTTTTAATAATAGTAATAAAATTGAAAAATTGAAAATAGTGTTAAGAGAAAGTCAGCTAAAAAGGAGCCGAGATGACCACGGGCTCGAGATTGACACAGCTTAGGTAACACGATCCTAAACTCTAATTTGGTAGCTCGGGAAAATGAGTTATCCTCTTCAAAATATACTTACTTGCCAATTTGACGTTCAGTCGTGATGACTCAGTCGTGTTAATCTGTAACTCTCGTGACTAACCAAGACATAATATTTTCCTCATAATATCAAGAAGACAAATAATAAGATTAAAGGAAAATATCGATTGGGGGATTATTGCTTGATTCAAAACCAAATTCTTAGAACTAACATCATAGAGAATAGTATGACAGACGAGAAGGAGAATTACTTAAGAGATCTTAGGAGTGTGAAAGGGTTAAGAAGTATTTGAAATTGTCTCCAGGAAAAAAGAAGCCCATAAAACATTGGAAGTTTACTGGGTGGATAGCACCAAAGAAGTATGCACATAGTGTAAGTGAAGAGAAAGGAAGGTGAAAGCGAAATGGAAAATGTTAATTTTTTTTGACAAAGTTTCTCAAGGTTCATGCACCTCAACGTCGCTATTTTTAGGTCATGCTGTGAAAACGTGACTAGCCTGCAGCGCAGGCGTCTTATTAGGGAAAGTTGTAGTTAACCTCACAAGCTGGCGATCGTTTATTCGACCGTCAGTCACCCCTTGGTAAAAATTTCTTTCTCTTTCCACTACTGTAAAATTAAAAAAATGGCTGTTATGATTTACTGCGTCTTTACTAAGTACTCGGTAGCCAAAATTACGCGTGTTCTGTAGGCTGGGACGTGACGATTGCACAAGTCAAAGGCGTTAAGATTTTTGTTGGGCAATTTCACCCCCACATTCAAAGAATTATGAAATCTTTTCTTTCTTAGTTCAAAGAATTAATTGGTTCCTATTCTGGACGCCAGGACGCCCTCGTTTTAGTTCGTAGGTAAGAGCACATTTCAGCTCGGCTTGCGATGAATCCGTGGGCTGTCATTTCTAACAGAAACCGCATGGGCGACTTAAAACATGAGATTCTTTGTGTAAAGCGGTACAACATCCAATATACCAACTAATAAGGAAGCTCGTTAAAGACACAATAAAAACCGTAGGAGGTCATCGGTAATATAGGGTTTAAAAAATTGTGATTCAAGAATCCAATTTACAAACAGCTAGAAATTAATAAAGCTGGGAATAGCTTTAAAAAAAATTATAAAAATAAATTTTTGTACGAAAAAAATTCACAAATTTGACTTAGGTTTGGTTAAGGTTTTTATTCCTGAGCCCTAGATATATCCTTTTGTGAAAGCGGGGTCGTTTGACAAAATTAGTTCCAAATTGAAAAGAATATATTACTCCGTGAAAATAATTTGGTGTAAACGTTTCGTCATTTAGCTTCGACGTGCGAGGAATAAATTTTTTAATGTAAATCTTTATTTGTGATAGCCTGTTTGCTTAAGATTGGCTTCCTAACTACACTACCACCACGGTGGTGAGTAGATAAGATGGAAATTCGACTCCATCCTCCCGTATTATAGACAACAAACGATATAAGCTTGAGCTGCATTCTTTTACTTAATTTAGAGTCAGCCATCAAAGGATAAATTCAGCAAGAAATACTCAAAATCTCTGGACGAGCTAAGAAGAGTATTTCGAAGATCGCAATAGCTTCTGAAAATGAAACGTTATGGGTGAAAAGGTTTTCTTTTAAAGATTAAGTCCTGAGGCCGCAATCTGAATAATCTGGTTGCATATAGATTTTCTTTGAAGTACATAAAGCAATATACGCGTATGTAACAGATCATAAACGCATCAATTGTCAAACAAGGTTGTTATCCATCGGAAAAGATTCACATTATCTAGTACAGATAATGTGGAACAAATACAGTGACACTACAAAGCCGAGATTTTCTTTTATTTCTCTTGTAGCTTTATTGAACGTCGAATTTTTTCACATCCGCCTCTGGCGGCAAAGGACAAAGAAGCGACAACTTCATTCATGACTCTGATTTGTTTACCTCTAAGAGTTCGATGAGGGTTTGTGGTTTCGGCTAACAGATCTGGGAGGTTAACGCATATTGGCGCAGTAGCGTTGAGGCAAACGGTGAAAGTCAATACTCTTCAGACGCAAAAACCACTGTTGAAAACCGGAGACCCACACATTTTTAGCTCTAAAAATTTTCTATTAAGTCTTTGCTCTGCAAAGGCATGTTACAACTACTGCGTTAGCCTCAAAACTTTACTTCTGCATTGTAAGAGCTTCTGAATATCATTATTTTCAAACGACAGCGGCGATACATAAATTTTCGTCGCTACCCGTTTGACCATTACCTTTGGCTATTAGGACGGATCCTAGATTTTGAGTTGTTAGAAACTGAAAAAAAATTCGAGAATGAAAAGAAAAGCTTTAAAAAAAAAAACCTTCGACATTTACATATCCCAAGACTGATGAGATTTCTTAGTACGTATGACTCACATGTAGGCGTAAGCACATTTGACAGTTGCGCAATGAAGGACGATGGGAAACTGGGACGACCGAACGACTCAAAGTTTACGTCGTGAGACTCGAAGGGCCTAGAGTCTGTTAGCAGTCTTAAAGGTGCTCGAAGGGGTCGAAACGCTATTGGAGAGAAATGGGTTGAATTGAAACATCCTAAGACGCAACAAATCGAAATGTGTTTGAGTCGCGAATGGCCAATACAGGTCAAATAAAATATTGTGCCAGTGTCTCACCAAGATAATCTTAAGCGTGATTGAGTTCAAAAGAGGGTCGTTGACGAGAATTTCCCACGATGGGAGTAACACCACCAGAAGGGGCGAAGTACGGAAAATTCTCTACGGCGGTGGATGGGCGGCCTAGAATTTTCGGGAAAAACCAAAGAAAGGACCATTTGTAATTTAATAGGCGGTTGACACGCTCTGAATGGGTTGTTTAACGAGGAAATGGTGTTCTAGTGAAATCAGCACCCATTGTTTTCCTCTGGTGACAAAGATCGAACAGTTTCCTGTCCTTCATTACACCTGATTGCCTGAGGTGTTTCCAAATGATCTGCTTGGCTTTAATTTATTCTTCTCTCCCTTTTTTGTTTTTGTTTTTTTTTGTTTTTTGTTTTGTTCCGGATCCGGTGGAGGCTGATTTTTGCTTTCTTTACAATTATTTGTCAACAAAATCCACCTTCAGCACATATGGCATTTCCTCTTTTGCTGACACCTCGATCAAACATGCGCAATTGCACACGAGGAAGCGACTAAACTTAAAAAAAAAATAACCATATTAAGTGACTGCCGCTGCAGTAAATATCTAACTTTCCAATGGTGTTAGGACAGAACAGCTGACATGAGATATGTCATGAAACATTCTGGGAACACTCTGAGATATAATAGTAACAGCGCTTTATTTAACTCTATCCCACATGTGCTAAAACCGGAAAGCGTTGATTAAAATTGGGTCCTATAATTTATCAGCTGAAAATTGTGGTATACACTCTTCTGGTTTGTTTCCTTCCTTTACCAGTCATAATACTGTAAATAACACTGGACGCGGAAAGACGTGATAAATATTTGACCTTAACAAACTTTCTGTGATAAAATTCACGATTTGGATTCAACGGATTATGAAAGTGGAATGGAGACGGTTTCCTGTTTCGCTGAAAACAAGTTGTGAGTCACGTGAAATTTCGTGACAATCGGCAGGTATTTTCCAAAAATCATAACTTTGACAATGAACGCTTTCGTAATTACTTTTTCGGTCTTCTAGATCTGCTCGTTATTTTGGTTTTGTTCTGAACATGAAAGATTCTGGCATAATCCTGAATAACAACAATGATGGCCATTTTCCATTGACAGCACAATACTCGATTAAAATTGTAATCTGGTCACGCATGATTATAACAGGAGAAGGTTGTCGTGGGAACATGACAATTGAGTCACGAGGAAAAACTTTCTAGATCTAATTTTGTCTTCAAGAAATACAAAATATATATAAAAATGCCACGTAATTCACTCTGCAACTTAAGGATTTCAAAGGTTTGCTCTGTTAAGTTCTTTCCTCCCATTTGTTTTACGCCAGATGTTAAGAAATTTCAGTTTTGCGTAAAATAAGTAATCCAGTGATTACTTTCGCAATTTTTTTTAGTCTTTTTTTGTTTCTAAACCAAAGTTTATTAATAAAAGAAAAAGTATCAAAAACCATGTTCGCCTGCAGATGATCATAATTATTAAAATATTTTGACGTGTCTCCTCACATCCTGGTAACGGATTAGGGCATATTATTCATCTTTCAAGTCTTGTGATCATACTTCCGACCAAGGGTGAATTGTGAGTCAGCTTTGAAAGTTTCGTCATGTGAAATTTAAACGTTACTTGACTCACGCTTTGATCGTGTGACTCCAACGCGTAAATATCGCTCGCCATTAAGCTATTTTTGCTCGTTATTGAATGAGATTTTTAACTACACAGAGATGCGTTGTTCTGTCCTCTGGGAATTTCAAACAAATGATGCAATCGTAAAGCAACTCATTTTCGAACGCGATGTCGTGTTTGCCAATGAGTTGTTGCACGAAAATGCTAATTATTTTCAAGAAAGAAAGAAAACCGACCGGAAAGCGAGCTACTCTAAATTAACAAAGGCAATTGTATTTTTAACCAATTATATGTCGTAAATTGCATCAGATGACCTTACGATGACGAAATAACTCCTAATATGGAGAGGTGGGCTTTGAGAGGCCACAACACAAAACCTTATTGCGTCAGGTTAATTTGATGTCTTAAGAACCAAATTTCGTTGTGAGAATCCACCAGAGATTGAATTGAGTATTACACCATCATGGCATTTGTATTCCAGCCTGATTGTTGAAAGGGAAGGCCAAACAGGCCTCCCAGCAAGTCAAGCCATCGCCAACGGTAAGGAGGGAAACGTTTCACGGCGGAAAATTTCGATCAAAATTTTTTTGTCGCTACTGCTGACTTACGACATCACATCGCCACTTTTGTGCAACGTCATACATCTTACTTGGCAAAATCGGAATACACGTAAGATCTATTACGAACAAAATTACGGATTTATAGTCGCCTGCTTTTCTCTTTATTCGTAACACGAAGAAGAGTCATTTTTAAGAGAAAACTGCGTTGCTTTAAATGAACTCTACGACGAATCGTTACCATCCCTATCAGCGCAATGCATCCAAAACAAATATTGAATCTACGCCATTACCAAACTTGACTATAACTCATCAGGCAGCGAAGCGAACGAATGATTTACCACAAATATGCAAGGTTGGGAAATATCTTTTATTGGAACGTCCAGGTGGAAGCGCTCTTTACAAAGCGGTGGACACCGAAACGAGAACAGAACTTGCTTGCAAAATCATAGACGTCAATAAATTCCGGGAGACTCTAGCGCCGATGTTTCATCTTCCTCCACACGATGGCATCAACAAGATTATAGAAATCTTGGTCAGTGACTCCTACGCTTATGTTTTTTTTGAGCGATCGTTTGGAGATTTACATTCTTACGTTAGAACAAAACGTAGACTGAAGGAGGAGGAAGCAAGCAAATTATTTCACCACATCGTCAGTTCAGTTGCACATTGTCACGAGTCGGGTGTTGTCTTGCGCGACCTGAAACTTAGAAAGTTTGTGTTTAAAAATCCCGAAAGGTAAGCGCCTTTTTTGGTCCTACAAGGTTTGGGGGGTTTCTAGCTCTTAAAAAATAGTAAGCTTGGAGAAATCTTGGATTTTCCATGTGGTTTATGACAAGATCTATTCAGTATTGTTCGTTAACCCCTCGTGGTGGAGATTGTGTGAACAGTGTTAGCGTGGCGTTAGGACGGGTACTGGTTTGTTTTGGGTCTACATATCCTAGCTACGACGCAGTTTTTTTTTCATTTCTTCATTATTTTCTTACAAACTTGAATGTAATTTAGTTAAGAACCGAGCTTGTTCGTGTCCGTGGCCATAACTTTAAGCAGTGGGCCCGTATTTCTCTTTTTCATGGCAATAACATTGGCCGTTCGTGTTTGCCGCTCTATTTCCGGTTTGTGGCGTTCTGTAGGCACCTGCAATAGGAATGTATAAAATCCATCTCGTGGCGCTGTTTTTAGCGACAAAGAATCAAAAGAGTCGGTTAAAATACTTGAAATAAGAGTAGAGCTGGAGAGTATTGTTTGTAGAGGGGGATCGTTCGATGCGGCAAATAATAGTCGCGAATTTGTGTGGGCTGATAATTTCATATTCCACTTTCGTCATTCCCACGCGCGTCGCGTCTTTGTGGGATGAAAGGCGAGTCATCAAACCAATAAAGAGGGCTATGCTTTAGACACTTTTTTTCGGAATGGGTTCCTTTTCCCTTTTCCTTTGCGTTTTCATTTTATTTTTTTGATCCCGGAAATGGCGGGCACACAGCGGCGGGAAATTTTAATTCTTACTTGTCATTCAATGTAAGTGCATCTTATTGCGAAGCCTCCGAAAGGAAATGCAATCAATATTGCAATTGGATTTATATAGAACCCCAAGAATCGTCGGATCGAATCTACACGCCGGTGATTTGGTAAGGTTTGAGTCGTTGTCAGATGAAATCATTCTCCACGTGGCATTGGGAAATTTCAAAACGTTGCAAGTTGATCAAGTGAAAGTTAGCCACGTGGAACTATGATCTTTCCACCTTTGTTGCTTTATTCTCGAAATTTATCCGTTGGTTTGCGCCACAAAACAATGACTGTCGAAACACAATTAAATCGCACGCTTTTTATTCTTAAACGGACGGCGTGTTCCGATGATTGTCTATTGTCTTCGCGATTTTCAAAAGACGAACGCCCCCGATGACATTTCTTTGATTTGTGAACGGAAACATTCGAAACCGTACGCTATAAAAAGAGAATCTTCAAATACCGCAGAGAACCCGCAGGTGCAAAAGCGAATTTTTTCCTCATTCTGACTGGATCTTGCCGAGATTTCCTGTGAGTAAAATGTTCAGTATTCACGATGCCCTCATGTTCACAATCGGCAATATTATAGAGTGTTTACCCAAAGGGGTAAAAGATAGTATACTTCAGAAGTATCTTGGGTCTAATATTTTACTATAGTGCAATTGACAAAGGGTGTTTAAGATATTGTATGTGGGTGTAAGGATTTTATTTCTTTACAATTCCGTTTGTGTTTCTTACTTCCCCGTTGATCTATTCTTGTCTTTAACGATCATAGTAATAATTAAACTTTGTCCTACCGGAGTGAAAAAAAAAAAGGGTCACAAATTTAAATACAGCTGTCCTTAAAGCGTTTACGTCTCAATTACTTGCAAATGAACAAAAAGAGAGAACCATGTTTTTTTGAAAAACTGTCATTAGCTGCGAGCTTTCCATTGTGAAGCCGGTAAAAAGCCAGTTGTGTTCTCTCAAAAGCTGCTTGTCAACCTGATATGTATTAAATAGAAGTGAATGGAGTCTGCGTTTAGCGAATTGCGAACGATTTATAAATGAATCCTATAAATAGGATTAAAATGAACATCACGGGTCACGCAAATGCTGATAAGATATATTGTTACTTTCTGTGCTAGACAGTTATATTGATCGGAATATATGAAAGAAAAGCTTACACGCGGTGCAGATGTTTTCAACGAGTTTCGAAGTGAAAACTGTGGAATAAGCGATTAAATTAAATCGGAATTATCAGTCAAATCCTTGCATTAAAGATAAGTGGGATTTTGGTTACGAAATCTGGCTTTAAGGAATACTCGGATATCTGAGTCGCAGTTTTTTTTAAGGGTCCGAGATTCCGGCCTTTTCAACCTCCCATTTCTTTTTTTCTCTCAGTGACAGCTCAAGTTAAATTCGATCCAGCCTTTTTAATGTGCATCTAGGGTAACATGCTTTGGCCTTTTGTTAAGTTATCTTTAAAAAATGTTAAGCGGTAAGTGGTCTCGATTTCAAAAGAAATACCAGTTACCCATAAAAAAGAATGATCCATGTGAATCAAAACCAAAACTACACGTGCTTTTTGCCATGTGGCCTCCGCCCAATTCTACCTTTTTCGCGGAAAAAATCGTCGAAAGAATCGATTACGTCTTTTGGAGTTAATCAGCCATCTTACTGTCGTTTATTGCAAACTGCGGTCGTGGAAAACGTCAGCACTCGAATCACTCGGTTTTCTTTTTGACATGCAACTGTCTGTCATGTGTCTGATTATGAAACATGGCCAACAGACGTTCTTGTTTCTGTCTTTTGTTCCTTCTCGTTCCCTCTTCTTTCCGCCCTTTGTCATAAAAATAAAGAAAAAAAAATTTAAAAATCACCATGTAACAATTGTGGGTGAGATTTCTAGACCAAAACAATTAGACCAAAATTTCGAAACGTACCTTGGAAAACCATGTGAGTCCTTAGAAAGCCTTTTGAATTCGGTTTAATAAGGTGTGCTAGTTACTCGCGTGCCTCGTGGCGCATGGGCCCGACGACCCCTTTGTTCTTTGTCTGCCTTCGGTTTGCCTTATTCCGTGTCATGTACGTCTCATGTAGTCTAGTACCCATTGTTTGAAAAAGTTTAATTTTCAATTACTTTTTCGCTAACGCCGAGGTTTTATTTATTTATTTTCATTAATTTTACAGATCAAATGTAAAACTTGAGGGATTAGAAGACGCTTATCCTCTTGACGGCGAAGATGACACTCTCGAAGACAAGCATGGCTGCCCTGCTTATGTGAGTCCGGAGATTTTACAAGCAAGCGGTGGTTACTCGGGCAAGGCAGCCGATGTGTGGAGTCTGGGAGTGATGTTGTACACTATGTTAGTCGGACGATACCCGTTCCACGATACGGAACCGAGTGTGCTTTTCACGAAAATTCGACGTGGACATTTCACAGTTCCGGACACGATATCATCAAAAGCGAAATGTCTGATTCGCTCGATGATGCGCCGTGAACCCACAGAAAGACTGTCTGCCCGGGAAATCCTTGAACATCCTTGGTTTACGTCAAGTTTTCATATCACTAGTCCTTGTAAAATAGACCAGAAAATAGCTGATCAAACCGTGCCAGATTTGGCCTCAGATGACACGCCTTCTTTCTTTGTTTGAGTGCCTTGTTTACTATAGCAGATTATTTAATTTTTTGTGTACATATATACATAAATAGAAAGAACTATCTCATTCTTAAGACAAGATGGAGGAAAAGTGCTTCTTAAAGAGAAATTATTCGGTCGATTTTTTCACTGTTAAAAACCGATCGCTCGTTATAGCTCTCTTCATGCAGGTATTTCTTTTAATCTTATGGAGCACTCGTAATATTAAGAAAGTGTTCATATGTTATTATGTTTTTCTTACTTTTTTTTTCCTAGCGTGAAATGCGTTATGCATAAGGATATAAGCTTTGCAATGTTGGAAGTTTCACTTTTTTGAGCTTTTGATAGCAAGGTGGGAATTATTATTGACTTCCATTTGAAAGCGAACGCGCGAGAAGTTTATTGGTTGGAAAAATTGGAAGGGTGATCCGGACGTCTCGACATTTTCTGTGCTGCAGTCACAGTTTAAACGTTGTGATTAAAGATTGAAAATTTATTGAAATTGTGTGGTTGTTTCTTGTTTTGCGGCTCCAGACAGTGGATTACTATTGACTGTCGCAAAGGAAAGAAAAAACAATGGCTAATCAGAACAAAATAAATTATCACATGAGCCATTGAGTAATCGAAGCAAAACCAGGCAAAGTGCGTCAACCACGAGTGTCAATAATTTTGCATCTGATTGGTTAAGAAGATGGCGCTAGTTGTGAAATAAGGAAATGTCGCGACTTCTCGTCTCTGAAGTCTATCTTAGGTATATGGGATGAATTATAAATCCATTACAATTCCTCCTTATTAATGATCAACTGGAAGACACTCTGGTGTTGCCGCCCCTGCGTCTTACAAATGTGCCTCGTGTCGAACAATTTTGTTCTTACCACGTTATGTCGTCATCCGCGACTTATTGTGTATTTGTTTGATTAGTTAAAGAGTTTCGTTAACAATTCGTGTCAGACTCCTCCACTTTGCCACCATTGTAATGTTATTTCCTATTTGAAAGCTATTTCATGCACTATCTGATTGGATCCTCGAAGGATCGTCTGCTTTTAGATCTTCACATGAGGTTACTAAAGCTATCGATGCGAGAATGAGATGTGATTGACGATGGGGAGAGGAGCCTCACCCCAAGCTAGAATTTGTTTACCAGTCTCCCCTAACGAACAAGCGGCCGCTCAAATTAATATCACTGAAACGTCGCATAATTACAGACATCTTCGAGTACAACGTTTCAAATATTTTTTTGATGAGGCAAAATATACTTGATTTACCCTATTATAGAGAGAGAGAATTTTTTATTTTATTAGGGATATTTAGGCTCGAGCGTGTTGTACGGGAGACTGAGATGTGTTCTGTTATCGTATGGCTCTTGTGGTAAATCGAAGGGGTCAGTACATGTGACAAGGAAGTGATATTACAACCAGTGGGTGTGTGTTGCTTGTCGCTGCAAAAGGAAAAGTGGGACTGACAAAGAATGCAATTACCTGTTTCCTGTTAATTTCCTGTTGTTCAATTGTCACCGCAAAAACAGAAGTAGTTGCAGCTAATTTAATAGTGAACGCGCCTAAAACTGAACAATTACATCGAAAGTTGTAGATAGGTCTGAAGACATCACATCGCCCACATACAACAGGAAAAACTCTAAGATGGCACAATACGGTTGTATTTCCGCTGATGGTCAATAAAACTGCATTTTTTTTTTCATTGCTTCGATGCTGTTATCATGGTAAAATTCCTGATCAGCACTTGTCAAGTGCCCTGAGACGACGTTTTCATAGCAGCGCCATATCCTATTAAAACTCCCAGAAGTAATTCACATGGGACTTTTCCTTATAATATCCGTACATTATCCAGCAAACAGGTAATGTGATACTAAAACTTATCGGGTGGAAGTTGTAATCCTGATGTACATCAAATTGTGATACCATGTGTGAAAGTTAGAGGGGAGAATTAGCAATCAGATCTTCTGATTTTATGGGTGAAATCGCCCCTAGTTTTAGCCTTATGTATTTATAACTCCACTGATCAATTCCATGGCCCCCATTTCAACCATAAGCATATCAAGTTTCATCTTTAGATGGCTCTTTAATAGTAGCTATTTAAAAATAGAGATAGATTGTGTCTTGAAAATATGGTAAAGATTGCCACACCCAGCCAAACAAAATCGGATATCAGGGGGATTTTAGATGAATTCAACGACAAGTTGTTTTGCTTGAAACGAGTTGTTCTTCCAATTTTTTGTGTAGGATCCTGAAATTTGAAAAAAGGGCAGTGTGATTAGAATGGAATTTTGAAGGCAGACTTCACATCTCGTGTAATTCAATACAGCTGTCAAAGTCGGAAATGCCGGAAACCTCAAAATTGTATCGTTTGGTTTGCCAATGCCTGAAAATAAAATTACTTGATCATCTCCAGTAATATAATTAGCATTAAGTGTCCTATTTTTGGTATGGATAGGGGAGAAATGTATTGTTTGACTACACACGCCATGGCGAGTAGAGCGTGCTTAATCCATATCAACCAGAACGTCTCGATTTCATTCTCGCCATCACAGTAAAAAAGTTACAATCCAACCTCCAGCCTTGAAATGGGTTGGCAACTCTGCAACCATTACGCAGCCCTAACAGGGCGTGGACTCGAAGAGGGAAAAAAACAACAACAATACTAAGATAGTCAGAACCCCCAAATTGTTCAGAGAAGGTATTCGATACATAAACGTGTTGAATCAAGTTCTTTGGAATCGGTAAATCGACTGTGTTAGGCACGAAGTCGAGAGTAGAGGCTGCAGTACAGTGGTATCCTTGTGGTTGTAAATTGCCAACATGATAACACAAGTCACATCTTTCCTGTAAACTATTCTGTTTCCCAAAAACTTCTCTCTCGTGAAAGTAGCCTGATCGAAATGACAAACTCAAAAATATAAATAAATAAATCATATAAAAAACAACAAATGGCGAAAGATCTCAGAAAATTTAAGGAATTCACCGATAGGTAGAAATGATACAATTTGCTCTTAATGATATATATATATATATATATATATATATATATATATATATATATATTTGACGAGTGCTTAGGCGCGAAACTCAGAGTAACAGAGAATCGATGCGTCCTCTTTGATTCTTTCACTTATATATATATATATATATCGCTTTTTTTCATCAAGAATAAACATAAGTTGTCATGCAGTGCATCTGAATTTTATTTCAAGAAGTGGGTCGTCAGGGCGATAGAAAATAGAATATCGTATAGGAATTGTCCCACTTCTTTAAAGAAGCTTTTGAGTTTCGGCGTCTGAGAGATTATTGCGTCCATCTGTAAAGCCAATTTCCCCCGATGAGAGGAGTGGATTACATGACGTCACTATCGAATTTACAGAGCTTAATCCGATTGCAAAAGTATTTGAAAAATATCACTTAACTGGCTTAGGATCTTGAAAGTTTTAAACGTTCTGGCGGCTAGGTTTCCGACAGATGTATGGAACTGATTAAAAAACTTGTAAATATGGAATTGGATTTATGTCACTTGGCCTGGCAAACTTTGAGTTAGAAGGACGATGAACTCCCATTTTATACATGATTTAGGAAACCTCGAGTTCTCACATTTTTAACCTGATTTTTACCGGCTTCCAGCATGTATATTATGCAAGACTGCAAACTTAATTATCTAAGGGCTGAAACTCCTGGATATGAATGAAATATTTTCGTGTTCTTGCTCCTCGATTTAAATAAGGTCTAGTAACAGTTAAGAACTCCTGATAATCTTGAAAATATTTAATTTATTATCTGAACATTGAATACTTGAAAATCACAAATAAAGGGTTGAGAAGTCTGCGGAACAAATTATTTTTTAATTCATAATTATTTACACCATTTTAGTTTCTTTGGAAAACTTGACAGTTTTGTCTTTCATTTTTCTATAGCAATAATTAATAAATGCTGATTACGGAGAATATGTTTTGAGAGAAATTTCCAGGATTTTTTAGATTTTTTTGGACCTTTGTCCTAAGATTGAGTAAGAGCTTTCTCATATGAATGTTTCATTAACGGATTTATTTGTTTGTTTACTTATTTTGTTGATTTGACGATCGAAGATAAGTAGATTGTTGTACGGTTTTAATCCAACTGTATATTCTCTGACAAAAATTCCAATTTTTTTTTATTATTTTTCACTAGCGGTGAAATAATTTCAAAAGGAAAAAAAACAAAAAATTCACCGGAAAAAAACGGGTCTTTAAAGTTATTTTGTGGTTTCGTTAAACTTTCTGAAAGAAACTATCGTATTGTGCCTCGGAAAAGTTTGGTTTCCGGTTTGGGTTGTGAAGTGTAGGTGTGTCACTCTGCGAGGACCTGGGCACTAGGTAATTCGCCGGAAACTTTCGACCCATTACGTCTCGTCGACATGAACATTTCACAAATGTCCGCTAAAGGAGACCTCTGAAGTGAAATCCTACCAAAACTAGCCGTTATGCCTGACAGAATAACTGTCAGGAGCTTCCTGAATGAAGCTAGGGACGATGTTTCATCGCCTACAACCTCGAATTTCATGTCGACAATGAATGCTTGTCGAAACACTGTTGGAGCTCTCGAGGAGGTAAGTTTTCACGAAACTTCGTTTTTGTGTCGTACGTGCAATAAATCTTTCATGTCAGTGAAGGACATCTGCAGCGGTTTTAGTTTGGACTGATAATGAAAATTAACGTATCTAATAGCTTTTGGTCTAATTGCATGTAATGCATCCATATTTCATGATCGGTAGTTGAATACATAAATATTTTCCTGAATGGTGTTCTTCATAATAACGAAAGCATACCAATCCATGTCTTGTTTAATTTAAATTCGATCGTCACTCTGTGAATTAAATAGTGCGTGTGTGGAAACCCACAGAGCTTATATAACGCCGATACCAAACGGTTTCACCTCACATAATATTGTCAGTTTGAGCTCTGTCAAATATGTTTACCAAAATTTTATCCGTAAACTTATATTTGAGTGAGTGACGGAATCTCATTTTCATGAAAACAAGCTTATCTTGTGGTTTACTTTTTATTTCACAATTAAATAGTATGTGGTTTTTGTTTCCATTGATGTCTTGTGTCAACAAAGGATTTTCTGTTTTAAAAAAAATGAAAGTGTTTGCCTGCTCTGGTTACATTTTAGCGTCGTAATCAAAGAAATAAGATTAAAATTTTGAACAATCTGCTAGTTATAATTTTAATGATTGCCAAGATTAAGTTTAGGTAGGTCTAGTCCCTTATATTCTTTCTAAATTTAGCTAAAGGGAAAACTACAGTCATTCATCCCTCAATCCATGTGAAGGGGTACGAGCCCCAGATGTCATTTTTTAAATTCTGTTTACACATACAGAATAAAGGATACTCATGTAACTGGTTCCTGCAGGATTTTGCCAATGTGATGCAAATAAATGACACATACAGCTGTAATACTAAGCTCTTTTAAGTAATATGCAACTACTTAAAGGCTTGACAAAAAGAGTATAACCAAAACAGAGTGGCACATGGTATACACTGTATATGTGGCCTTGACTTTGCGCTAGACAACATATTCTTCAAAATTGGGCTTTTTCAGTCTCCTTTTTCAGTCTCAGCCCTTTACTTCCCTAACCCTTTAACTCCCAGATAAATTTTGTAATTCTCCTTACTGTCAACCACACAGTTCTTTCAATGTTAGTTCAGAGAATTTAGTATGGGATCAACTAATTATCCCCCAATTGATATTTTTCTTTATTCTCGTCACTAATCTAGTTGATATTGTGTTAATATTGTAAGGAGAAATTCTCTCTTGGTCACTTATGGGAGTTAAAGGGTTAATTAACACCATTATGCACATTCCCCTTACTTTTTTCTATATATTTCTTTTGATACTGAAGAGGAGAATGTCTTGTTAAAAAATAAAAGCTCCTTAGGTTAGTGATCATTTCCTTTATTCTCAAGACCTTGATGAATGATTCAGCAGTATTTCTGTAAGGAGAAATTAGATGCTTGTTACTCTTAGAGTTGAAAGGGTTAAAAGATGCTGAATGCACATGAAACAATAAATCTTTGGCGCTGATGTTTCAGCAATGATGGGTCATTTCTTCGCATGTGTTGTAATTCTGGAATTTCAGTCTATAGCTTTAGACAGAATCAAGATCATTATGCTTACAGTATGTACGTAAATATATTGCGTTGTTGATTAGGGCACTACACCACTGTCGTAGAAAAATCATTCAAATCCCATCCTAGAGCAAATCTTTGTTAGGTTTGAACAACTGAACAGTCAAATCAGATGGAAGGTGGTCATTAAATGACATTATTTAAAATTTAACAGGTGAATCTTTTTCTTGGGCTCTTCTCACACTTTTCATCTTTCTTTTAAATTTTATTTCAGAGTCTTGATGAAGATTACAACATACTTAATAAACTGAAGAAATCAAGCAAAGCTGTCCACACTGCAGGGTTAAGTAAGTATAGCCCTTAGCTTCAAATCTTGCATGCTTGCGCCAAATTTTCCTATACAAACTTACCACCAAAAATCTTTTTAGCATAGAGTGGCAGTGAGTTTGTTAGTCTATGCTTCCAGTTTCTCCTTATAAATATGTTGATTTTTGATCCCAGACTATTCTACAAATCAGCTGTCATTAGTTGAGAGTCTTGAAAAGTTGGGTTCATCATCTCTTTCAAAGGAGGCAGATACAGGCATTGGTAAGTTCTAGCTTTGGGTATATACACAGAGTTATAATTGTTAATACTGGGATTGATATTTTTCCCCGAAAAAAGCACCTCAGCTGTTTGCCAAATTTAAACATAGCATGTCTTTTTTATAAGATTCTCTGCCCTTCAATTATGCTCCTAAATTTTGGTCAAAATTTGAAATTATAGCAACTCCTTGCCTTAAAAATGTACACCTCCCTTTGGCCAAAATTTGGAGTTAGTGTCCTTTTCTGATAGGTGGCTCCCCCTTCGTATCATTTTCATGGAAGGGTAACTAAACAAAAAGGGATACATAGCTCAAAGTTTTATTTATTTCATCAAACCATTAATATTTACACCATACTAGTTGGAGTTTGTTAGTATGTTGAGTAGGAGTACCATCCATTGCTAATTACTGTGTTGTTGTTGTTTAAGTGCTAATGCAGCCTTATAAAAAAAGATACTGGGCCACAATATTGGTAAATTTGATGGGTATCTTGCTTGGGTGAGTGCTTCGGGGCACTACTCAGTTGGTGTTGTTTAAGTGTGTACACGGCATTATGAAAAAAAATATTTAGCCACACCATAGATAAGTGTTATGGGTACCTTTGCTTGGACGAGTGCTCTGGGGTGCCACTCACTGGATTTACAGTATTCCTAATGATGTTGTCATTTATGGAAGTATATGTACTGTCCAAGAAACATGAAAAAATTTTCTCTAATTTCAATAAATGTGTTTCACGCTCTCTTCCAGGTACTGCATTCTTAAAGTTTTCAGTCACATTTAAGGTTAGTGATAGAGCTTCCAACTCCCTTTTGTGACACAAAGTTCATAGGGTAACCTGTGCAACTTGAGTTTAGGCACAAATCATAACAGAAAACCTTCTTAAAACTTTACATTATACGTAATCCCTGATGACATCCCCCAAGGATAACAACAACTGAACCCCCAAGAGGTTTGGAAAATCTCCCGAGAAAAGTTTTACAGGCTAAGTTATAATTCATCACTAATAAACTTTTGGTTGAATCACATGCAGTATGACCACAGGAAGTCAACTTGCAAAGGGAAATTTGCACATACTGAAAACAGCGCAGATATTGTGTGTTCTTTGTTTTGGGGAAGTAACACCCTCGAAAATATGCCAACTGGTTTGCTAAGATCTTGTGTTCAATGAGGATCAAAGGGAGAACAGTCCTTTGAATCACACTGTCAAATTATTTGTAATCAACACACTAAGCATGCTTTTGAGTACACAATCGGATGTTTTTGTTTAATTGTGCTTAACTGAAATCAGTAAAAACTATTGTTGCCATCTCTCTCTCTGCAGGAACTTTGTTCAGCTATGAAAACATTGGTAAGCAATACTTTTTGATTTAAACACCATGAAATGTTTAAGCTGATTGAATTTTATAGTTTTTAAGGCAGTGAAATGAGACTTACTTGAACAAGTTAGAATTATGTTTAATTTTAGTAAAAAGTTTTATTTTTCATCAACAGTTCACCAATTATCACAACATGGTTTTGTTTCCTCTGGACTCTCTTCTAAAAGGAGACATGAAAGATGTGAAAGGGGTAAGTGTTAACCCTTTAACCCTCTTAGATTAACCAAAGTGGAATTTCTCCTTACAATTCCAATACAGTTTCAAGCAGACGGGTATTGAGAAGATGGAAACATATTAATTAGAGGACAATGTCTGATTTATTACTATATTCTTAAAGCTGAAAATATATGAAATATATAGCAGATAGTGTTGAGATTTGATATTTAGATCACAGAAGTGATGAATGTGTATCTTTTCTGTGCATTTCAATACATCATCTTATGAAAAGTTATAAGAAAAGAGAGGCTAATCAGGGACAAGCTACAGTAATAAATGAGCCTCTGGGCTTAAAAGACTATAATTTGGTTTTGCTTTAGGAAGGCAAAGAAGCAGAGATTTTGTTTGGTTGTTTTGTAAATTTCTTTGATGCATTTACTATGTTTATTTCACAGGATATGAGAAAGCCATTTGATAAAGCATGGAAAGATTATGAGGCCAAAGTGTAAGACCTTGACTATTTTTTATCGTAAAAAAAAGTTACTGCTAACCCCAAAGAGTGACTAGTGTCCAATTTTTTGTAACAACATCATGTTTAAATTACACATCAAGGTCCCAAGAATAAAGGAAATGATCACCAACTAAAGAAGCTTTTGATTGTTAAACAAATTCTCCTTGTAAGCACCTTAGGAAATTTATGGAGAACACTATTGAGAATATGCACACTGATGTTAGGGTGTTAAGGGTTATGACCATCTTGGCCTCATAGACTCTATGTTATTATGGATGATCAATTCTGTTTACTTAGCAAAATGCTAAAATTGTAATTATGAGGCTTTACTGACATTTGTTTCCAAACTTTTTGGTGGATTTTGATAGTGGAAAGATTGAGAAAGAGAAAAAGAAAGTGGCCCAAGAGGCTGGATTTCTCAGGACAGAAGTTACTGGTGGGGAAGTAAGTGATTGAAATGGCAAATATTTTCATGGAGTAAAATGTGGCAGATTTTTACTCTGACTTTTAGAGATTTGCTGATCTTATTTTTGCAACGGATTTAAATATGGTTTTTTTTTTTCTCTTAAAAAACCAGATGGCAGAAGAAACAGAAAGAGAAAGGAGGATTTTTCAGTTACAAATGTGTGAGGTATCATCATGGTGCAGCAATATACATTTTATTTTTAAAATTATTTAATACATAATTCTTTTATAGGAGACTTAATAATGGAAGGACTAGAATATATTATAAATATATTATATATAATGTTGTCACTAGAATATATAATAAATGTATGATCTGACCCAAGTAGGTGCCTTACTTGGAGCAAAATGCTCTTCTAGGAGGGTCTGGGACATGCTCCTCCAGAAAAATTTGAAATTTGAAACTCTTCAACAGTCTTTCTAGTATTTTTTTGTTCTCCTTGGCTCCTAAACCTTTACCACCCATGATCTGATTGCTAATTCTCCCCTCTAGCTGCTACACATTTCCTTGTAAATTAGTTGCAAGGATTTGGTGTTAGATCAAGATAATAATGTTTACCTGATACATTTGAGTATTCTCATGACCTGTTTGCTGGATAGTGGGTGAATATTGTAGGGAGAAGATACATGTGAATCACTTCCGGGAGTTAAAGGGTTAAAGGATTTTTTTTCCCTTCTTTTGATTGGCTGTTGTGATTACTGGTGCTTTGGCTTTGATTTTACAACACTCAATCTCACAGTTTTTATTTTTTGAAGATTTAATGTTATTTTTCTTGTCATCAAGCTTCTGATTAAGGTGAATGAAATAAAAGTGAAGAAAGGAGTGGAGCTTGCACAGCATCTGGTGGAATTCTATTATGCACAAGTCAAGTGAGTGTTTTTCATTGAAAATGCAACTAAATCATTCCTTATTACGACTGCTAATTCTGCCAACTGAAGAATGTACTTATTTGTATGGAAGTTAATTTTCTGTTGGTTGTAATTTGTCTCCACAGTTATTTTCAGCTGGGATCACAAGTACTAGAAAGTATGAAAGGTTATCTTGAAGAACTTGTTGTGGAGCTGCAGCAGGTACATTTGAATATGACTGATATTTTAGAAGTGTTTGTCCCCCTAGATCTGGTAAATCATTCTTCTTTCCAGCTGGTATATATCAGTGGCAAATCCAGACCCTGGGGGGGAGGGGGGGCAGTTTTTATTCGCTTGCCCTGTTGGCTTTCCTTCCTCTGCAATTCTTCGTTGTTTTTTTTTGTTTTGTTTTGTTTTTTTACCAAAATAAGGGGGGGTCTGGGCCCTAGATCTGCCACTGTATATTTCCAAGTAAATTAGTTTTAAGAATTAGTAGTATGTCAAGATAAGAACGTTTTAATGAAAGATACATCTGTTCATCTATTTGCATGAGCTGTTACCTGGGTAATGAATTGAGTTTATTTTGAAAATATCCATCTGAATCATTCCTTGGAGTGAAGAGATTAGTATATGATATTGTTCAGGCATTGTGGTAAGGGGGGTAACATGAATGTTGTGTTTCAGTTGTTTAAAGTTAATGTTTATTTTTAGTCATATCTCTATATTTTTGCTTTCATTTCTTGTGTATTTGTTTAGTTAAGAGCGCAGCAGGATGAGGAAAGAAAGGAACTGACTGAATTAAGGAATGAGATTAAATCCCAGCTACAGCTAGATAAAGAAGTAAGTCCATTTTTTTTAAGTTTAGGAATAAATGACACCTAAAATACATAGTACATTTGCCGCTTCAAATTTCTACCATCTGAGTAGATTTTCATAGGGAGCCTTTGATTAATTTTTTATCACTCATTGCAGTCCGCACAGTCTTCGCAGAGTAAAGGAGGCTACAGTTTACATGGTCAACAAGGTGATAAAGTATATGGCAATGAAAGAGCCGGGTTTCTACAGAAACGGAGTGAAGGGTAAGTTTAACGTAATTATTTTTAATCAGCTGGACTTACTACAGTTATGAGCAAAAGATCAGAGCATAAGTTGGTCTGAATTCAACATCATTTAACCCTTTACACCCTAACATCATTGTGCATATTCTCCATACTGTTCTCTATACATTTCTTGAGGTACTGACAAGGAGAATTTGTTTGATAATCAAGAGCTGTTTTAGTTAGTGACCATTTCCCTTATTCTCATTACCTTAATGTTTGATTCAAGGGAGATATTGTGAGGAGAAATTAGATGCTAGTCACTTTTGGGGGTTAAAGAGTTAAAATATAAGAGCCTCTTTTGTGGGTGATCATTTCTTTCATTCTTGTGACCTTTTATCTTTGTGATTCAGGGATGATATTATAAGGAGCAATTAGATGCTAATCACTCAGCATAAAAAAAAGCTGGCAGCTACACAGACTATTACTTTTGATAGCTCTCAATGTGTATGTTTTTGTCGCCATTTGATTTTATCATTTGAAATTTCATTTTCAGTCTGCGAAAAGTGTGGCAAAAGAGATACTGTGTGGCAAAGGATGGCCAGTTCACTTTGGCTCATTCACCTGTAAGAGGAATTTCTTTTGAAAAGTTTCAGCAATATATAAAGCTTTATTTTTGCTTGCTTCATGCAATTTAAGGTCTCTCTACCATGTATATGTCTATGACACATTTTGTTATTATTATTTTAGACAAGCATTCCAACTCAAACACTCAATCTTCTAGTGTGCCAAGTCAAGGTAAGGGAACCAAAATTGGTACCTGCCAAGGCCTTTCTCATCTCTGGACTTTTTGTAGCTCCTCCTCATGTCAGCACACGTGGGGACCATTTTCCTGTTCAATCCTTTGTTAGCCCCTTTTGCATCTCACCTCTGTACCCACTTGGGTCTCTCTCGTGTTTAGACTTACATTTTGGCTCTCTTTTACATTGGTCCCTTTTTCAGAGCTTTTAGAGAATCCCTAAATGTTTAGACCCTCATAGGCCACTTCCATGACAAGATATAGCGTTTATCAAGACTTTTTGTTATAGCTCTGAAACCATGGAAAACTGTAATTTTTTAAACTCCATTTATTGGCCTTGCATTTTAGGGTAACATTCCAGCACAAGCAGAGAATTAGCGAGCATAAAATATGATTTTAATTGTTTTCCCTACAGGAAGATGATGGAAAGAAACATACTTTCAACATTGTATCACGTAAGTTGGCGATCTCGTAAAGAGCAGATATTACGAACTATAACAGCTGTAACTTAAAAGTTGGTGTCTGATCTCTTGCTTAAAAAGGAAAAAGTTCTTGTCAATGATAAAGTGGCATCTTTTTTTTTTCTTTCAGATAACAGAACTTATTTATTTCAAGCAGATGACGAAGCTGATTTGGAAGCGTGAGTTGAACGGAATTAATTATTGAGAAAGAGTTGCTTCACCTGGGTTTAACATACTTGAAACAAGCTTTATATAAATCGTTGTTGTGGTTATTTTTTTTCTGTCTTAACTCCTTCCAATTGAAGTAATATCACGAAGTAAGGGATGGGAAACTAAAACTAAAATGATCAGAGGGAGTCTAGATTGAGTGTCGTGAAACCAAACTTAAAGATATCACTCTAGCCAATCAGAACAAAGGGAAATGTAGCGAAGAACCAATAGGAATTCAGTCAAAACAAGCAAACCGTCCAAAGCGCGGGAAAATGGGAGGGAACCAAGACGAGATTGGTTTTAGTTTTGCATCTGATTGGTTGATAATTTGGCGCGAAATGTTTGGACCAATCAGATTTTGTAGTTAAGAAAAACCAGCGTAATTTTGGATGGGAAATTGATCTGCTGTTACTGAACTTGTCAATACTGTTTCCAGGTGGGTGTCTGTTCTTAACAACAGTCGAACTGAAGCCTTAGAAAAAGCCTTCGGAGACAGCGACAAAGCTGAGGTATTCAACACAGGAGTCAAATTAACTAAGTTTTCTTAAAATCATTTTAATCGCAGTAAAATTACAGCTCTTGTGTTCCCCTTCACACATTGCACATCCATCCATCCATCCATCCATCCATCCTAAAACAAAAAAGATATTTAAGCACCATGAAAGCTGTGCGTCCTAGCTATATACCACACAGGTGAATAACGCTTTTCACGCGCGCTAATCATATAATTGACATTTCTCACCGATGCGTCCTGATATATTTTAAAAACTCCCCTCGAACGTGTTAAAGTTTTGCGATATGACTAAAATGTTTTGTTTAATTTTTTTTCAGTCCGAAGAAAATGGTTCATTGGTTTGCAATCTTAAAGAGGTAAATTTGAAACTTAGCATTACAGAATCACTAACAGCAGCGTGACAGCTTCCATAGAAGTAGCGTGACATTGTGACAGAATCAGTTTTTAATTTTTCATTGTTTTTGTTCCTCAGCTGAGACAAAGAATTGTCTCCCAAGTTCGAAGATTGCCAGGAAATGACACTTGCGCTGATTGCTCCGGAAAAGGTGAATAAAAAAACTTTTCATAAACCAATGTTCAAAAATGCATCTCATGGCAAATTTACGGATGGGCGTACTCGAAAAGTAACGTGGGAGAGGGAGGTGGCCCAAAACCGTGACGTCAACTCGTCGCCATCATGCTGACGTCAACGTTACCAGGCCACGGTGATCCCTGATGAAAACCACTGACTCATTTAAGTGCAAAAATGCACCCCTCCCCCTAACACTATAGCGCATCCCTTATCATGTTTCATTGATACAGTTTAATTATGGTCACAGCGGAGAAAATTTCATTTACATTCATAGAGGTATCGACCTTACAGAAAATGTAATTTTTAACTTTAGTTATATTTCCCTTGCAGATCCAACATGGCTGGCCACAAATCTTGGCGTTTTACTGTGTATTGAGTGTTCAGGAATCCATCGAGACATGGGTGTTCATATCTCTAGAATACGATCCATTGAACTCGACAAACTAGGCACTGTAGAATTACTGGTAGGATGTTAGCACCTGACACATTTTAATTGGTTTGATACACTGATAAATAAGTTTACTGCGGTTGACGCGGAAATTTACTGTTTTACCGCGATGGACTTGAGATTGAAAGACCTGGTTCGAGCCTTGGCTTAGGCCAGTTTGGTAGCCATTAAAACAATACGCTTTCCCCTCTCAGGGTATTTTCTCTCCATCCAGAGTATAGATGGCTACTAGGGAATCATTGGACTCCTGACGAAATTCAGGGGGAGGTGAGGGAGGGAAGTGGTAACCGAATCCCTTCCAGAATAGGAGCAGTGTTCCTAGTCACTACATGCTTCGGAAACTGCCATGTACGTTGGTTTCGTATCTGTAACAAAAAGTTCATTGATGGAATTTATTGTTTGTTCTTTCTTTTTCAGCAAGCGAAAGCTGTTGGTAATGGTGGATTTAATGAGATTATGGAAGCAACTTTAGACTACAACGAGAAGCCCACGGCTTCCAGTAAAATGTGAGTTCAGTGCCGAGGTTGTTATCGGCGTTGTTGTTATTAAGCTAATTTTGGTTGAGGTCGAATGGTTTAGGGGCCGTGCTGCTCAACTTTGTTTGAATTATTTTTTTTCCTCCAGGGATGAAAGAAAGGAGTTCATAAGAGCGAAGTATATTCAACATAAGTATGCGATCAAATCTGGCGATAATACTGAGAAAATACTGCAGGTAAGCCGGCAGTAACTTTTGTTATACGGCTTTTGTTGAAGGCCAAACATGGCACTTGCGCATTTTTTACCAAACTCTGATAAACTCCAGCTAAACTAATCCTCTCTGTTCTTAACAGGAACTTCATCAAGCGGTCAAGTCAAAGGACATTTTAGCTGTTTTACAAGCGTTTGCTGAAGGTGTAGAGCTTTCCACACCTCTTCCTGGACATGTGAGTATTAAATAGTTAGTAGATACTTACGACTTTTTAAAGTAAACAAAACTAGTTGTTATTTGTACAATAAATGGCACCTTGAGACACTGTACTTTTAAAATGATTCTTTTTGGACAACTTGATGCTCAGACAATTATTACCTTTGACGTTTACTACAGTACGGCCATCTAAGCGGTTTTCGCTCAAGAAATCCATGACCAAAACCCGGTGGTTTTGTTTTAAATTTTCTTCCAGTCAAACAATTCTACAGCCCTTCATGTCGCCGTGGAACAAGAAGACTTGACCTCTTTGCACATTGTCGACTTTTTAGCGCAGAACTGGTGAGTTGAGGGTTAAATTGAAAACCCAAGGAGGAAGATCGAATAGTGACTGAGGGCTAGAGAAAGTGGAACAAATCAAATGATGCCATTCTAGATCGATATCAGTGATTGAATTATTCTTGTCGAGATTACCTCGAGTTTCTCGGAAACCTCGCCTTAGGTGTTTTGTTTGGTCGCTCCATTCTTCACGCTTAATTATTAGTTTACTTGTTTGTTTCTTCGTTCGGTCGTCCGTCCTTCGTTCGTGATCGGTCGGTCGTTCGTGATCGGTCGGTCGGTCGATCGCTCCTTCGTTCGTTCGCTCGTTTGCTTGATCGGTCGCCCTATCGCTCGGTCGTCTGCTCGGTTCCTCGTTTGGTCAGTCAGTCTGTCAGCCATTGGTAAATTTGTATGTTCTTTTCTTTGTGTGTTATTTAATAATTATTTTTGATTAATTTATTAATTTGTCCCATTGCATGTTCGTAATTGTATTTTTTTTTTTTGCTAATTTTTTTCCTTTTTCAAGCAATGATGTGAACGTGACAGATAAAGATGGAAACACAGCGCTCCATTTGGCGGCAATTTCCAGTAAAACAGAATGTATGCGAGTTCTGTTGAGAGCTGGCGCTACGGATAGTCTTAGCTTAGGTATGTATCCACTGGGAATCATCTGAACACTGACTTTTGGCCTATAAAACAAATATCCTGTTGCATTTCTGCACTCAAATGAGTCAGCGGTTTTCATCAGGGATCACCGTGGCCTGGTAACGTTGACGTCAGCATGATGGCGACGAGTTGACGTCACGGTTTTGGTCTAACTAGTGATATTTAGAATAGAGGATAAAAGTCAGCAGATTTTCGTGTTTTCATCGAAGATTTTCCGAAGCTTTGGTTTTACTCCTAAACTTTTCGCGTGCCCAGTCGCCCTCGTCGCCAGATGAAGACTCGCAGTATGCAATTGAGAAATCTAAAGCTACATCGGAAAGGACTACATCGTGAAACAAATAACATTTCATTTCTCATATATTCACCACGGTGAATTACCAAAAGCTTTTCCACGGTAAATGCAGTTCCCCCCAGCTCTGAAGCTGTCAGAAGATTGGAAGATTTATTTGGATCAGGAATAAAAAGTTATGCTCTTTCTCCTGCAGAAAATCTGGAGGGTAAAACGCCGATGGACATTTCGAAAGGATTAAATCACATAGAATCTATTGAATTGGTAAGTTTTTTTAGTTCTTCAGGTCCTTGAGTTTAGGGCAGAAGTTGCTTCGGATTTCTTTAGTTTACGAAGTTTCTTCGGTTAATCACGTTTTTTCTTATGTCCCGAATGAAACACAGTAAAGGCTTTTCTTTTTTCAGTTGAAGGTGACTGCTTCTGGTAAGATGGCCCACTGTGAAAATGTCAAGATTGACTGGGGACTCAATGAGGTAATCGTCGTTGTCTTTATTTTTGACGTTTCCTTCACCCGTGGAAGTCCTAAGATAATATTCCCAGGAGAAAGTAAGCTTACTGACGTTTACATTTAAATGATAACCCCTTTTATTTCCCAGGCTGATGGAATTTACGATAACCCTGCAGAACTGTTGGACGTTAAACTAGAATTCAGCGACGATGAAGGGCTGAATAATTCGAAAAATGAGGGAAAGGTAACTTTTTGAAATCTCCCTATATTGCGTGAGTAAAGATCGAATTAAATGTGCAACTTTAGCGTTGGAAAGTCGCAAGGAACTATTTGAACCTAGTATGGCGTAGTTTAATGTAACTTGTACAATTCCTTCTCATGTTCGTCACCAAACCAAGACTTTGACTGAAACCACTCAAAGAACAATCGACTGCATCGTTTGTGCCCTGGAGAAAATCTCCGTAATAGCATTTGACGCTTTAAACGTCGCTGCAGATCCTAGCAGTTGACAAACGCTTTGCGCATGTGAACGTAGTGATGGTCAACTTCGAGTTCTGTATAGCTCACTGATAAGGCAGCCGAGTGCAAATCCGAAGGTCTGGGTTTGATTCCCCTTGAGGAACACAGCTTTTTTTTTATCAGGGTCGGTCCAGTCCTCCTACCCCTCCTCGTCACCGCCGCCATTTACCCACACGACCCGTCAGTCAAATGTTTCCTCCCGGAGGGGGATACGCCAAGGGAGTGCCCGGGATAAGTTCGCTAGTATCTGGACTGACGCTCTTGGGAAGTGATTCACCGGCGCTGGACAAAGGTTCCACGGGCTCCCCTGTAATAAGGCGCAGAGCAGCTGTTCGCCCTTCAGGCACTAATGTGGAGACAGTGGCTGTGAATGTGCGAGCGAGCATGTATGCTCCGTCGTCATTTTCTGAGAGCATGTTCAGTTCTATGACAAGCACCTTTGGTCACGGGCCTAAGGCTAAAACGTAAGTGTAAATTTTTTTCTTTTGTCTTCGTCGGTTTTGATTGTTCGTCCACGATGATGGGTCCTTATAGATTGCGCAAGCATAATTTTTTGGCATAATGTTGGCACAGTTTGGAAAAACGAGCTGGGCGCCTGCGTGAAGGAAAATCTACCGCTGACCCGTAATACTGATAATATGTCCTAGTTTGACCTTCCGTTGTTCGCCTCAGCCATAGAGATCTCGCTGGCGAGCTAAGTCATGTATTTGTTTTTCCTGATTTGTTATTCGATAAACGACACCCATCTCAGGAAGATTCCTTAACTTCTTCTTAGGGCTGACGGTACAGCCGCTGACCAGGCTGAGTCTCCCCCACCTGTCCCTCCTGTACGCTGCAGCTCCGTCAGTCGAGAGAAGCGCTTTGGTGTTGACGTTCCGCTGCCTCCGTTACCTGCTAAACCAAAGTTTGACGATCCTGGGGCAGCAGCCACCAAACAGTTACCTACGGATCCAACAATTCGTCCGGCGGAAACGATAAATCGACGAGCTCCACCTGTTCCGCCCACTCCTAAACGAGCTGGTGGGGAGGGGAAACCTGTAGCACCTCCCCTCCCCACACACCGGAGGTCTAAATCCGAAGGGAAGACGCCTTTCGGCGAGGAAATCCTTCGGGCAGCAGACTCGAAGCCACCTTTTCAGAAAAAGCTTTCGTCACCTCTTGGTAAGGAGGACGTCAAAGAAGAAGAGAAACCAATCCCTCCGCCTCGGCCTCTGAAGCCAGGGTCCATGCGGGTCGCTTCTAGTACTCCAATGCTAGCTAATGGGGAAGTTAAGTCTTCCAAGTAAGTAAAATAATAAGTGCGTTTGGAGTGGTGATACTTTGCTCTTCTTGTCACGCCATGTTACGTGACCACCCATGTCACGATTTGTCACGCGATATTTACCCTGTTATCTGTACTTTTTCTATCATTGTTAAGGCGATTTCCTCAATATTTATTTTGAAGGAGCAAGTTGTCATTAACCTGCGAAAATATTACCTTCTTCTTTCATTTGTTTACACGGTTTTATTTTTCCTAACAAATGGTAGCTTTATTTTCGTATTGTTTCCGCGGCGGGCGTAAATGGTTTCCATAGGCCCTGAGTTTCTCCTTCTTTCTTTTTAGTAAGAAACGACTGGAAGTATCGCTACTCTCCGTAAAAGGAAGGGTAGTCCATCGTGGGTTGCATGCCCCGCCCTCCCCTTCCCAACGTTTCATTATGTCTCTCTAAAAGACACAATATGAGAGTGAAGTGTGTTGCATAAGAACACGACCACCGGCCACCGCTCATACCCAGACCTCTCGTTTCGGACTCCATCGTGGTAACCACTATGGTTATTATTGTTCCCGCTTGTACTTTTTTCTGATTAGACATTTTCCTTGTAGAGCCGCTACTTTTCCTCGACCTCCTCCCCGAGGAAGCTCAGAATTGAGCTCTGTCAAAGGTTGGTATTCAATCGCGACCTGATACTTTTACAAAAATTTGTCAAGATACTTAAAGAAAGATTCATTTCTTTCTTTGATTTTAAGAAATGTAAACAATAAAGCATTTTCTTTGGGATTTCAAATTGTTTCAATTGAAGATTTAAGACGCTCTTCTTTACTTTGCTTTTCTCTGGTCACGTGGCTCAATTTGCTCTTTCAGTGAACGTCGACAAGAAAAGCGACGTTAATAGAAAAGAATCTGTCGATTCTGTACCAGAAAGTCCTATTCCGGATATTCCACCAAGAGCAAACACCGTTTCAGTAAGTCGTAGTAGTTTTACCTTGTGTTAGTCGCTATTGTTACCTTTCTTCAAGGCGTGTTAGTTAATATTCTAATGCTGTGCGTCTCGGAAATCAGCGTTACAGCAGGGTTATCACGCTTTTCCAAAAAGGTAGCGTAATCTTCTAGTTGTCGCGCAACAGGAGACAGTTTGGATTGTCACCTTGTTGGTGTAAAAATGTTTTTGTTTTCCGCTTTTCCTACATCTTTCGTCTTGACAATCAAGCCAAGAAACATAATCAAAGGAGATCTACTTTAGCCAACTAATATTCGTGATCTCTTTTGTTCAGAATGCCCTGACCCTACCCCAGCGGGTAGAAGCTCTCTACGACTGTGAGGCGGATAATGAGGACGAGCTGACTTTCAAAGAAGGCGACATTATCTTGGTCAAGGGGGAGGGGGAGGACGCCGAATGGTGGGTGAGTATTGGGAGGATTATAATGGGGGGGGGGGTTGGAGGAAAGGAAAGGAGCCGGGTGGGTATTGAGTCAGTTTGGTAATTTGACTGAGGGGGGAGGGGAGGAGGAAAGCTAGACGGTGGACCCGAGCGAAAGATTATTCATCAGAGGAGGAGGAAACGAGGAGACTCCATGAAAAAAGGGCTATAAAAGGCTGTGTCTGTGGGAGTGTGGGAGGGTAGTTTGATTGTCACCTACAGGAAGCCTTGGATTTGATGGCCGAAGATGAATGGCAATCAATTATCAGGCAAGAAAAATATCACAATGAACGCGAGAATTGTATTTTCCCTCACGGGGAATATTAGATAAAAGAAAATGTTTTAATTTTCCTCACCTCCTCGTTTCTTATTTGTTTGCCCCTAAAATTTCTCCGAATTTCCCGGGACTTCTGTCCAATGGAAGGAAGGGTTGCAAACATAGTATGGGAGTGGTGGAAGTGGCGAATTGGTGGCGTTTTTGTTGCTGTTGTTGTTTTTTCCTAGATTGGAGTAAAAACAGTAAAAGTGAAAATGTCTGTTCCTTCTAACACTTTACTGTTCTTTTTCCTTTGTCTGTAGTTGGGTGAAATAGAAGGACATCCAGGAACTTGTGGGGTCTTTCCAGTCAGCTTTGTTCGCGTCCTTCCCGAATGAACCCATTTACAGCCAGTAGATCGTCTGTTCCTTAGCGTGACGTAAGTCACGTCAGGTGGCTCTCACACAACACTCTTAAATTTTTGATCTAGCGTGACACTGACGAAAAGTCACGAGGTTTTACAATTCACCAGAACACATAGCATTTTGGATTATCATCGTATTTGCTCATGAAAGTGCATTCTTCCAACAAATTATATGATAGATATTCTCGTGAACGTAAAATTCATTTAGGCTTGTCTGGTTACAATACAAATGTATTTACCCAAAGTCGGTTAGGTTTTTTCTCCTAAATGAATATTTTCACAGCCAAACAGGGTTTTTCCCAGATATCTTTTAAACATGGCTTAAATATTTAGACCTATTCAAAGATATTTAAGTACAATAGACTGCCATGGATTAGGTGAGGTATTTCCTGTGAAATACAGAACTTCCCAAATACTTCTGCCATCCTTGATTTTACCAATTAAAACCAATAGTTTAAAAACAGAAGTGAATATTTCCTAAATTAGTTTTATATTTGCCGCCTTTGCAATGTTTTAATAGGAACGTTCAGATCCTTCATCATATTTAGAATTTACGACATGTTAGGAGTAACTATCTTAAAAATTTTATTCAGCAACCATGGTAACAAGATACCTCTATTTTTATCGCGGCTTTATGAGCAATTGCCTAGAAATGTTAACTTTTCTATCATTTGTTCCTACTCAGAAAATTTGTTTATATAAATCAAATAGTGAGAAATTTATCAGTAAATATGTATTTTTCTGACATAACCAGCTGCTTAATTCTAATAATATTTTGCGAAATGTACTCTTTTTTACTAGGCCTTTTGATTGCCGTATTTTTAGAACTGTATAAATTTCCAACTTTTGATAGAAATGAAAAAAAATTTCATTTTTAAAAAAAGTTGATGTTTAAATAATGTAGGTTTTTTTTAACAAAAGTTACTGTTAGTAGACAGCAATTTTTAGCTCAAAATAGAATCTTTCTAAGATTACTTGTACATAGTTTGAAAGAAATGCATGTTAAGCCAAGTTAACTTGTGATGTAGCTTAAGAATTTTAAGAGGCTCTTAAAAGCTAATGTTACATCAACCTCAGTTATAGAAATAACTTTGAAAATTATTCTTAAATACCAGTCTTGATTTTATGAAATCTCTAGACCTCTACAGTTGTTAGCCATTTGAAATTGTTGCTAACATGTAGTTTTATCTTTCCAATACGGTTATTAATCATGAACTTTTGTCTGTGTTTCTAGAATGATGTATTTTTTTCCATTTTGAGAAAGTAAAATCTCAGTGGATGAAATTTCTTACTGTTTTTTATGGTAATTGCGAGATGAAAATCTAGAATATGGCAAAAAAACTGTGTGTGATCACTCAACTTTTCTTTAATGCAAATATTTGAGGGACGAATCAACTGCGTCAATCAGGAAGAAGTGACGTTTGAACAACGACGTCATAGGAAGGTTGTTTTTGCACTAAAATCTTTTTTTTTAAAGGCAGTCGTTGTCGTAGGCAATTATCAAATGAGAGTGGAGGTGAACAGTGGTTTAAACAAAATAGTTAAAGAGAACAAAGATCAAGAAAAAACCAAGTATGAAATTTAAAAACCCAGTCCCTAAATGTTTGTGTTTCATAGACGACAGTTGAGTGGTGCTTCACATATCACTCTCATTTTGAAACACTTCACACTCACGCGTCACATAAACTTGCGCCTCAAAATTTACGCTCGTGTTTCACACATCGTGCACGATCTTCACACTTCACACTTTACACCCGCACTTTAAAACCGTACAGTTTATACTAAAAGTTTGTGTTTCACACTTCAAGATCGCTTATTATACTTCAAAATTGCGTTTAACTCTTCATACGCGTATATCACACCTAAAGCTTATGGTTTTTAACTTTCGTGTATTACACTTCGGGCAAAGTCTTTCGCGCTTCATTCTTTACATGCTGCTTTCACGCAGGTGACAATATTTCGGTGTACTAATGACGATTTGACAACAAAGAGGCGGCAGACGATGATGGCCTCTTTCAATTTTGTATTTGATTATGTTTTTTTCCCACTTAAAAAAAAAAAAAAAAAACGGGAAAGTCCAATTAGTAAGATCTATAAGGGTACACTTTTTATGCTATCGCTGACCAACTTTGTAGCTTTCAACTCTTTTCATCTTCAGTATATTTATCTAAATAAAATATTATTTCGGGCTTGCCGCAAGGACGGAAGTTATGGTCCGGGGTAAGACAAATTTTTTTCAATCTACTAATTTGCCAAAAAGGGTAAGCATCGACCAACAATGAGAACCGTGTTAAATTGGAACATCCTCTATTTTACCATTTAGTGATCTTGAGTGTTTGCAATTTTTTTTTTTTTCATCTTACCACGCAGTCAATTTTTGAAAAAATGAAAAGCTTTGGTCAACAAACTGACACTTTTTGCGGTAAGATCAATTTGCGATCGTCATTTTTGGAATTAAAAAACAAACAAGGCATTTCCGATTCAGTTTGATTATGACACGATGAGACAATGAATGTCTTCGATATCATAAAAAGTAACTGAAAGCAGTTTGACAGCTCTCTGTCGACTTTCAGCTGAGCCGCTTCTAGAATGCGATTTATCTTGGTGGGGAGATCAGATTCACCAGCTTATGTCCTAAGCCATGACGGAAGTTCTTTCTCTCGAGCTTGCCGCGAGAACTGATTCTCTAATTTTGACAGAAACAGTTTTGTTGGCCGTTATCAATGTTGCCGCCCTTTCCGGCAATCTTCTTACATTATACTCCGTGTACAAAAACCAAAGGCTCCGCACGCTTCCAAACATGTTCGTCATATCACTGGCTGTAAGCGATATTCTGATGTCCACTTGCTGCATGCCTTTTACAGTTTTAACCCTGTTTCACAGTCGGTGGATGTTTGGTGAACGGTTTTGTCGATTTCAAGGATTTGAGGCATTGACAATTGGAACGAACAGTCTTGGAACTATGGGAATCATTGCAGTCAGCCGATATTTCTGTGTTGTTAGGCCAGAAAAGTATCCCTTGTTGTTTAAGAAGGAGAAATCTCTTGGGTACATTGTTGTAGTTTGGTGCCTGGCTCTCGCTGGATCTGTACCCCCGTTTTTCTTCAAAGGAGGTACATTTGATTTCCAACCTGGAAAAGCAATGTGTTTGTACACATTTGAAAGTAACATTTCTTACACTATCTCCATTGAGTGTTTTTATATCGCAACGCCCTTGACAATTATCACAGTCTGCTATGTTAAAGTTTTCCGAAGAGTTTTGCGATCAAATCGCGTTTTCTGCCAAGAAAATAACCTCAGCCAACTCCGCGCCAATGTGGAAGAAGCAAAAGTCACGAAGACTCTAGTAGCTGTTCTGGTTGGGTTTGCATGTTGTTGGCTCCCAATTTCTGTCATGGATAACATTGACGCCGCCCGAGGTGAGCACACTTTGCCGAGACAAGCTTATCTTACATACTCATTCTTGGCATATATTAGTAGCACTATAAACCCCTTCATATATGGTTGCATGAACAAGCAATTCAGACGGGAGTACAAAGTCGTGTTTAAGAAGATTCTTTGTCTTTGTCGCCGGAACACCAACGACAGCTCTGAGAGTGGAGGAAGAAATTTCTTCACGCGAGCCTGGTCTATCTGAAAATATTTTAAAGACTTCCGAGAGAATCTCCTTGAAAAGTACAATGAAGGATGTTTTGCTAAGAAAATTGCCACATTTCCGATTCAGAAGGGGTAAAAAAAAATTGGTAATTTAGTTCATTGTCGTCTAAAAACAACGCTTTTTTTTCAATACGACAGTCAATGTAAATGAAGCAATTAAATAACAGGTGATGTATGTGTAGAATTCTCAAGTGAATCTACAATTATGAAGTAAAAAGTATAAATGTCCTCCTAGTTTTCTTGGAATTAAGTAGAGTTTGTGTCGAAAGTAATTTGCTTTTTTTTGTTATTTAATAACTTTAGTAACTGGGGTGTTACCATTTCAATCTAAATCAAGATTGCAATTAATTTTACCTTGGGAAATGTTTAAATCATAAAAAGGTGCAAGTTTGAAATGAAGCAGCCGAGAGAAGAATTAAGAAAAACAGTGTCTTTTCAGCGACGAAAACAGAAGGCCGCAAAAAAAGGAAGAAAATTATTGCTAGTAGTTTAAACAATTATGACGTCTTTTTATTGACTTTTCTTGGTTGGCTTTGTGTTCCACACAAGTTAGTCTGAAAATTTAAGTCGTTTACGGACCGACCAATGACCAATCACGAGGCGTGTACTATCTCAGTGAATCATTTTAAGTAAGTTTGAGATCCGTTTGAGATCTCCAAAAGTTTTTTTATGAAAAAAAAAAAAATTTAATTATGTTTTTCTTTCTTCGAAAAATGTCACCATGCGGGTCAAGTATATTGCAGGAGGAAATTAAGGTGATGTTTAGGACGTTTCGGCGTCGTAAGGGCGAGGTTTTCGATATTGAGCGTGAATATTTGTTCTAGTACTTTCCACAAGCAGGTATGAGCGCGTGAACAGCGGTACTTCAAACGGTTTTTGGGTGAATATTGTCTACAAGATGACATCTCTGTCTACTCCCAGCTATATCTCTTTAAAAATTCGGAAATTCGATGAAGGGGCATGATTGTATTTCATGAGTTTTTTTGTTAAACTTCTAAATTACTTTTTCGCAAGTTTCTATTTACACTTTAAGAAGTTAATAAAACGGCGCATTTTTAACTTTTCCTTTCAGTATGGACGCGTGAATGAATTGAAGCACATAAATCAATGATTGATTAACTGCTTAAGAAGGCTTTTTCTTTTCGTTATATAGTAATAAGATGTTATTACAACATCCTCTCGATTGTTAAGTTAAGGTTTTCAATTCACGCAAAAATTTAAGGTCGTTCAAATTAAAATATCAATTTTAACTGACATTTAACTTCAGCCATCTTATACGCCGATTAATAAGTCTGGTCATTTTGAGAGCTTTCAGAGACTTCCGGGAGAAGCACTCAGAAAAGTACACTAAAGAATGTTTTGCTAATAAAATTGCCACATTTCCATTTTGAAGGGGTCAGAAATTTTCGGTAATCCATCATATTAGTTTTATAGTCGTTAATTATGAGCTGTGAATTTATTGGATGAAACAATTCTTTTTCCTATATGACAGTTGATGTAAATGAAGCAATCAAAGCACAGGTGATGTACGTGTGGAATTTTTAAGCGCATAAAACATTGTAAAATAAATGTACTCCTTAGAATTTAAGTAGAGTAAGTGTCGTAAGTAATTTGCTGCATTTTGAGGTTATTTAAAATGGGGTGTTACTATTTTAACCTAAATCAAGATTGCAAGTGTAAAAAGTGTAAGTTTATAAAGCAGTAGAAAATAAATAAAGAATAATACATGGGCGCGCGTAGATATGGAATTTCTCTTCGAGTGTTTAACTCGATAGCTCACGAGTGAAAGCAGCGAACGAGTGAGATGTCGAGTTGAACACAAGAAGAGAAATCCCATGTCTACAAGCAATCATGTATTATTTTGTTCATCATATAAACACAATACCCCTTTACTGACAAGAAAAGCCGACTTCATGAATGAATGAAAGTAAATGAGTCGACAATCCCCGAATAACACTCGTAGAAAGCGTTGGCACTAACTCCACTAACTCTTAAGATGGAAAAATGCGTTGAGTCATGATTACAAAAAACAAAAATGGTCGTAATTTTCAATTTACAAAATTCTCATTTATCGACTTTGTCCTTACCTAAAGAAGAATCTCTCAGGTAAACGGCCGAAATCATTGCACCATTTTTTTGCTTTAAATCGCATCTTTTTCCCAGTCAATGAGGAGGCTACACTAAAAACAAAACAACCAATCAGACTTCAAGGCTTGTTTAAAGTAACCGATCAAATTGCTGGAAGACATGGAGTATCATGTGGCAAATTTTGCAACTTTTCTTTCCAATTTCTTATTATTTCCTCCCAAAAAATGGATGAATTTAATTTCAGACCGGCTCAGTATTGTATTAAAAAAATATTTGAACTGACCAAGTCCTGTTTTTGGGCGATTTCAAAATGGATGTAATAAAGTGGTAATTGAACCTCGTGTTGAGCAATTTTGGTCTGAAATCAAACTTGTGATTTCAAATCGAACTCGCGCTGCGCGCTCGTTCAATTTTGAAGTTGTAAGATTTCAGCACAAATTGCACTCCACTCAGTTCAATTACCATTATGAATTGGACTCCACTCATTTCTATTACCACCATTATTCAAAACTATAACACAACTCTCGAATGTGATTGGTTGACAACAGCCCGATTTGCGCTCCTATAGGAAAGTGTAAGCGTCATATCAGTGTAATCAGACAGAAATGTTTGCTGTTTGCTGAGGATGGTGAAAACAATTCATGCTTCATTGTCAGTGTTGTGGCTGGCGTTGTTGTTGCCACTTTGGCGCCGAAAGAAAGTAATCTTGCGCAAGAGGGCCTTGTACTCTCGCCTGAACTGTCTATTCATGATACCATAAATGAATGGGTTGATAGTGCTACTCAGATAGACCAAGAACCCGTACGTCAGGTAAACCTGTCGTGGTATCGTCGGTTCTCTGCGCGCGGCGTCCATGTTATCCATAACGGAGATAGGAAGCCAGCAGCACGCGAAGCCAAGCAGAACTGCTACTAAAGTTTTCGTTACTTTTGCTTCTTCCACATTCGCGCGGAGGTGACTGGGTTCGACGCCTGGACAGAAAACACGATTTGATCTTGAAACTGAGCGGAACACTTTGACATAGCAGACCGCTATGATTATTAAGGGTGCTGCGATGTAAACACATTCGATTGTAACAGTGTAAGCCATGTTGCTTTCAAACGTGTACAAACACATTGCTTTTCCAGGCTGGAATTTAAAGCTATTTTTGCTCTCAAAGGAAAACGGGGGCACAGATCCAGCGAAGGCTAGGCACCAGACAATGACAATGTATATCAACGCTCTTTGCTTCTTAAACAACAAGAGATACTTCTCTGGTTTTACAACGCAGAAGAATCGGTTGACCGCAATGACACCCATGGTAACCATGGCGACAATTCCGAAAGTCAGTGCTGCAAAACCTTGAAAGAGACAGTAAGATTCGCCAAATATCCACCGGCCGTGGAACAGAGTGACAACTGTTAAAGGCATACAGCAGGTACACATCAGAATATCGCTCACAGCCAGAGCTATTACGAACATGTTGGTAATTGTTCGCAGCCTGTGGTTTCTGTACACGGCGTAAAAAGTGAGAAGATTTCCGAAGACAGCCACAACATTGGTAAAAGCAAACAGAACTGTTTCAGTCCAAACTAACGCCTCCTCTCTTGTGGCAAGCTCAAGGGAGAGTTTACTTGTCATCACTGCTTTTGGTCAATAAACTCAGCGAAAAGATAAGTAACTTACACTTCTGCACAGTCTTTGATGTCGACTTTTTGAAGCACTGATCTGCGAAACCCGCTGGTGTGCGCGATTACCAACACTGTCTACCAACACCGAAAAACAAATGTTATTTTCCATCACATCTTTTCTTTAAACACATTGCAATTAATGAATATTAAAAGATGTCTGTATGTCATCGTTGTTATCATTCTCATCAAGTTAGAAGTAGTAGGGCCAAATAACAACTCCATTTTATGTTTCTGTTCGGCGAGAGCACGTGCAGTACGTCGTTGTTGCTGAAAGAGGTTTGTTTTAATTGCACTCAGTTATTTACCACCGGATAAGTGTTTTTGAGTCGCTTTTAATAATCGACATATATCTTTCGAGTGAAAGAAAAGATGTTGCTTCTATTTTTCCGTATCTTGTCTATGCAATCTCCTCTCACAGCTGGTTAATAAACAAACATATTAATCCGCCGTTCACGAAAGGGATAAGATATCTCAAAGAGTTTGAACAACTCTCATTTCTGCGATAAGAAATGGCTGAAAAAAATTAAAACTCTTTCTCAGAAAAAAATTAAGATCCAGTTTGTTATTAATAATTTTCGGAACTGCATAGGGGAACTAATTTTTTTTGTTGGCCATAAAAGATTGCAGAAGTTAAGTGACAGTCAAATTTGAAATTTTAATTTAAACCACCTTAAATTTGTGCTTGAATTAAAAACCTTAATTCTAAAACCGAGAGGATATTGGAAGAACATATTGTTGTCGAATAAAGAAGCGGAAAAGTCAATATAAGCTCTTAATTAAGCATTGGTTTACAGCCTTTTTACATTTATTTGCGTATCCAGAACGAAAGAGGAAGTTAGAAAAATCGTCGGCCTAGAAACTTCCTTAACTGTAATATTACAACGTTCTAGACAGTAATTAAGTTGTGTAAACAGAGATGTTATCTTGTAGACAACACTCATCAAAAATATTGCCTTGGCGATTCTACAAAGAAACTTAAAGTTTTATTTGGAAAAACACGCCCTGATAAAGGTTGGAAACCAATTTTATGACTTGGCAAACTCTTCAATATCATTGAAATCACTTCCTGAAACAAAGAATTGACACCATCTTGACTTTTAGTTTTGATAAAAGAAAAACATCATAAGTTTTTTTTCAATGACAACCGCGTGAATATGATGATCAAATGTCTCACACAAAATTTAAGAAGACTGTGAAAGACTGACAATCTGCAAGATCGCCT